GATCATTTTACAACACTGAGAACAAGGGTGTAGGCTGGGCTTTCACTGTCGAATATGGAGGACGTTTAGCGCATGAAGAGCATGGCTTTATGGGCTTTCATTCGGATCTGTATTCTGGGGCGATAACTGCCTTAGCGAAGGCCACAGCTTGGACATCAAAACGAAGACTGTCAAACCAAACTATCAGTTTCTTCACAGATGCCCTTAATGTCATGAAACGCCTGGAGAAGCCTCGGCGCGCTTCAAATCAACGGCAAGCTACTGTTATCTATCAAGCCATCAACAGACTGTCCGAAACCAACACAAAAGTCTCCATTTATTGGCTTCGCTCTGCTACCAAAGTTGAGGGCAGCAATCACGCTCTTGGCTTAGCCACTCAAGCAGCCTCGTCGCCAGACAATGTCAACCATGACTGTTCATTGCGCTTCCTTTATAAGCTAGTCGATGACCGCGGTTTTTATGAATGGAATGCCCTGTTTCAACACGAGGTTTTCAGTGCTTATGAAGGCAAACCTCGGCTCTCTATTGACAAGCCCCTGGTGAATATCTCTCGCAGCATTGCTAGCTGTATTGTGAGCTTCCAAACTGGACATGGCTTCTTCAACAGCTACTTTGCAAGACATGGCAGAGAGCCTCGTCCTTCTCCAGAGTGTTGGTGTGGAATCCCACTGCAGTCAGTCCAGCATGTGCTTCTTTCTTGTCCACACCACAGAGATGAACGAAATAGCGCCTTTGAAGAAATCCCTATGGCCGAACGCACGCTCAGCCGCATTCTGTGGACAGACAAAGGTCTTTCTGTACTTGTCAAATATCTTCAGAAGACCCACATCGGCACTGGTCACTGGTATCATCAGAAAATCGCTCTCACACAGAGCCAGAGGGATGAGTTGTGGATCAATCGTTTGGTGGATTTGAGAGTAGGACTTGGTGACCTGGAGTGGGATGGGTAACACTGAGGCCTTTGAAGGAAGATGATAGCTTGGATAGTTATTATTGACTTCTTTTTGGATTTTTATCTCTTATTTGAAATATGTTATAGTGAATTTTGCAAATTTCTTTGTGTTATTTTGACTTGGAGATGTATTTGTTATTGATTATTTGTTATTGTGACACGATCTTAGGATCTATTTTGTTTTATTATATAGTTGAGGAGGGCGAGATAGTCTGTCATAACCTAGTTGTTGCAACGGACTTAAAACAGAGATTTATCATCATCATCATACTTAAGGAATATCATAATCAATGGATAACTATGACAGCTTCAATATGTCTCCAACCCCGGCTGGCAAAGCCAATTGTCAACACCTAAAACTAGATTATTATCTACATCTAATAGACTATAATAAAAAGATTTATCATCATCATCATCATCATCTACATCTTTAAAATAATTATGATCAAGCTCTTATAATTAGGTAGGAAGAGTAGCCGCACCTCGATCAGAATATTATCAATATGAAGGCAAGCCTCGACTCTCTATTGACAAGCTGCTGGTGAATATCTCCCGCAGCATTGCCAGCTGTATTGTGAGCTTCCGGACTGGACATGGCTTCTTCAACAGCTATTTTGCAAGACATGGCAGGGAGCCTCATCCCTCTCCAGACTGTTGGTGTGGAGACTCACTGCAGTCAGTTGAGCATGTGCTTCTTTCTTGTTCCAAGCACACAGAGGAACGGAAGAGTGCCTTTGAAGATATCCCTATAGCCGAACGCACGCTCGATCGCATTCTATGGACAAACAGAGGTCTTTCTGCACTCATCAAATATATTCGGAAGACCCATGTTGGCACTGGTCACTGGTATCATCAGCACAAGTCTCTCACTAAGAACCAGAGGATGAGTTATGGATCAATTTTTTGGTGGATTTGAGAGTGGGGATCGCCAGTAATGAGGAGGAGGAGTAGCAGTGAGGTCTCTTAAAGAAGTTGATAGCTAGGAGGGTTATTATTGAATTTGTTTTGGATTTTTATCCTTTATTTGAAACATGTTATAGTGCATTTTGCGAAATTTCTTTGTGTTATTTTTGACTTGGAGATTTATTTGTTATTGACTTATTTGTTATTGTGACACGATCTTAGGATCTATTTTGTTTTATTATATAGAGGTGAAGGAGGTGTTAGTCTGTCATAACCTAGTTGTTGCAACGGACTTAAAACAGAAATTTATCATCATCATCATCATCATCATCATTTAGGTAGGAAGAGTATATGTAGGGTTTAAAGATGCCCTATAAAAACCCTACTAAAATCTTAAAATGCTGCTATAAACCCTAATGCTATCTGAGACACCTCTATAATGTTTTCCTGAGGTGGCTCTATATCTTTGTTTTCAATCCTGCAACAATTATCCGCCGCTATTTTATTTCATCATTGCGTGTTATTGCAAAATGGGCAATCTCAAAAGTATTTAAGGCTTTCTTTCCTTACTATTTTTCAAGTTATTTCCTTAGCTCAGTTTTGTAGCCTATAGTACAGATATTTCTCTGCCTCTCTCTGGAGAGAAGGGAGCAAAGCAGTGGCCAAAAGTGCCAAAGCCGGACTCGAACCACAGATCTAAAGGAAGTGCTGATGTGGCCAAGCAGTTAGCTTGAACCGCAGATCTAAAAAGAGCAAAACAGTGACCATACTGCTTGGCTTGGCCACAACTGCCTGGTCACATCACAGCTCCCTTTGGATCTTTGTTTCGAGCCCTGCTTTGGCACTTTTCTTGGATTTTGGTCTAATATTGAAGACCGACAACTTTCGCCTTGATAATTTTAAGTGTAAAATTATGGTCTTTGTCCTAAATCTGTATTTGAACCCCCCCTGCGGTAGACCAAGTTGACAACAAAGCAGCAACAGAAATGAAATTCCCCGGGTTTTATGGATTATGGATTATATACTATAACACCTTCCCTTTATAATAATATGTTTGAATAGAAGCATCTACTCGAAAGCCTGTCCTCCACTTCAGGCAGGCATACTTGGATATTCTAATTGAGGGGATGGAAATTTCGAAGTTGGATATCAGAAAAAGGGGACAAAAAAATTGGTGGAATAAGTTGGAGACAGTCTGTCATAACCATAACCTAGTTGTTGCAGATATATTATGAATTAAAAGATTCAGCTGTCATAACCTAGTTGTTGCAACGGACTTTAAACAGTGATATAATTTCATCATCATCATCATTATCCAATGGATTTCAAGTACAGTGACTGTCTTTTCAGTCCAGCTTTTCATATGATCTTCTTTTGAACAATATCCTGGCTTTTGGGTGTCGGAGCTGTGCAGATAGTAAGATTGCACCGCAAACTATTGACAGATTTGAGCGCGCCAACAATAAAAGATACACCGAGGCGGAATCTGGAGAAGATTGAGTACCACTGCTAGCTCATGCAGTTGACTGAGTCCCTGATCTAGCTCCTGCTTTGGAAGTGCTTTAGAAGCGGAAATCACTGTATCGACGTTAGTATTGAGGGCTTTCAGCTGCCGCCTGTCCCTCCTCTTCTTGATTCTTCATATGATGGAATTTCTGCCAGAGCTGCTGGGGGCATTTGAATGCTCAAGCACTGAAGAGAGGTCGAGACGTGATCCAAAGCCGGGCGATAATCGAAACAGCTTCAGACAATTGGTTCGGCGGCTGCTGCGGTTTGGTCCATTAGCATTATCTTTAAAGAATCTCTCCAACTTCTCCAAACGATCATCTATTAACGAGGTGCTCTTGAGAGTAGGCGATCTGTCTCCCTGTCTCTGAAGCCGAGCTTTCCCAGCCTGATATTTCTGGGATTGTTAGTTCTAAACTAGCAATGCGGTCCTCATTGAAGGACAATCCAGTAGACAAAGGCCCTGCGACGCGGCCAGCCTGATCCTAGTTGCAGTCATAAGTCGGCTGGGCTGACGATGCCGGGTCATCCGGATAAGCAGCAGAAGGCGCACTATCTTCATACGTCACTTCCTCGCCAGATTCAATGAAAATTGGGTCGTTCGATTCGGTTTAATACTCCTTAGCGGTCGCAGATTTAATATATCCCGCTTCTGTGCTCTTATCAGTTTGGTTGGGCGGCGTAGAGACCAGCGCATCCGGGGTAGACCTCGACGATTGGCGAAGGGCGTTGTATTCGTCTTCGGCTAATAGAGCCTCTTCTGAGTCCCAATTATTAAGATACAGGGCAATCCGGTCTTCTGCAACAATTGAGGACCAGAATGAGGCGGCGTAGGTAATTGTTCCAATGGTTTCTGGTGTTTGAGGCCAATAACAAGGGTCGGAGATGAGAGAAATAGTATTCCACTGGTCAATTCAATTAATTTACCAAGTCAGTTGTAATATTTGCGGATTCCAATCTTAAGTAATAAGACCAAATATCAACTAGGGAAAAGTATGTATTGAGCGTAAAGACTCGAGAATAAACAAACAGAAGGAGCGTCCCTATTATAAGGTGGCGCTGGACAAATGTCAGGTCACAAGACAAGAAGTGGCTAAAGACAAACTAAAGATAACAAAGTAGAAGTATGAAAGGTAAATGTAACGCTTCTCAACACATACTGAAAAACCCTTAATAATCAATAACAATAAACAATAATAATCAATTACTCATCACGAGTGCAGTGCAGAGCACATACACTACATCAGTGCACTCTGGCCGGGGTTGCTCCGAGTAGGCTTTAGGAGGCACGTCCCAGGACGAGCTTTCTTCGACCATATCACTTATTTGATGCGGGAGAGCTTGATTGGTGATAGAGACTGACTTACCCGAAACATGGGAAAAGCTTTTCGAGTCGACTACGTGATGGGTAGTGGCAGAATAAAGTAGTAGGGACCATTTTTTATTAACACTAATGCTAAAAATATTGGCTATTCCCTGCCCATTGAACTGTGCAATAGCTCCAGGTATACACTCATAGCATTCGGCAGATTTATGACCATTCATGTAGCAAAGCGCGCACTCTGAAGAAGACGAGCGGGACAAACCCCTGTCCGGTCCAAATGACAGCAAAGGAGCCATAGCCATAGAAATAGACAGACTAGCCGGCAATACGGCGGACCAGGGCGTCAAGATTACCAACAGGCATGTCAACTGAGTAATCCGGATGCTTAAACACCCTGTGAACGACGTCCGGAGGAAAGAGACAAAGGTACATAATCTTGTCCGCCTCCATCTCTGGGCGCGAGAAGACAAAATAACGAAGCGACCTGACAAGACGCCCATTATCGAACGCATTAGTAGAAGGTGAATTGGAGATTCGTTCACTGATGTAGGTGACAATTTGATAAAGGCTAGGCGAACTATACAGCTCTTGCATGAATAAGAAGGCACCGCGATGAGGGTAGGTAAATACCCTCTCGCCGTAGAGGAATCCCTTAGCTTCGGTTGTAACTGTATCATCCACAATAATGAAGCAGCAGCGATCAAGCTGATCAAGAAGTCAGAGAATATTCAAACGCAAGGGAATCGAAGACAGAGTTGTCTGTCACGGAAAAGAAGCTCGGAATAGCAGAGAGGCCGTCGCGGAGATAAGCACCAAAGAGACCATCTAGCCCGGAAGCTCGAGTTATCACAAGATCAAGCCATTGCGGATAATTGGCCCAATTTATTAGCTTTGCTTCTTCAGCAAAGAAAGTTTGAGAGCAATCCAGCAAGATATCCCCAACTTGTTGCAACCACGCAGTTTTGCTGGTAACAGCGGTGCGCAACTGCTTGAGATCGGCTTCTGAAAGACTGGGCTTCTCAGGATCTTCAGTTTTCACATCATGGGCAGTGATGGCGACGGGCGACTCCTCAGCCTTGACTTCTGTAGAAGCCATAAGGACGAGTATGGGTGACGGATAAATATTGATAGGGATATCGAAGCGCTACAACTTAAGAGCTGACTAATGAGTGCGGCTTCTCCAAAGTACATACAGATGAAGGGGACTAGTCGATCAACAAACAAACACAAACCCTACTGTCCCAACTCCACTATCAGAAATCTACAAAGCAATATCATAAATGAATATTCCAATTCCAGCATATTCGCTTGTTGAGGCTGTGTGGGAAGAAAGGTAGGATTAGAGATAAAAAGAGTATTATACCAGTTAATGGGGAGAGTCGACAGACCGGCCAACGAAGGCTTGTAGTAGTATGTGTATGTCGAGGACAGGCTGTAGAAGTCTGGTTCCAGCTGAGGCGTTATAATTGCTCAATGACTTTACAGAGATTGGAAATGGATGTATGATTAGTCCATATACACCAATAAAGGTACGACAAAGAAGCACGATCTTTTAAAGATCTGAAGGAAGCTGATATAGTAGACAAAAGGCCCCGCGACAGCCAGCGCGAACGATGTCAAGTTTCACCAATGACGATGGGCGTCGTAGTAATCTTAGGCAGCTAGAGCCTCTTTCAGTCTTTTTGTTGATATTTTTGTTGCGGGAGAGCTCTATGTGCAATCAAGACAGACTTACTTAAAGAGAGTTAAACAATTTGGATTTGACTACGTGATGGGTAGTGGGATAATTCATATAGCAGGAAGGTCAATTCTGAATAAATAGTAACACTAAAGTCTATTTAAATTTCTCGTAGCCACCAAGCTCCTGAACTAGGTCAAAAGCACGCTTGTGACACTGGGAGTTTTCATGACCAAACCTGTGGCAATATCCACACTTGGTCGAGCGCGACCTGGACGCGCCGTTCCTGCCAGTGTGAGTCGTAGCAACAGGCAGGGAATCAAGCACTGCAATATATTTGAAGGCATCCGTAATCAGCCGGTCGAGGTCACTCATAGACATACCCGATTTAAATCGGTGATCGCGACGCACATGGTCGACCACCGCCGGAGAAAGGCAGCTAAGGAACAGAAGAGCAGCCGACTCCTTCGGAGGTCGAGAAAGGAAGACTTTTCGAAGTGCAGCATGAAGTGGACAGGCTCATTATAAGAACAGTGCTCGCCCACCTTTGAAAACCATTTGTTGAAGTAGGGGGGGATCTCGGCATATTCAGTGACACCATAGCGTTTCTGCATGAGCTTAAAGGCGCTGCGGTCACGTCTGGCCTCACCTCTCAAGGTAGATACGTGAAGTCTTTGTGCCTCTGGAGTAGTCGTGTACATCACTAGCATATGGCAGTAATGGTCGAGCATGGTCACAAGCTGGCTGTACTCAGCCATGGATTCGAGAGCTAAGAGAGTAGATTGATCCTTCACTGCGAAGTAGGTCGGGATAGCAGTGCTGCCTTGAAGAAGATATTTTTCAAGAAGACCGTCGATGAGCCCCGAAAGATATGACACATGCCTCAGCCAAGTGATATAATTACTCGAATCACGGAGCCGGTACTCCTCGGAGTCGCACATATTGGGGGTCATTCTCTTGTAATCGATCCATTTTGTTCGTAATAGCAATGCGCAACTGCTTAAGATTGGCTTCTGAAGAACTAAGCTCTTCGATTTTCACATCTTGGCCAGTGGTATCTATGCCCAACTTCTCAGTATTGGCTTCCGACACACTCATGAGGACGACTGTAGATAACAATTGATATAGATCTCGAAAATCACTCGATACAATAACTGACGACTTACGAGGAGCTGACAAGACCCTACACAAACCCCTTTGTCCCAACCCGACAGCTACGAACCACAAATCCAGATTAGGATAAACAAGACTCTCATTTGAATGTCCAAGTGTACTCGCCAGAAGCGAGACCATTTATAATACAGAAAGGTTCTTTGTAATAGTAGGGTCCATAGTAGTACATTGTTGTACTTAAGAAATTGGAGATTCAATCTTGTTACTAATTTAGTTCCCTACAATGTTGTGAATGTTGTATACTACTGTGGCGGGGATTCAGTAATACTTTTCAATGAAGATAGATCTTCAGTCAATCTACAGAGGGATACATTGTAGGCGCTCGATATCAAGCAGGTTTCAATGACGGCAGTGACAAGAAATGAACCGGGAACACCTGAAAGGGAGATGATTAACCAGCTAGTCAATTTCGAGAACGCAATACAGATGTCAGCCCTCTGCGCCTTATCCATGCTCCTACTCTACTGCAGTCATTACTGGCTGGATGAGCGGGATTAAATGCGGGCAGTAAGCAACATCCAGTAAAGTTAAATATGAAGCTATAAAAGAGTATATTATTAAAACAAGATATGTGCAGGAAAACATGTACGCCTTGGAAACAGATGGCCATATTATATATAGTTATGTACAGCAAGCACTGGGAAAAACCTATGAAGTCTTTGGGCCCATGGGCTCGCTGAGTTCATCGATAGCCAGGCGAAGCTTGGTGAGGTCAATGTCACTCCCGTCCATGTTTGCGAGGTCTTCGGGAGTGAACCCTTGACGATAGAGCTCCTCAGCGGTTTCCGCATCCGTCGCGGTGAGATGGGCGAGAACAGCCTTCAGTCTGCGAACGGCGGTCTGGCGGACTGTTTCGTTGACGCGAGCCGCAGGACCAAGGCCGGATTCAGGGGGCGGGGGTCTGGACACTGAGTAAAGTCGACCGGAGACCGAAGATGCGGAGGTTTGGTAGGAGTCGGATTTCGTGGTGTATTCGCGGATGCGACGTCTGAGGCGTTCGTAGTCCCATTCGTCATCGGGAGAAGCAAAGCGGGTGGTAGACTTGTACCAGAACATTGAGTCATCGCCGTCGATATCTGTCTGGACGAGCGAGTTGATGATTGTGCGCACAGAGGCAGGCTTCTTGGGGTCAGTCGGAGATGGTGACCGTCTGGGAGCCGACTTGGCCCAGGCGACACTTCTGACGTCGACTGCGATAAGTGACTGTTGTTTGGCGCGAGAGGGGCCTTCTGGGACGTCAGGCACTTTCAGTTCCTGGCGCTGCTGATCTGCGACGGCGAACCAGTCAATGTCGCCAAAACAGGTGGTCTGGAGAGGATAGCCCTTGTTTGTGTCTAATGGTCGGTCGGGAACACACGGTGTGGGTGGTAGAAGGGGAGTCTGGGTCGGGGCGACTCCATGCATGATTCGCTTGGTGAAGGCCTCGGGAGAGAAGTCTGCGGAGTACTCCTCGTCAGGAAGGTCGCGAAATGCGGTTGAAGATGGACCGGAGGAGGCGGCGGTCTGGCCGAGCTGCCGGTGCTCGTGAGCAGCAAAGAAATGCTGCGTGAGCGTCGACGACGATGCTGAGACTACCATTGCTGCTGGTGTATGTGCTGCTCTCTTGCTGGAGGATTGCGGGGACGGGGTCGGATCCGGAGGTTGCTGGCTTCTTAATTAAGGCCGGGCCCCGGTGGATGTCTGGCGCTACGCGACTTGTGGGCGCCGAGACCGCGGAGTGGACCCTAACCCAAATACCTCATCGGCCGCAGGATGGTCGCGGCTTGAGCCCGGACGATGATGCGATCAGACATCATTCATTCTCTTAAGGTAGCTTCATTTAGCGAAGAGAGAAAGAGGTTTGGTACAGGAAGCAGGGAGTATAATGCTGCTCTGGAATATCGATATTGTATACACTTGCGCAAAGACAACGCAGAGAGAGAGAGAGAGATCTCGGACAGAGAAAAACACTACTACTGACTTACGGGATCAATTGGCTGCCGCTCACACGCGCGTAGCCAGCGTCGCCGGCGCCATTCTCCATGTCTGCCATCTTGGGTGAGATCGTAGACCCACTTAGAACCTTCATCCACTTCGGTCCCGACCACATTCCTCTGCGAGACCCAGACTGACGGCCGCAGATCGAGCTTCCAGGCCGAATCATGCACAAATCTCCATCCCTCTGGCGGCTGCACCTCGTCCAGAAACCTTACACCTTCAGGCCGCTGCTTTGAGATTCTGCGCGAACTCGCCGACTCATACGGACTCGCACTGAACAGCCAATCGTCCCACTCGTCAACATCAATGTTGTGTTGACGTTGCAGCTCAAAGATCTCAACCTGTCTGATCTCTGGTGGCTCATCAATCACAATCTGCTTCTCGACAAGTATATCAAACACACTCGACAGCTCCTTCTCACGCGCCGAAAGATACTTTTCATGCGACATCTTCATCGTCCGTCTCGCGCGCGGATGGCCGGCTGACACGGCCGCCCAGCCAGCGACCAGAAATACAAATCTCCATGGAACATAGGGAGCTCCCATAAATACCACCACACCCGTGGTCATCAGCAGCAGATACACGGCCGATGAGTACGCCTCGTCCTTGAAATTCGTCGGTCGCGACAGAGCCAGCACGATCTTGTCATAAGCACGAGTGAAATCGTCCATAGCATTCTGAATGTCGCGCATGTTCATCAAAAAGTCTCGCGAGAGCTCCGGTACGGGTTTGATCTCCGCGGCTTCAGCGAGTGGTGGACCGCCGGCAGGAACCGGAAATGCCGGTAGCGGTGATGGTGGAGGAGGATGGCGGCGGGTGTAGGCTGGCACCATGACTGCGATCAGTATGATCGCAAGCGGGACCACAACAAGTAGAAACGGATAGAGGCAAATGTATGAGTAGACTGCGAGAAAGGAGAACGTATGTGTAGGAGTGCGCCAGGTGAAAACTCGTAAAGCCTGATACTGAAGCCTGAACACGATCCCGATCCGAGCATTAAGACGAGTGAAATTGCGTGCCATAACAGGCACCGAAAACGGCGGCCTGTTCTTCTGATCCTGCAATCGCTCAGCAACATCTGCCGCATCGACAGTCGCATCTCCTCCAGACGGCAGCGCGGTCGAGAAAAGACGCTCCATGATCTTATCCGTCAGATGATCTTTCCGGCTACCGCCTGACGAAGAAGACGGCGACGCCGGCTCCTCGTCGCTGCCATACAGAATATCCTTGAGCGCCGTCAGCTCCCGGAAGCTGCGAGGAGCGTAATTCATCGTGACTGCATGAACTAGAACCAACGAGCAGGTGTTGTGTCTTTGAATTTCTCGCAGGCAGATCGTGGCGCATGTGAACGCGATGATGATTATCGATGAGTAATGACCAAAGGTCACGTGACGATAGCACTTTGGTCCCAAAGCACGCCCTGTCAGCCCGCCTGCGATAAAGAGATAAATCTGAGCAGGAACACAAAAGATCAGTGAAGGAAGATGGACGAGGAAGAAGAGATTGCGACTGCGCTTTCAGGAAATGCGTTTGACGTGCTGCCGCCGACCGACGCCGTCGCCGAGGATCTGCCGTTCGAGCCCAAGTACGCGCTGATAGAACGTCGGGAGCGCGAAGAAGACAATCTCAAGCTCGGCTCAGGCGCGCGATTCACAGAGCTTTGCGAGGCCTGTCGCCGAGGCGATCTCGAACAAGTCGATAACCTCGTCACGACCTTTGGAGTTGACGTCAATGCGATCGACGAGTGGGACTACACGCCGCTCATTCTGGCTTCGCTCTGCGGCCACGAGGCGGTCGTTCTCTACCTGCTCGAGCACGGTGCCGTCGCCGACCGCGACACTTTCCAGGGCGAGCGCTGTATCTACGGTGCTCTCAACGACTCAATCCGTAAGCTGCTTCTCAGGTTTGACGTCTCCAAAGCTGTCGATGCTGCCCAGCCGTTTGCTGCACACTTCGCCGGTCTGTTGCGCATACACGAGCCCGACACTGTCGACCTGCGCTTCTCCCACCCCGACCTCGACGCGCCTCTCGAAGCTCACCGATTCGTTCTTTCCGCCCGGTCACCAGTACTGCGTCGCCGCCTTACCGGACCCTGGCGCTCAAAATTTACCGTCCCGCTCGCGCTCTCAACCGATCCGAGGGCATTCGAGGTCGTCCTCCGTTTCCTCTATGTCTCGGACATCTCTGCAACCCCTCCAGATCTGCTACCTGCAGTCCGTGCTGCTGCTCGAAAACTCGAACTTCCCGCTCTTTCTGAAGCTTTGTCACCTGCTTCAGCAGATCTCTCGACCCGCCGTCGTCGTGAAATGCGCACTTTGGAAATGCACAACGCCCAGGACGATTTCGAACATTTCGTTCGCAACGACGTCATCGCTTCTGCTATCGTTGTCTCGAGAGAGAAATTCCAGTCTGATAAAGAGTCTGCATGCCGCGTGCCCATCAACTCGACCGCGGACATCCTCCTAGCTGTCGACGACAGCAACGAGTCCGGCGTTGTGCTTTTCCCCACACATCGCGCTGTGCTCATACGATCCGAGTACTACCTCACAATGTTCAACTCGTCTTTCGCCGAAGGTGCTTACACCGCACCATCACCAGCCACCGGATCCGAATTCCGTCAACTACCGGTCATCTCTCTCGCTGCTTCTCGCGAAGTTGCCGAGATCATTCTCACATTCATCTACGCCGATCGAGTTGACATCCCCGGCCAGCTCGCTCTTGATGTCCTCTACTGCGCGGACGAGCTCCTGATAGACAAACTAAAATCCCTCGCCTCCATCGCACTTTCCTCAGACGACAACGTTCTTTTCGCGGATATATACGACATCCTCCGTGCAGGCTGGGCGACTCGAATGGACCGCCTCGAACGTTTCGCCGCAAAGTACTTTGCTAACAACCTCGCCCACTTCATCGTCCAGCCGGAATTTGCCGAGATCGTCGCCGAAAGTGCTCGCCGTATCCGGTCTCGCGATGAAACCGATACCATCGAGCTTATCGATGATGTCAGATTCTATCTTGCCCAAAAGTTTGGCATCATTTTCGAGGATGACTTCCACGCGGACTCTGTGGATCCGGTCACCGGTAAGATCCAAGAAAGTGCCTGGCGCAAAATCACAAAGTACGAGCAACAGTACAACTCTCAGCTCGATCTTATCGACAGTCTACTAGAGAGGTTGGATCTCGACGCTTGAATGATCATATTAATTTTATTTATCCTGTAATATATTACAATCTATATCAAACATTACTATCGTACAAATAACACCAAATTTTGTTCCTATCTTCATGCTAAATCTGCAACCTCTGAAAAATACTGTCGAAGCACAAGAGACAAAACCGCTGGCAGCTCTGCAATATTGCGCACAATAACATAGAACTCAAAGGGGAAAGTATCCAAGTACTTTGTCATCTTCATCTTCTGCGTCCCATCCTCATCTGGATAGTATTTCACTTGCTTCAAATCAAGGATAGACGACGCAGTATCAGAGTTTCCGCCCTTTGTAAGTCCGTCGACGATGATGAACACCATCATAATCTTCTGCTCTCGCGCTCGTCGAACCAGCTGTCGCAACTTTTCGTGATCCTCGCACACTCCGTCGGAAATGATGATCTCCAACTGCCACATATCTCCCTTGGCTGAATCAACTCGCGCCTCATCGAAAAGACTGATCGAGTTCTCAACAAGCGAGTACATATTCGTTCGTGTCTGTGCGAAACCAAACCACTGGAATGCGTGAGCGCCTGCTTCGGAAGTGAACGGCTTTTGGAACGGATGCACAACCTCGCATTGCTCACCAAACCGCACAATCGAGACCTGTCCTGCCTCCAATCTTTCCAAAGCCTTTGATACAAGCGTGAGTGTATCAAAAGCTAGATTAACACTCTTAGACTCGCTCATAGACTTCGAATCATCGAGCGATATCATGATCTGGTACTCGCGCTTGCTCGGCTTTGTTCGTCGGAGCCAAATCTTATCTTTCTTGAATTCACTCGCAATGTACGGGATGATCCGTTTCATATTGAGACGTTTCCCGCTCCGGAAATCACCGCGCAGTTTGGTAGATTGAGTGGGTTCCAAAATGAGTCGCAGCTGCTCGCATAGCGCATTCGATAGATCACCAGTAGTTCGCTCGTGCTGCTGCCATACATCTCGGGCCTCGTCTAAGCTTCGATACGGTGTATCTTTGCTATCAACAACTTGGATAGCCGCAGTGACAGGGGTCTCTTCCTCATTGATTTCATGTTCAAACTCTTGCTTGGTCATGTTGTCAACTTCCATCTCATCCACTGCAGGTTTGCGTTCACCGATTATTCCTCCTGTGACGGTACGCTTGGTTTCGCCATCATCATCAGCAGTTTCGTTCGCATTATCAGTCGCGTCGTCGATCGCTTCAGCAAGGTCTTCGGTCTTTTCGACCTCGTCGTCGACTGCCATTTCTTCGTCGATAGTCTGTTGCTGATCGTTCGAGGCCATGCCTAAAGCTTGAGTATCGTGGCTAGCCTCATTCTCTTCCAAATGTCGGTAACTTTCCGCATTCTGTATAGCATAATGTTAGCACATATATCAAGAAACCAAACAATTCGAGAATCAAACTCACCTCTTGCTTTGAGTCAACATCTTTCTCGATCTCAGCATCTGCGACATCTTCAATCTCCTTGGCAGACCGATGGAACTCTTCCTTTGCATCGCCGAGTTGTCTTTGCGCCTCTCCAGTATTCTCATTCTTCTCGTCTTTTGAGGAAACATCTTGCGTTGGCAAGTCCTTCGATGCAGCTCCGCCTTCTTTCGATGCGGATTCCTCGGTTGCGTCTTGTGCGCCCGAGTCACGTCCAGAGTCTTTCGAACCATCTGCCGCACCCTTCGAAGCTGCCTCGTTCTCTTCTTCATCTGCCTTGGATTCCTCAGGACCATGCGCTCCTTCACTCTGCGAAATTGCAATCTCCTCCTCAGTCTTCGCCTCTTCCCCTTCTGTAACTTCTTGATCAACGCCGTCTGTGACTTGGTTCTCTCCCTCATCCTCAACATCCATTTCTTCCTCATCGCCATTCATATCGTCGTCACTTCCACTGTCTCCATCTCCACCCTCAATATCGCCCTTAGCTTCCTCCTCTTCATTTTCTTCTGCAGTAGAAGTTAGTCATTTGTTCCAGCAAATATTCGAAAAAACAATTTCACATACCATCAACATCCATAGCCTCTGGATCGGGTACGTCTGGGATCTTTTCCTGACCTTCATCATCATCTGCTGGCTCGTCTTTAGAATTCGGCATCTCTTCGATATCCATCTTACTATCAAGTGGATCCTCTTCCGGTGGATATTCATCGTCGTCATCTTTCTCTTCTCCACCTTCGCCTTCCTCTTCGTTGTCGAGATTCATATCCTCAGGAAGATCAAGAGCATCGCCTTCCGGAGCCGTACTTTCCATTTGTTTGTCGTCGTTCTGAACAGCATCTTCTTGATCCATGGCACCTTCTTCCTCTTCTTCAGCATCATCGTCCATATCTTGTTCGTCAGCTGCGTCGTCGTTTTCCTTATCTTGGTTGTTGTCGGTCGGGGCATCCTGTTCATCCTGGTTGGCAGCCAAATCATCCATAGTAGTTGTATCCTGAAGCTGTTGATCGGTGCTTTTGTCGTTGGATGTTTCATCTTTGACATCATCGTTCCACATCTTCTCATCAACAGCAGTCGGATCGAGATCGTCAACTTCTCCAACCTCTTCATCCATCTCCTCCTCTGACTGCTCACCATCACTTCCGCTCTCGTTTTCATCTCCCGACTGATCAACGTCCTCGAGATCGCCCTCCATATCACCATCGATGTCGACTGCATTATCCTGCTCCTCTCGATCGGCTCCATCATCCTTCTCCTTCTTGTCATCAGGTTGATTGGCGAGATCGCTCAGATCCTCATCGTCGCCAACGGTGTTGCTGATATTCTGCTCACCGTCGCCGTCGCCGAGGCCAGTACCCTGTTGAAGATTGGAGCTTTCCTCCTTGTCACTCGGTTCTTGCGGAGAGCAGTAACCGTTAGTAGCAACAGTGTTGAAAGCTTTCAGTAAAGTCAAACCCGACTGAGACATCTCGTTATGTTGAGTAGCAAATTTGATCAGTACTTGGTCCATGAATGATCGATACTCATCGACAAACGGAGCAGTGATTGAGAATAAGGCACCAATACTTTCTGATGACTTGATATCCAAACTGTTGACAACATCAAGAGACTTCTCAATAGCCTTCGAGACATTTCCGATATGCAACTTTTGCAGCACTTTAGTCGTACACTGCATCATTTTCGGAATCCAATCCTCATCATCCACAGAAATCGGTTCAGACATAAGCTGGCGGACTTCCTGCACGACGACGAGAATAGAGTCGGATAGCGATCGCAAAGCCAGTTCCAAACTTTCGATGTCAGCCAACTCTTGTCGAGTTGATGTGACACTTCCCCAGTTGCTAAACTCCTCAGCAAAGAAAGATCGAACGCCAAGCAGAATATAGGCGTACGATTCTCGGGAATCCGAGAGTTCGCTGAATTCCGCATCGCAACTCTCCAGATCCGTCTTGATAGTCTGGAGTATGCCATTTGATGTAGAATTGATGACGCAAAGCGTAGACGGGACTGTGACGGACTCAAGGATTTCAATAAGAGTAGCCAATCGAGATGTCCACTTCGTGAGAGATTGTAGTACTTTATCGTCACTGTCCTCACAGAACTTTGCATGAGCAACAGCAGCCGAACTAGCGACGTTCATAACTGCCCTGCTTAGCTTGATCTTGCGTAGCAAATCCGGCATCATTTGGCCGCGGATGTCAAATTCATGAAGTGGCTCAGACTTGGACACCGTTCGCAGCGAAACAAACTCAAGATAGCGCGAAGTAAAGCTTTCCTGAGCGGTTTTGGCTGTATATAGTCCATCGCGTTGCATAAGCAATACATTCAGCAAATTCTCGGAAATACCTAGTCCTCGCTGAATTTGTCCAGGTGTCAGTTCCTCAGAATGATTTGAAGTCAGAGATCGAACTCGTGGCATGAACTCAAGAACTCTGAAGAACCAGTCTTGCGTATCACTAGGCAAAAGTCCATCCAGAACCTTAGTCCCGCGAAGAATTTTCACCACAGTGTCCTGCCGTTCAACGACATCAGCACGAGCGCGGAATCTGAGACCCATTGCCTTGAGCTCCTTCAAAGTCTCGCTGAGAAGCTTAGTTTTTCTGGCCTTCAAAAACTGAACAGCATGCTTGGTCTCTTCGTTGAGAACGGCGGGTGTCTCCTTTCGTAGCTTTTGCATCTCGTCGACGAGACCATCCGCGTACTCAGCGAGCGAAGGGATTTCCAGAGTTATACAGTCTGAAACAAAGCCTCTGATGCGGCTAATCGTAGGCACGATAGCAGTCAATCGCTCCGGGCGCTCGCTCCAAGAGCTTATGCCCAAGCAGATATGAAGACTTCGCTCGAGAAGTTCTTGGTCCAGAGAGACACCGCTTGCCAGGCTCGTAGCGGAGGGTGTGGACTTAGCCTCCAGACTCTCCAGTCCGCCATCTATCAATGGCCGAACCGGCTGGTCGAGGACCTCACGGAATTTTCTGATTGACTTGTAGAGTTTGTGGTGAGACCTCCGCGCACTCTCCTTGAGGGCAATGAAGTTTGTATCCTTCCAACTGGCAAGTAGAACAGTTTCAGTCACCTCTTTTTCCAAGACTTTCCGCTGCGATGCAATCGATTTGGCCACGATAGGAACAAACTGTGAGTATAGCCGGTCCACTGCTCGTAGAGCCTCACCGACTTGGGATAGTCCTGGAAATGTGAAGGAGTAAAGAGAAAACGCTCGGACTAATTTAAGTCTCTTTTCAAACTGCCCCTTTGGCGAACTTCCAATGAAAGCGGTGACTGCTTGAGCAAGCTCCAAAACATGATCGGAGATTCTCTCATTGTCGGCGCAAAGTCGCACAGGGATTGCAATAGCGTTTTCATAGAGATAGAAGAACCATTTGGCGATGCCATTTTCTGCTTTTGCAACCTCTTCATCAAAGAGACTCGCCCAAGTAGACAACTCAAACTTTCTCCATTCAATGACCAATTTGCTCAGAATATCGATATGATCGGTGACCGAAAACTCCCGACTGGCCACTTTCTGCCACTCGTGAAGAACGCCCAGCTGCTTCTCGACATAGATGAGCATGCGAGCAACAGGCACAGTGGTCGGCAGATCGAGGAAGTCGTCACAAAATCTCAGACAGTCGCCAAGAATCTCGTTCTCGGGCCATCGTTCTACCAGCTGGACGAGACGCACTCTGAGAGTGAGAAAGATGCGCACAGCCTTTTCACTCTCTAGTGCACTGCTGCTGGTGTAGAAGTTCAGCTTTGCAGAACCAGTACCTGAAACATCGTCAAAGACTTGCGAAAACTCTAGCACGACTGAACTGATTGTCGTTCGAATATCAGAGTCTTTGAAAGAGAGCATTGAAAAATCGATCTCGTTGAGCAAACTGAAGGACTTGCGAACTGTGGACTGAACCGATGGATTGGCGGCCATCTGATCAAAAAGTGCCAGAAACGCGGAACACACTTCCTGAGTGAAACTTTCCTCATCAAACTTGGTTTCGACGGATTCAACAGACACAAAGTCTTCATAGTCAGGGAACATAGACTTGAATTCTTCGTCGTCATCTTCGTCGTCGTTGGCCTTGTACACAGTGGTCTTTGCCATCTGCTCTGCCTCTAGGCGGCTTTTGTTCAAAGACCAGTTATAATATAGCTGCTTGAAAATTTGACCAATTCCGGACAGAATAGTCGTATCACGCTCACTTGTGTAGGAGTAGCGGATTTGAAGCCACTGTATCAGCGTTGTGGTAACTTTTGATGACAGTCTCTGCGAGAAATTGAGGCTTTTCACAGTCTGCAAGATATCAGAAATGCTCGCCACACGGTCACTTCCAAAAAGAGAGCTGTCAACAAGCCAAGTGAACGCAGAGAAATCAGTATTTGAAGCTGAAATGCTGATGTCAGAAACCAGTCCAACGCCAAGGCGCATCATAGTCACAAACTCCACTACCGGATCAAACAAATCAGTGTAGTACTTGAACTGAGACTTGAGTCGTTCGATAAATTGAGAGGAGATCCGGTGAAACATCTCGGAGACATTTTTGGATCTCTCGTTTCCAGCACTGATGTCGCCCCAGAGCTCATTAGCCTTGTCAGGCGTAGCATATCCCTGTAAAAATCGCGAAATCTCTTGGAAAAAAGCTTTTGACTGAGAGACTTCAGGTCGATAACACGTAGGCTCAAACCCTTCAACTTCCAGAGAGCTCAACTGCTGCTCGAGTTCAGCCTCACGAATGCTCTTCTCATCACCAACAAATGCGCGTTCAACAATCTGTACAGCTCGCAACTGCGAGGAAACTTCAGATCGCTGTTCGGTCAAAAAGTATGCTTTCACATAAGGTTTTATCGCTGGATCGTGAGGAACATTCGGGATATAAAGATGCAACAGCAGAGACGCGTAGCGTATAAACAGGGCACCAACTCTTTGCTGTGGGTATGAGTCAATCTCATCATTGATCTGATGAGCTTCTTCAACACACTGCAGCAAGACGCTGGCATCGGGAGCGTGGATCTGAACCAATGAAGCTAGCTCCGCATCCGAAATTGTAGAGGCGGATTCTTGATCTCCAACAAGGGGTCGAACTTCCTCGGGAATGTGTGCGAGAAGCATCTAAAGCAAAGAATTAGTATTGTATCACCCAAACAGTAATGCAGTCAAAGAGGCTAGGACTTACATTTCTCATGTGCTCTATGAGGCCCGCCATAAGCCATTTGAGCTTTGAGAGTGATATGATATTCGCGTTCCCGGCAACTTCCTTTCCGTATACTGACAGCTCTTTCCGGATTTCAATGACATCTCGAATACGTCCATATTCGGCAGAGTCCCTAATTTGAGCGTTAGAGAAGTCAAGCTTCTAGTTCAGACTAAGTCAAACTCACAGTTTCATGATGAACTCCTGTAACACTTTTCCGCCGAAAAGCTCTGATACAGACAATGAAAAGTCGTCGAGCGAAGAAAAGAGATGCAAGAAATCCAAGAAGTTTTTGCCTATACATGACGAGATTAACAACTGCCCGCATATGACCCAGAATATCAAACACTCGGAGAAACTCACCAGACATAGTTTTACTTCTGATACAATCAATTCCCACAGACAAACTGATTCCTGACAGATTTGCCAACTTCAAGTCAATGGAATTTCCACCAATGGTCTGAATGTATAAATGTTAGTATGATGGAAACGAATGCCAAAAAAGCAGATGATTACGTACCGCAGATGCTTTTAGGCTCTTACTGGCCAGTACATAGCCCAAGATTCTGCGCCAAGCAGATTTATTCCCCTTCTTCAATTGAGTTTGGGGTAAGCTAGACAAGAAAGAAGCACAATCCATCAATAAGTTCTAGATAACATCAATAGTTAGGATCCAAATCACTCATAAATCGTCAGCTGGAAAGGACTCACCTCAATAGTCGACGTCGACTGTGATCCGTCATATAGTAGAATATCAGCAGCGGCAAATATTCTTCTCTGAAGCCCAATCAGCTCCTCCAAGCCGTCTAGATCAATCGTTGTCAGTACTCTATAAAAACTCATGCAGGATCGACTAAACATACCCATATCCATATCCTTCGTGGCTTCATCCAATTTATGGGAACAAGAGAGCAGCTGACTATACAGATCCCACGTCTCATACGATTTCGGAACAGCAGGGCGTAGTTTTGACCAGATGATTTCCATGGACTTTCCACTCACGAGAGAAAGTCGTTTGGTGAAAGCATCCAGTGCTATCTTCCAGTTATTCCATTCTGAACTCTGAATGAAAGGATCTCCAATCTCTTCTATCCGAAGTGCATAGGCATCAAAGATGTCATGGAAGATCGGAAACTGGCTTTCGTCAACTTGAGCGTGCTGAGCAAGAGCAATGACTCCCCTCAACGTTTTCAAAATTTCCGAGGACACATGAACAGTTTCCTAGAATATATTGTAAGCAACAAGGAAGACAGCATGAAGAAAACTTTCAAACACTTACGGATTGCGCAGTCTGAAGACTTGCAGACCTCACGAACTTGCTAATGAGCTGAATCGTGGCCGAAACAACCTCAAACAGGTGCGAGGAATAGTCTGCAGAACTCGAACGCTTGTAACTGGCCGCGGCAGATCTCTCCAAATAGTTCAGTTTGGAGGCTCTTAGAGTCTTAGCTCTGCTAGTTGTGGCACTCAAGCAAGATTCGAGATCCATCGCTGCAAAAGTTGCCTCATACAACAGCGAGATCAATGATTTCTCACAATCAGTTAATGGATTTTCGAACCAGTATATGCCATGCGGGTTGGACGATGGATAGAAAGACTGTGGGTAGAAATGTTAGAAAGTGGTCAAGAAATGGAGGTATAATCTTGCAGACCGTACCTGAAAAGACTCGTAATTTTCAATGGCAACGCTTTTATACGCTCCAAGAACTTCCGCAGCGTAGGGAAACGTAGCAAACTCCGAGTAAATCGCAGCAATACTATGCGCAAAGGAGGTCTCAGATTCCGCATAGAACTCGAAATAGTTGAGCGCCTTTGACCACCGCGATACTGTGCTCAAGAGCGATATAGGTAGATGTGCGATAGCAGCGACTGCGAGTTCTCGTTCAGCTTTGGGTTCCTTGGAGATCTCGACCGAGTCCAATAGGCCATAAACTCGCATGTCAGCCATGTCGACGGGAAGCTCGTTGATTGCCATATGCTTGCTAGACTTGTTCATAAGAGTCAAGTCTTTGAGATCAAGCGATAACTCGTCCGATTCATTCAGCAAACGGCCATGGGTGTCAGCCGATGTAGATAGAACCTGGAGATCCCAAGAAGTTGCGCGCTGCTCCAAATCGCTGAGATAAATCTCGATACCACGATTCCGCATTGCGCGCGATAACTCTCCATGTCGAGGATCAACAGTCAGGAAAAGTCTGAAGCCAGGGTGCGGTTTGACGATCCTCAGCTTTCCATCCTCGAGACCCTGTTCGTTGATTGCAAGGACTCCGTTCGGCTCCAAAAGTGAGTTGAGCCGGTCAAGAACAGAGGGTCCGCAAAGATTGGCGTTGTCAAGGACTAGCCACTTTCCTGCCTCCATCGCGCGGACAAGAGTACCATCGAACCATTCAAATGCTGCCGCTTGCTTTCCCATGTTTGACAGATATGCCTGAAGGTTCTCAACGGCAACAACAAGCTCTCGGAGGACAGACGACAGCTGACCACCAACAGTATCGGCAAGAAGACCTGCGATATGTGCAGCTTCCAAGAGATCAGAGACAGAAGAATGATCAGCAGTAAATGTCTTCTCGTACAGGGCAATCGCAGTAGGCTTTGCCGTCACAGGAACCTCGCCGCGACCACACTTAGCAAGAACGCTTCTTGCCGTCTCGCTGATTTGACTCCACAGCAACGACATTCTTCTAGTAGCGTCAACTTGCTCATATCCACCAACAATATCCATGCTATCAATATCACTGTTGATTGAGAATTCCTCCAAATCAGCGCCAACAAGACTAGCCAAAAGACGAATGAGACTGCTCTTTCCTGATCGAGTCGGTCCGACAATGATAGCTGGCCACGCCATATCCACACATGTCATCAGAGACTCAAGCGGCTCCATGTTACATTGCAGCGCAACCAGCTTGTTGTCAGGTAGTTTGTAGCCGCTCAGTAACTTCTTCCGCTCGAGAATAGCATGGCCGACTTGGAGATAGTTGTCAGATAGAACCAGAGAAAGATGTCTTTGAGCTAGCTTGACAGAGAACTGATTCTCGTAAAGCAAAGTCACTTCCTGCCGGTCCTCCTTCGTTCGGAAACGCTGCTTGACGATGATATCGAGAAACTCATCGGCCGTCCAGCGGCATTTCCGCCTGTCGGCTTCAATCAGGAGCTGGAACCATCTCAGCGTATCACGCAAGTTGAACTCCCACGGCGCACCAAGTCTTCCAAACGATCTCTTCACAGAAACCTCCCTCTCTAGAGAAGACACAAACTGCACGAGCGACTGCGCCAGTGACTCGTCAATGGATGGAAACAGCTGGTTCGTGATAATCTTCAGATCGAACGGGGTCAAGAGATCGACATAGACAACCGTGAAACGATTGATAAACGACTTTGGAAGACCCTTACGGCCGCCACCCTGATAATGTGGATTTTGAGCAGCAAACACCCGGAAATTAGGATGTTGCACAAACGTTCGGTCCAACTCAGGGATATAGGCCTCGCCACGGTGATCCAAACAAGCATTAAGGCCCTCTAGAACCGATTGCGACGCCAAGTTCATTTCATCAAGGAGAACCCAGTACCCGTTCTTCATCGCGTGCAAGAACGGGGCGTCTCGCCAGACGAATTCACCGCTGCGAGCGCCTTCAGCAGGGGAATCAGCACCGAATAAGTCCATCAAATCAGTCTGGTCCGAGAGATTGATCCGAGTGAGTTCGACATTAGCAGCGGCAGCGAGTGCTGTCATGATACTCGTCTTGCCAACTCCCGGACTTCCTTCGAGCATGATCGGCTTTTTCAGCTGCATACCGCGGATGATTCGCATAGCGTTGAAGGCAGTTGTGGGAGCTTTGAAACTAAACTCGACCTGCGTTGACTTTCCATCAGACGGTACTCGTTTCTCGAGCTCGAACTCGCCAAACCCGATCCGGTCGTCCAGAACCGCGACTTGCACCGCTGAAGTGTAAATAGGACGCAGATCCACCGACGCAATGCTAGACAGGTACTCAACGCATCGCATCCGCTCGCGGGCTAGGAGCTCTGCACTCTCTGAGAGGTAGGCATAGTTGTTTGTACCCAGTGTATCGATATAAACCATGCAGGCACCGTGCAGCAATCGCACTTCTGGAGACTTGTCTTTGACTGTATTCACAAACGCAATCCAGGCCAAAATATCTCTCAAGGAGACAATAGCTTGTGTTCCGATCGAGGTATTGTATGTCTCCGAGAACCAAACCGAGAACTCAACCATCGGTCGACCAAAGAATTTGACTTCACTTGGCTGCATTTTCGACTCGACTATTTGATAAACGTCGTCGACATTCGTGATTGCGGGAACCCAGATTTCAGTAAATCGATTGCGCAGGGCAGGCGATAACTCTTTCTTGCCGTAATCACCGCTGGGATTCATCGTCGCCAGGAACTGAAAGCCATCTTGAGCGGTGATCAGACTCTCGTGGGATCCCTTCTCGGCTAGAAGAATGGACCGCTCGGGCTCGAGCACGCTGTTCAGTCTCTCGAGGACTGAGTCATCGGTCAAAGAGATCTCGTCCAGCAAGAAGAAATTTCCGGTTTTCAGAGCCTGGACCAAGGCACCGTCATGCCATTCAAAGAGAACGTTGAGCTTGTTGCGCAGATTGCCGACAGTCTGTACAGTCTCAGGAGACGCATTCCCATCCTTAGCAAAAGACTCAAAGGCGTCAATGAGATCCGCAATCGAAGTCAACTCAGCAGCCTGGGGACCAAGGACATTCCGAATATGCTCGACCAACATGTTCTGCAGCTCTCCGCGGTTACGAAGCGGTCGCTGAGCGCCAATGATATCACTGGCCTCGGTGTTTTGATGAGCATTGACGATATGCAGAGCCTTTCCATACTCTTTCGCAAGGACTTGACAGATGGAAGTCTTTCCGCAGCCGGTCTCGCCGACTAGTAGCACAGGCTCGTTGTTCTTGATAGCTTCGCTGGCGAGCGTGTACAGACGGCGCATAGCATAATTCCACACAATCCCAGACTCCGAGTCTAGATTTGACCCGTCAAGGCGATAGAGTTCGTCGATATCAAGCGAGACTCTCATGATCTTCTCGATAACCGACTTCACGATCTGCTGCTCCTCGTCGCTGCGGACACGTTCACCAAGAAGAAGGTAGCCGTTCCGGGCCAATTCCTCGTATCCGACAGCAGGCCGATTGGCCCATCTGAAAAGGTCACGCAGGGTCGCAAAGCCGTTCTTTTCGAAAAGTCGAGTCGATTGTCTTTGAGTGGAAAGTGCCTATAAGGATGTTAGTACAGATCTTGTCACTGATTGCAGATAGATCTACTTACTTTGTAAACCTGGACTATGCGCTTTGCGTAAGACGGAGCAATCTCGCATCTTCCTTTCAAAATAGTCTCAAGTTCATCCTCGGGGATATCATCGAAATGCAGCTCCAAAAAGCGATTTCTGAACGCTCGCGAGAGGTTCTTTCGTCCGCCGTACAATCCAGGTGGGTTCTGAGTCGCGAACAGCAAGAAATGCGGATGCGGTTTGACAACTTCTTGCGTCTCGGGGATGAAGATTTCGTGATTATCATCCAGCAATCTATTCAATGCCTCCAAAACATCAGTCGGTGCAAGATTAAGCTCGTCCAGCACGATCCAGTGGCCGTTCCGCGCAGCCTCAACAAGTGCTCCTTCTTGGAAATGGAGTCGGCCTTGGTCATCTGCGACGTAGGTTCCAAGATATTCTTGGAGATCAGTGTGTTCGTGATTGTTGATACGAACGAGCTTATGACCGGTTTTCTTAGCAAGATAGCCAATCATACTGGTTTTTCCGCTCGATGTCGGTCCTTGGATCAACAGAGGGAATCGTCGGGTGGCAGTCGCCCGCACGAGATTCAGCAAGTTCTTCTCCACAAAAGGTGTGACGATGTAATGCGCCTGTTCGTCGACTTCGGAAGGTCCCATTTCGATCCAGTAATGCTTGAATTGGACGTACTCCCCTTCGTCCGGTTTCGGCGGCATTTTTTTCAGCACCGAGCGCGGATTCGAGAGTCTTCCGATTGTGTACTTGATAATGATCGGCACTAGAAGATCCTCTGACGGTTTATCAAGCAGAGTCAAGAACGACATGCAAAAGCCCTCGTAGAGCGCTCTTCTCAGTCCGAATGTGGGAGAGATATCTCTGACGTAAAGAAGCGTGCGGGAGAGCGTGCGAATGCTGAAGTGTGGCTTCTGATTAGCTCCGTCGACAATCTGATGGCTCTCAGCAAGTGTCTTGGCCTCGAAGTACAGCTGCGCGACGTCTGAGCATGCGCCCTCGTTATCCCTTCCAACTGCGAGCTGGCCGATATACTTCTCGACGATAGCGAGCAAGTCATCTCTATCCTGGTCCGGAGACTCGACAAAGACTTCGGTAAACCGAGCTCGGAACCCAGCCGGGAGATCGCGCTTGCCGACATCAGTGGCAGGATTCATGCACGCAAAGAGTCGGAAGTTGGGGTGCGCCATGACGGGCTCCATATCGCCTTTTTCAGATAATCTGATGCACGCACCTTCGCTGTCGGTGGCTAGGAGGTCTGTGATGCTCTCGAGAGTATCGGGGGTAGCTAAATTGATCTCATCAAGCAGAACCCACTCTCCGTTTCGCACGGCGCGGACCAAGGCACCCTCGATAAACCGGTAGACGAATGAGTTTTTCAGGTTTTCCTGCTGCGCCTCAAACTGCTGAACCTTTTGAGAAAAGACCGACCAAGAAGAGACCAGATCACGGCCGTTGACTCCGTTAATTCTTCTCCTTTTGGTGGGTTTGCCGTCGCCAGACTCTGCGTTCTCGGAGGAGTCGGTCTGCATGGCTATAGTTTTCATCGCGGTCTTGACGGACTCTTTCCACAGACGAATAACGTGAACCCATTGCTTTCGGGCAAAGCACTTTGAGAAAACCTTATTAAACTTCTCGTTTTTCTTTGCGGAAAAGGTAGCTTCAAACAGGGTCTCGAATTCCTCGCGCAAGGGAATAGCGACTGATCGCGCATCAACGGGTTTGAATCCACCGAGGAGGTCAGAGGTATCAGTCTGCTGGGACAAGTTGATGACGACGAGCTTGGAGCCGATTGAGGAGGCGAGTTGCTGGACGATTGTGGTTTTGCCAGTTCCGGTTTCGCCGACGAGAAGAAGAGGTTCCTTGAGCTTGACGCAGGTGGAGATCTTTTCGAGGTGCTTGAGGGTATGTTTTGTGTATGCGAACAGAGAAGGGGCCAGTTCTCTCCTCTTGCGCGCGGCCAGAGATTTTTGTAGTCGCACACGGCCGACAACGACTTCGGGACCGCTGTTTTCAAACGGCGGGACGTAGGCGTTGATGTAGTGACTGAGAACGTGAGGATCGATATTCATAGCACTACCAATCACACCAGCGATTAGGTCGCGCGCCTCGGCGACCCGAATACTGCCGGCAAAGCAATCGATAGCCTCGAATAAGACACATTCGTAGGTCGAGGAGGCAATCTCGTTTGTGGAGGAGGATGAGTCGGAGGTGCGCACTTCGGAAAGCACGAGATCGACTCTGCGAGCCCACTTCATCAGGTCACGGGTGGAGAAGATACGGTTTTGAGCGCCTCTTGTAAGAGCCAGAAATCTGTGGTCTTTGTAGGTATCACGGGTGCGAACATAGACATCACGCATGAGCCGAGCCAGCTGCACAAGTCGCGGGAACTGAACTGTGAGGAGCTGTTCGAGTTCTGGGTCGGTAAACATTCTCAGACGGACATGGTGCCAAAGCTCTCTGCCGATGAAATCTTTGGAGACGGAGGACTCGAGTTCGGAAGCGGTTGCAATCATCTGGAAGGTATGACCAGCCTGGATCGATTCGCCGCGGGAGGGGATGATGATTCGGCGCTGCTGGACGAGGGAGAGGAGAATGCTGATGACTTCGTTTGGGGCTTTATCAATGTCTTCGATGACGATTACTTTTCCCTCGCGAACCGCGTTGACTAGAATTCCTTCTTTCCAAACAAACGAGCCGGGAGTTTCGCCGGTCGTGTAGGTACCGATCAAAAGCTTTGTATCAGTTTGGTCACCCAAATGCAGCTTGACGACGTCCTTGGTGGATCTTGAGAGAGCAGAGAGGATGTAGTCTGAGAGAAAGGTTTTTCCACAACCGGGAGGGCCAGTGACGAGAAGTGGGTTCATTGCACGAAGGGCGGAGGCTAGTGATCTGACGTTGTAGATTGTAGTTTCGGTGAGAACGATAGAGAGGGGTGGGGATTCGAGGGCTGTGAAAAAGAGAGAGATTGTTAGGCTTGTTGTGAAGGAAAAGAGTAGATTGGGAAAGACATACGCTTATGACGAGGAACGAGTAGGCCACACAGATTCGCTGTTCGCGCCGAAAGCTGCGAGTCATCAAAGTAGATGGCGTTTGGGGATGGCGAGAGGTCGATGTTTTCGGCAATCGACTTTTTGTAGTAAGCAATGCGCTTTGCTTCCCAGAGTCTAGATGAGAGTAAAGAGGTTAGTGAATTCGGATGGCAGACTGGCGAGAGATAGGTGAGGACTCACTCGAAGAAGAAGAAATCGACATTTGAAGATCCCTCGTAGTCTCCAAATAGCTCGTGCTGGATTCCACCGAGGTGCTGTTCGACCAGTCTATGACGCTCTTGGTCGGATATACCGAGATGCATGGTCCATATTCTGACGGCGAGATATCTAGCAGCATCGCTGGAGGTGGAGTCGATGACGTTGGCGATTGATTTCAGGTCGACGGAGGATCCGTAGACGAGGAAGTCAAACTCCAGAAGACGATAGAGAGCGATCAAATCCTCGAGAGAATCCTTCGCTGACCAGGAGTGGTGTTCGAAGAACGCGATTGCGTGCGAAGCGATGTGAGGAATCAGCGGCAGCACACGGGCAAAAGCCTGGGCGACAACAGAGCTATCGCGCGCACTCGACAGCCAGCGCGCGGAAAGATCGGGGAACAAGGGGTAGAAAGCACATAGCACAGCCTGGGTATATTTCGGATCCAGCGCGCGATCAGCGAGCGCGTCGAGATCGATGGTGCTGTCGCCGACGACTAACTGAGAAAGCTCGAGGTTGGACTTCGAATCTCCGCTGAGGAGGACGTCAAGTCGCTCGAGCGCGAGATCCAGATTGAGATAGAACCTGGTAGACATACTGACTTCTCGACGAACTGAGTAATGTCTGGGTCCAGTCTGGTCTTTGTTTGCAGTCAGGCTGAATTGATAGCAAACAAAATTTTGCCGGTCGAAGATTTGTTTTGGGACTTGAGGATTGGGACTTTGAAAGTTTGAACAAAAAAATTTGAAGGCGGACTGGCGCTGACTTGTTTTCAGGGGTTGCGAGGGGTTGGTAGTGTTAGTAATGGTTATATGTATATATTACTAATACATGACTTAATAAGTAAACTTTCTAATTATGCTAGCCGCCGTACGTCGATGACCCTGCAGTCGGAGTCCCTGCAGAGTCCAACTATCTAGATTGAGAGGAAGAAGATGATGATTATGATGAAGTAGAATAACAGCTTCGGCGATAACAGTAAGATTAGTCGACGAGGGTGAAACCCGTCGGCTGCAGTGAAAGCGCGGCGCAGGAGTTCCGTTCCCCTGAATATCGCGAGTGTGATGCCTTGTTCTGTAGCTGAGCAAGAGCCGGACGGCAGGCCTCATACTCTCATTATCCTTAAATACTCTGAATAACACATATAAGAATAGTAAACGAATACAATTGTTTATAAGCACCGTTATAACTCATCAGCTCATCATCTCATCAACTCCCCAACTCATCAGCGGTCGGTTCCGGGTCTCGGGGCCGCTTAAAGCAAAACAATTAAATTCAAAGTTCCGTCAACAGCACCGGTCTCCGCCTCTTCCGCTGCTCCTCCTCAGCTACTTCTTCTCGACAACTTCCTCTTCTTCTGTTCTTCTACTCTCTATAACAATCTCCTGCTCTTGGTTGACTCTGTGCTGAACGCAGTCGGATCCCTCGTCGCGTTGTTGTCTGTCCTCATGATCTCTCTCACTTTGACCCCGCACTTGCTCCTCCTGCTGCTCCTCATCATACCAGGTAGTCTCCACAACAGCCTTGCCGCTTCCTTTCAGTACACTGACTCTCTTACATTAGCGTTTGCTACCCGCCCTCTGATCACCGAAGATGATCTCGCAATCCTCATCGAGCAGGTCGGCCCCGAGCTCGCCCGTACCGAAGCTGAGCATACCCCGCTCGACATACGTGCCTTCTACGGATCCACAGACTATAGCCCATCTTTCACCGACTGCCCCGACGGCTCACTTATCAGACGCTCGACTGAAGGACTCAGCTCTCAGGAACATGCGTATCTCGACGGCCGCGAAAACATCACCCGCGACGCCCTGATCTCCCTCCTCGACCGCATCGATCTCGAGGACTTTTCTGCTTCTGAGTTCATTGGCTCCAACACCTCTATCCGTGTCGGTCTTGCATTTTCTGGAGGCGGCTATCGGGCTATGCTCCAGGGTGCCGGCGTCCTCGCCGCTGTCGACAACCGCACCACTAACGCAACCGACAGCGGCCACATCGGCGGTCTGCTGCAGGCCTCTACCTACGTCGCCGGCTTGTCCGGCGGAGCCTGGCTTCTGAGCTCCTACGTTCTCAACAATTTTACTTCAATTGAACAAATCCTAGCCACTCCAGATCTGTGGAACCTCACAAGGTCCATGTTGGCTGCTCCGGTCTCGTTCAGCTCAAACAGCAAGTACTACGATTCGATATTCGAAGATGTCGAGAGCAAGTACGATGCGGGCTTCAACGTCAGCATCGTCGATTTCTATGGTCGTTTGCTTTCTTACCAGTTCTTCAACTACACCGATGGCGGCATCGGACTCGTGTGGTCCGACATTGCGGATTCAGATCCGTTCAAGTCTTACCAAGTCCCGTTCCCGATCGTCCACGGTCTGGCTGTCAACCAGCATGAGGCCTACACCATCAACACCACCTCAGTGCTAGAGTTCAACCCTTACGAGATGGGAAGCTGGGACACCGATGTTGCTACGTTCATCAACATCAAGTACATTGGCTCTGATGTAGTCAACGGCACTCCGTCTGACTCTTCACAGTGCGTAACCGGCTTCGACCAAGCTGGCTTCATCATCGGCACTTCATCCAACATCTTTGGTACTTCGCCGCTCAACAGTAGTATTGTTCAGGCAGCTTTCCTTCCCTCTGCGATCGAGAGCTCTATATCAGATCTGAACTCAAACAGCTCGCTCCGAAACGTCGCAATTTACTCGCCCAACCCGTTCTACGACGTCGATGACAATATCTACTCTGAAGGTTCAATTCTAACTGCTATCGATGGCGGAATCGACGGCCAAAACGTCCCCCTGACTTCTCTTCTTCTTGAAGAGCGTGGGGTGGATGTGATTTTTGCTGTTGATGTCAGTGCCGACTCTGACTACACCTGGCCGACAGGCAGTTCGCTCGGTCTTACCTACGATCGTCAATTCCTAGGAAACAGTCCTGCGATGCCATATGTCCCCGACCAAAACACATTTGTCAATCTCGGACTCGTCAAGCAGCCAACCTTCTTTGGCTGTGACATCACCAACAGCACGTCCGACACTACCCCTCTAATTGTCTACCTGGCCAACTATCCGTACACCTATCTGACAAACACCAGCACGGTGAATCTCGCGTACGATACTTCTGAAATTGAAGGCTTTATCACAAACGGGTACAACCTGGCTACCCAAGGAAACGGCACTGTCGAGTCTGAATGGTCAGCCTGCGTTGCCTGTGCCATCATCCATCGCGAGGTCGAGCGCCGCGGTCTTTCTCACACAGACCAGTGCCAGTCCTGCATGGACAAACACTGCTGGGACGGAACTGTTGACGACTCTGAGCCTTCGGAAGAGCTCTATACTCCTGATTATATTATTGGAGCTAATGAGTACGTCGCTGAGAGCTCGAGCTCTGCAAGCGCGTCGTCCCATCACTCTTCGACTGCTTCAGCTCACTCATCGAGTGCCCTTTCTTCGAGTCACGCATCGGGTGCTTTTGCCACGGCTACGGGAGGTTCCGGCTCTTCCTCTGCATTGCAGACTTCCTCCTCTGCCTCTGCATCTCCCACTGCCTCTGCCTCTGCATCTGGCTCTGGCTCTGGCTCTGCGTCGACGAGTGCGTCAGCCTCTGCGACCTCATCGACCTCGGGTGCAAACCATGTGAATAACTACGGCGGTTTTGTGATTTTGGCGGTCATTTTGACTTCTATTTTTGTGTCCTTGTAAGACTATCTGTTGGTTCTAAAAATTGTGTATTTGAGTAAAGACTGCAATGATCTTGTTGGGCTATGTGCATAAAAACTCTGTATTTATCCATCAGTAGCCTTCCGCTTCTTACTATTTCTCCTACTCTTCCCCGTCTCACTCTTCCCCACACCCTTCCCTTTCTCTTCCCGTGTTTGCTCCTCCTTCTTCTCTTCATCACCATCCTCGCCCACAATCTCAACCACCTGCTTATACGACCGCCGTCTCATCCGCGCGTGCGTGCACACCGCGCGCGCGTCTCCCTCGACCGCCAGTTTCCCCTTTTCCTGCGTAAACCCCCACAGCGTCGCCAAATTCGCGACATCGTACGGCCCGCGGCATTCGAGCGCCTGCTGCGCGGCCGAGGAGATGACGATTCCTTTCCCCCGCGTGGCGCGGAAGAGCGCGGCGGCGTTGGAGATCAGGTTGCGGCGGGCGTAGTGGTCGTTTTGCCGCGTGGCGGGGGAGTAGCATATCTCGATCTTGATGCCTCTTGCGACTGCGACGCCGAGAGCTCTGTGTTTGAGGTAGAACGGCAGGCGGGAGGAGAGGTCGACTGAGATGAGGTCGATGTCGAGGTTTGTGCATGCTGCGAGCAGGAGTTTTTCGTTCGTGGGGCGGACGGCGAGGATGTCGAATTCTTTTGTGAGGGAGGGGAGGGATTGCGCTTGGGCGGCGTCGTCGAGGAGGAGGGTGACGCGGGAGAGGAAGGTGATGCCGGGGAAGGAGGCTGCGAAGACGTCTTTTTGGATCGGGGAGGTTATCGATGATGTTTTCCCGGCTGCTTCGTAGTCGTATGCTATCGTCGTGTAGCCCACTAATAATCCATTAGCACACTATTTTAACAAAAGCAACTGATAACAAAAGCAGGAGGAGAAGTACAGTCTACCAGCGTCGCGACTGTTTTGAATAGATCCGCAATGGGACCAGTCGGTTTCGCAAACTCAAGAGTCGCAGACGCGGGCACGTTCTTTGGCCAGGGAATATTCAGGTCGTAGAACATGTCTAATTTTCTTTTCTTATATCAAGAAGAACTATGTAGACATGTAGGATATAATTGTCAAGTGGTGTCGTGTTAAGTTGAATCAGAACACATTTGGGAGACTTCAAAACTTCTCTGTGAGCCGCAGGATTTCTTTTTATTTTTATTTGTTTTCTCGCTCCTCTTTATCTTTGCTATATCGATACACCTCCGACTGACAATTGTATTCACAGCTTGCATCAAGCTGCATCTGCACAATTGCATAATGACTCGCTTTCTATCATCGCGGCCTCTGCTGAGGCGGGCGATACGTTCCCAGCGGTCAGCTATCGGACTCGTCGGGACTCTGCAACATTACCGTCTCGTCCACTCCTCAGCTTCCAGCAAACCACCATCACCACCGAAAAAAGGACAAAAGTTTCCGAACAGCAAGACAAGCAGCAGCAAAAAGACCGACAAGAAGACAATAAAAACCGAGCCACCCAACAGCTCCGTCCTCCGATCGGCAGAAAGCGACCCTGCGTTCACTACTCCCGGCAGCAACATCTTCATCACAAAACCGTTCACGATGGAACACCTGAACGCAAGGATCGACAGCGAAATCCTCGCGAAACCAGTGACGGCTAAACTACCGCACCAGCTATGCGGCGACGCGCTCGAGGCGTGCGAGTTGATGATTACTAAATTTGGCGATAAGAACGACCAGGCGGCCAAGGCGAAGATCTCGTCGCTGCAAGATTTGTTGAAGCTTGCGCCGCCGGCGTCAGCTAGTGAGCTTGTTACGGCTGTGTTTTCTCACCCTGCGGTGCCGGTTGGCAATGAGCTTCTACGGCGATATTTCCTGCTCCGGCCGGATACAGACCGTGCTATCGGCGCTATGCGCGCGTTCTACCAGAACCCCGCCAACAGCAAGACCGGCGCTGTGATTGAGAAGGAGACGTTTATGATTCCGTTTAGGAAGACACTGCGGGAAGAGGACGTCGACGGCGCGTTCAAGATCCTCGATTTGACTGCCGCCAGTCCGCAATGGCTCAGCAACGTCAAGCGGCAGTGGGGTAGAGCAGCAGCCTGGTGGGCGGGCGGGTTTCTTGCAACGATTCAACTATCTGACTTGTTTGTGACTTCGGATTTGATTGCGGTGGGAGGTCTTGAGGGTGGGTTTGTGGTCAAGACTCTGGTGGGTGTATACTTGGTAAACTCGACCTTGCTCGGTCTTGTCGCCTGTGCGTCTAGGCCGGGCGACAACGGCGGCCGGGTTAGTTGGCGCAACGGCGTGTTTCAGAACAAATGGTACCTGCACGCGCAAGAATCCCGCATGCTGAGCCAGATCGTGGACATGGACCAGCTCCGGCTCGAGAACGACGGCGAGGTGTCTGCCCGCGTGCTGTACGAGCTCGACGCGCGGCAGCGGAGACTCAGCGACAACGCGGACGATATCATGCTGAAGGAGTACTGGGCGAAGCAGGGACAGGGGTTTGAGTGGGTTGAGCCGGATATCGATCCTGCCGAGGAAGAGAAGATTGCTCGTGATAATTTGAAGCGGAAGACGAAGGGGATCGCGGATGGGCATCATGAGCGCATGCAGGAGCAGTATATCGAGGGTGAGCAGGACGATGGGTGGATCCAGAGAGTTTTGCAGAAGGATATGTGATTATAGAACCGCTGTATATAACTGTTTTTGTATATAACCATTCAACAAGTTTTACTGTCATATGTGAATATATGCGATAAGGCGTGCGGCTTGACAACCGAGGCAGAGCCGAGATACAACAAGTCAGCATCTACTCCACATTTATATCACGAGAACAACAGCAAAAGCAAACCGCAACTAATAACAATAACAACAACAGAATGCCAGCAGAAATCAAAGCTCTACTGTTCGACGTCTTTGGCACAGTCGTCGACTGGCGCAGCTCAGTGCGCGAGTACATGAAGACCAGCATGTCGGACGCCGCGCTGCGGGAGTCGATTGACTGGGACGCGTTTGCTGAGGAATGGCGGGTGGCGTACTACAAATACACAAAATCAAACGCGAAAGCGGACGATACGACCGCCTTTGAGACGGTGGATCAGCAGCATCGAAAGTCGCTGGGGCCGTTGGCGGAGAGGTATGGGCTGACGGAGGTGTGGGGTGAGGATGATCTTGATCATGTTGCGGATGCGTGGCATTTTCTTGATGGTGGGTTTCGTTGTGTTTAGTTTGGGTTGTTGATTGATGCTGATTTATGAGATATCCAGGCTGGAGCGATACAGTAGAAGGACTCACGCTGCTCAAGTCAAAGTTCATAATCTCCACACTGTCGAACGGCAACGTCAAACTACAAGTCGACATGGTACTTCTCCCTGCTGTTTCTCTATACAACCTAAGCTAATCTGTTTTGAGGCTAAATACGCAAAACTCCCCTGGGACCTTATTCTCGCGGGCGATATCTTCAAGATCTACAAACCGTCGCCAAAGGTCTACCTAGGCGCTGTCGAGATGCTTCAGCTGAAACCGGAAAAGTAAGAGTCTACAATAGCTTTGTCGTTCGTCGTTACTAATTGCTCTGTCTAGCGTGCTTATGGTGGCCGCGCATATATACGACCTACAGGCTGCCGCGAGTCTTGGTTTGAAGACCGCGTATATAGACCGCGAAGGTGAGGATGCTGGAATTACAGTTACGCCTGATCAGGTTGACTATTATGCGACTGATTTTATCGATTTGTATCGTCAATTGACACAATGATTTCTGAATGGATGAGACTAAGTTGAATTGAATATATATCGTCATTAAATATCGTACATGCTCTATGCCGTCAGAGCCTCTTTATGCCTTAATACTATCCTTATAATCCGAGCGTATTTGCTGAATATTGACGAATCCGGCTCTGCGTTCGAGATACGCAAACGGGCTACACCATCGTCAGAATCATCACTAAGACATGAATGTAAAATATAAAAATGAGAAAATACCTATTTCCTTCCTTTTCAACCTGCTTTGCCCATTTCGCAAACGACACCGGCTGCAACGTCGGCGCAGCGATAACCTGGCCGAGACCAAACAACGCAATCGCCACGACTGTCTCGACGATTATCTATATCCCGCCGTTAGCACTAATTCTCGTCACGGTATGTAATTGTTCTCGTCACGACGTGTAGTTCAAACATACATCGGCGGGTAGAGAAGCATTCGACTTGATGGTAAGGTGCTTGAGGTAGTGTGAAAACTCGTATGCCGAGAATCCCGCGTGCGCCAGCAGAAGCAGTGAGATTGTTGTGACGAATTTCGATAACGCAGTCATCTTCTGTGTAGTTGTAGTATGATCTGATCTTGATACAACAAATACAATACTCACGGATCAAATAGTTATGGCGAGCTGAACCTCGACTGTGAACTCGGCACGTCAGCAAGGGGCTGGTACTTCACGTGACCTGGATGACGTTTATTCTGGGTTATTTTCTTGGGACTTTGGAAATTATTTTCTTCTCGAGCAGAGATCGTCGATAGTCAGCAGCAGTTGCTATCTTCACCACAGCATCACACTCAGCACATAGAAATGGCAACTACAGCAGCAGCAGCAGCAGCAGCGTCTGCAGCAGAGGCAGTGCTGTACACATGCAACAGCTGCGCCGTCGGGTTCCCGACCGCAGATCTCCAGCGTCGCCACATGAAGACCGACTGGCACCGCTACAACCTCAAGCGCAGGGTGGCCACACTCCCTCCCATCTCCGCCGAGATCTTTGCCGAGCGCGTGCTGCAGCAGATGGACGTCACGCGGCAGAACGAGGAGCGCGCGAGTTATCTGTCTGTGTGTCGCGCGTGCGGGAATAAGCGGTTTACGTCGGCGGGTGCGTATGAGAACCATATCTCGAGCGCGAGACATCGCGAGAATGCGAAGCGTGCGGAGGAGAACCGGGCTGCGGGAGGAGAGGGGGAGGAGGAAGAGACTGGAAGTAGTAGTTCAGCAGCAGCAGCAGGTAGCTCGAATGTGCCGCAGATCGCCAAGGACAGTTTGGCAGGTAGCGCGTTGACTGTTGCCGACGCCGAGAGAGAGACTAGTTTCAAGGCTCTCTCGTTCCGGGAAACTAGAGTCGGCGGCGGCAAGAAGACGTTGAGAAGAAACCATATTGGTCCTGATGCCGCAGCCGACACCGAGAGCACTGTATCCTCGTCGTCAAGCGCCGCACAGAAGCGACCTGCGCGGAAACCACAAGCGCCACCGAAGGAGGAGGAAGAGGAGGAGAGCTTTGATGCCGAAGACGAGGACGAGGATATCGATGCGATTATTGCGCGGAAGCTGAAGAACGCGGTGAAGTTGCCTGTGACGGCGTGTATCTTTTGCTCGGCCGCGAACTTTGCGGACGTCAACGCGAACGTCAATCATATGCGGAAAGATCACGGGTTCTACATTCCCGAGCAGGATTACTTGGTTGATCTCGAGGGATTGATTACGTATCTGTCTGAGAAGGTGTCGATTGGAAACGCGTGTCTGTACTGTGCGTTTATTGGACGCAATCTGAATAGTGTGCGTGACCATATGATTGCCAAGCGACACTGCACTATTCCGTACGACACTGAAGACGACAGAATGGAGCTCTCGGACTTTTACGACTTTTCGTCGTCGTACCCTGAGGGATACGAAGGCAGCGGAGACGACGAATGGGACGATGTGTCTGGAGACGAAGCAGAAGCTGCAGAGGAAGAAGGTGAAGGTGCCGGAAAGACAGTCGCTACTGCGGCTGCTACCGAGTCGACTTTGTTTCTCGATCCCTCTGGCTACGAACTCTCTCTACCCCTTGCAGGTCTGCGTATCGGTCACCGCTCGCTCGCGCGGTACTACAGACAGTCTCTTCGACCCACTCCCGAGCTTCGGGAAGGCCAGAGCACTGTTATCGCGGCCAACTCGAGACCGACGATCGGCGCTGCGGTTACTTATGACCCGGTTCGCGATCGGGCGACGAAGAAGCTGTGGAAAGATCAGCGTACAAAGAAGAACCAGGATATTCGGCGCGAGATGCGGTATATCAACCAGCAGAAGCATTTCCGCGATCCTATGCTCGGAGGTTAGACGTTTTTTCTTTATTTTTTTGTAGGTTTAGTGTATTGTAATAGATGTTTTGCATACTATATAATGAAATCACGACTGATTTCGGTATATGATTTCTTTTCCTCCAATCGTACCTGTCCTACCCGAGACACCGAATCTAATCATTCCCGCCCCGGATTCTCCTGCCCGCAAACCACCCCAAGACAGACCGTTGCCCTTTGCCAGCGTAAGCTCTACTTTCGTGCCCATGACTTTGTACTTTGATTTCTCGGGAACGATCGGCCCAAAGAGCTGGAACTCGGTCTTGAATCGCTTTGTACCGAGATGCAACAAGTCGAGCACCAGTTTCTCTTCGTAAAACTCGATGGTGGATTTTGATTCTTCGCATTGCTTGGCAAAGATGGAGACAATCACTGTTGACGGGGTTTGGTAGAAATCGGTGCGGCAGTCTACTTCTTCGACGACGTTTGTCTTTTCTTCTTCTTTGGGGCCGAGGTAGAGATGTTTGCCGGTTTTGCAGCCTAATTGTTTTAGAGTCAGTGGACTGTGCAATGGGATCAAGGTGGATCAGGACATACCTGGTATTTTCAGGAACTCGTCAAATTCCAAAACACGGCGCTTGCAGCATGACCATCCTTTAGATGCTGTTTATGATTGTCAGTATCGATGATCTGTCAGAAAACATCTAAGAAAGACCTTACCATCATGAAAGATCGCTGTTCCAGGGTGAAAAACACAGCCGTCGCGGTTCGAGCCATCAAAAGTAACTGAACATCCATTCCGCTTGCACTTTGCCCCCAGCGGGATCTGCGCGTCCTCCGGATCATCCAAGAGCGCGAGATCAACCTTTTTCGTCTCGTTTATTGTCTGCTGAGTAGGTTTGACCGCCTGAGGAACTGCAGCCGGTGCTCCTCCTTCCTCTGATTTCTGCGGAACTGGGGCGCCGTAGACTTCTTTGCCGTCTTTGTCTACGTGAGTCGGGGCGGCAGATGCAGCAGGCTTCGGGGCAGCAGGAGTAGGTGCCTCGACCTCGGTGGTATGCACCCCTTTAGTGCAGCCAGGCATTGACAAAAAGTCATCGAACGAGATGACTCGCTTTTCGCAGCACGACCAGCCTACAAACTGTTAGTGACCTGAACAGATAGAAATCAGATCAAATACTCACCCTTCAACGCGTCGTGGAAGACGGGAGGTCCAGGATGATACCAGCACTCGCTCTCGTCCACGCGGTCGAATTTCTTGCCGCAGCCTTTCCGAGTGCACGTCTGTGACATTTTTAGCAGTTTCAAAGACGAAATAACAAAAAAAATAGTCGATTCAAGCGTTCGTGGAGAGCAAGAAACAGGCGCAGTCCTGGAAATACGGAGAAGTTGACAAGTGACGGCGGCGAGAGCGAGTTTGGCAGAGCGGAAAAAATAAGATTCAGGAGAGTTTAAGGTTAACAAAATTACTTCTTACGGCTAATTACTTTACAAAACAGGCAATTTATGGTACTCTCTCGAGCATTCTGGAAACTGAAAAACTGGAAATCACGTGCAAGTTGCGGCACCGGGTAACTCTCGGGCCGGCATTTACCGCCGTAGGTTTCCAGGCATTTAAAACAATCCGCTGCTGCTCTGCTCGCATCGCCACTTTTGTGTAGAAACAAAACAAAAATGCTTCGAAATACAACAACTTCACATACATCGATCGCACTCAGAGCCCTTCAGCGGTCGCTTGGTCGCTCGGCTGCCCGTCAGCAGCTGCCGCGAGTCGCGGGTTCTCTCGGCGCGCGCGTCGCGAGCAGGTCAGCCTTTGCGAACAATCACCAGAACTCGCTCACTCTGACTCCTCGCGCGCTCTTCTCGACCTCGGCTGCTCGGCCCGCAGCAGCTGCTGGAGATGGCAAGAAAAACAAGAACAGCAGCGGGTTCGGCAAGAACTTCAACATGAACCTGGGCGGCAGCGATAGTGCGTTGGAAACATACGGTACTGATCTCACTAAGCTTGCCATGGAGGGAAAGCTTGATCCGGTTATCGGTCGAGACGAAGAGATCCGGCGAACGATCCAGATCTTATCACGAAGGTATGTAGTCTTCTTTTGTTGTGTGCGTGCTATGGCATTGATCTAACTTTTATCCAGAACCAAGAACAATCCGGCATTGATCGGAAACGCGGGAACAGGAAAAACAGCAATCATGGAAGGTCTAGCCCAGCGCATCGTTCGCGGTGATGTGCCCGACAGTATGAAGGAGAAAACCGTCATCGCTCTCGATCTCGGAGGCCTGATCTCGGGTGCAAAGTACCGTGGTGACTTTGAACAGCGATTGAAGCAAGTGCTCCAGGAAGTCGAAGAGGCGGAAGGAAAGATCATTCTCTTTGTCGACGAACTCCACATCCTTCTCGGTCTCGGAAAGTCCGATGGATCTGTCGACGCTGCAAATCTCCTCAAACCACTTCTTGCTCGAGGCAAGCTGCAGTGCTGCGGTGCAACCACCCTCGAAGAGTACAGAAAGTACATTGAGAAAGATGCTGCTCTCGCCCGTCGGTTTCAGTCTGTGCTTGTCAATGAACCCTCGGTGCAAGACGCCATCAGCATCCTGCGAGGTCTGAAGGAACGTTACGAGGTGCACCACGGTGTCCGAATCACCGACGGTGCGCTCGTCACTGCGGCTACTTACAGTAACCGCTACATCACCGACAGATTCCTCCCCGACAAGGCCATCGATCTGGTCGACGAAGCTTGCTCTGCTCTGCGCCTGCAGCAAGAGTCCAAACCAGATGCAATCCAAGAACTAGACCGTGGCATCATGACCATCCAGATCGAGCTCGAGTCACTCAAGAAGGAAAGCGATCCTCTTTCAGTCGAACGACGGAAGAAGCTTGAAACCGATCTCAAGCTCAAACAAGACGAAGTCAAACGGCTGACAGAGATCTGGGAGAAGGAAAAGAAAGAGCTCGAGCGGATCAAGACCGCCCAGTCTGACCTCGAAAAGGCTCGAATCGATCTCGAGATTGCCCAGCGAACAGGTGACTTTGCCCGTGCTTCCGAACTCAGATACTCTCGAATCCCGCAACTCGAAAGCCTGGTCCCGAAAGAAGGAGAGGTGAACACCTCTTCCCTGCTCCATGATGCAGTCACTTCTGACGACATCGCCGCCGTTGTCTCGAGAATGACCGGTATCCCCACTCAGTCGTTGATGCGGGGTGAGCGCGACAGACTCCTGTACATGGAGGACTCGCTCAAGCAGCGCGTAGTCGGCCAAGACGAAGCTATCCATGCTATCTCCGACGCCGTCCGCCTGCAGCGCGCTGGTCTCACAAACGAAAAACGTCCTGTCGCCAGCTTCTTGTTTCTCGGTCCTACTGGAACCGGTAAGACCGAGCTGACGAAAGCTCTGGCTGAGTTCCTGTTTGACGACGAAGGTGCGGTCGTGCGATTCGACATGAGCGAGTTCCAGGAGAAGTTTGCAGTCTCGCGACTGATCGGTGCACCCCCCGGCTACGTCGGCTACGACGAGAGTGGCGAGCTCACCGAGGCCGTCCGGCGCAAGCCATACGCTGTCGTTTTGTTTGATGAATTTGAGAAAGCACATCCGGATGTGTCGAAACTGCTTCTGCAGGTTCTCGACGAAGGATTCTTGACTGACTCGCAGGGCCGGAAGGTGGATTTCCGCAACACAATCATCGTCATGACGAGTAACATCGGTCAGGAATTCTTAATCTCCGGATCCGATGAGGAACTGACCTCCGGCCACGTCAGCGAGGACGCAAAGCAGAAAGTACTCAAGACAGTCAGCCAGCTCTACCCTCCCGAATTCATCAACCGTATCGACGAAACCATCGTCTTCAACAGGTTATCAAAGGAAGCCCTCCGCAGGATCGTCGACATCCGCCTCAGCGAAGTCCAGGAGCGCATCCACGACAAGCGCATCACGCTCCAAGTCGACGAGGAAGTTCGCGACTGGTTGTCCGACAAGGGCTTTGATCCGCTGTATGGTGCGCGGCCGCTCAACAGATTGATCCAGAAGTCGATTCTCAACCAGCTCGCTATGCATCTCATTAAGGGACAGATTTTGCCGGGCGAGAACGCGGTCGTGAAGATTGCTGATAACGAGATCTTTGTCGTTCCAAACCATGATGCCAACTAGTTTCTGTTGTCATGTTTTCTCAACTAGTTATCATTTTTTGTATATAGTATTGTCTTTATTAGGACATTGGTTAATATAGAGTATTATGATAAGCTTAGAGTAATTACTTCTTAGAGTACTATCAATCAGCTACAGGCACAGTCAGTCCTATTGTACAAAACCAGAACCTACTTAACCCCCGACGCCATATGCGTCGATAATCTATACAGCAAAAAAGCAAACCAGCGCCAAACACCAACTATCCCAAGCTACAGCTTCCGAGCATTGCGACTCCGAAACATAACATCATAAACGCTATCCAGCATAAACTCAACCCCGCACCGCTGCCTAATCAACGGCAAAACAAACCACGCGCTCTGCTCCCCCTTCTTGCTCCAGTACCTTATATCCTCGCGCGAGTGCGGTGCGTCGACAAAGAAGCGCCAAAAGTCGCTGATTGTGAGATTTGGTGCGATCGTGATGATTTCAGAGTTCATCAGCCGGCGGTCGTCGGAAAGAAAGAGCTTGTGCAGGAAATCGGGCAGGAGACCGAGGGTTTCGAGAAGGGAGAGCCGGTGGCGGATTTCAAACGCGACTAGGCGCAGAAGCTTTATACGCCATGAGCTTTCGCCTTGGTGGAAGTCCTGCATGATGAAGGGCGCGATGTAGGGACGTGCTTGGGAGACGATGAAGTGGTTGACGTTGAACAGCTCCGAGACACGAGTATACGGCGCCTCGCGCTCGGCGCGCGGGGTGGCTGTCCATGACTTCCATTTGATTGTGGAGCCGGTGGGCATCCAGGGCACGATCTGGCCGTGCTCGTTCTTGCACATGAGGAGGATTTCTTCAAAAAGACCTGGTAGAGCGTTGCTAGCGCAGGCAGCGGACCAGATCAGGACGTTGGGAGTGGTGAGGTAGTTGAATAGGTTTGGCACGTATTTGTCGTCAGAATGGACCGAGATGTTTAACACTCGTCTAGTTCGTGCGTAGGCCTCTTCGAATGTTAAGTCGCCGGTGTTATCGCGGACCACCTGCTGCAGGACCTGGATGTCGAGTAGATACCCTTTCGTTACAAACCGTTTTATCCGCGTCCATGCATCTTTAGACTGGACCTCCGGGTCTTGAGATCCAAACGCAGACAGATTGATTCCGTTCCCGTCCAGAAACTCAGGCAGCTCGTCGTCCCTGTGAATACACACAAGCGAAGCAATCAACGCGCCGACCCCGACGCCAGTAATAATACGCGGCAGCAGCTGATGCTCATGCAGCGCCCGTACGACACCGAGATGGCATAAGCCAAATAAAACACCACCTTGGAGAACGAGGGTTGAGAGGCCGTATGACTGACGAGTGTCGTGCACGAGGTCGAGCTTTGCTTGCACGCTGAGAGTCGAGAGCGGGTGCTCGAGGAGGAAGTTGAAACTGTCGATGACTTCGAGGTTGTATTTCTCGATGAGGAATTTGGTGCTAGTGAGTGTTAGTGGTGATTAGAGCAGAAGGAAGTGGAGCGCTAACCCGGTATAAGTGAATAATTTTTTGTTTGCAATATTTCCCAGATTGCGAACCAGACCTATCAATATATCAGCACCGTGTCTTAACATAAAAAATAAGCGGTACTAACCAGATCTTATGTTGTTGGTAAGAGAGATGACATCCCCCATCTCTTTCATCTCCATAATCATATCAAGCCGTTCAGAGATCAGCTTGTAGTCGTAGAGATCAGATTTTGGATTTGCTCGCCACAGGTCGTTTCCCAAAACACTGTCAAGCTCAAACGCTAGGTCCTGTCAAGAATCAGTTAGGGACATTCTATATAAATCAAGACGACAGGCTATAGATTACCATCCATTCCTCATAGGTCTCGCATTCTCCCATTTGTTGGAGGATCCTTGATTCAGGCCGCGAGCCAAGTATGACACTCCACATCCTCTGAGGTCAAGTTAGCCACCAAGCAGTATAGACAGCAATATATATAAAATACATACAGTATGCCAGAACATGGCAACTTCGGCCACGGTCGAAAGGAGAGAAAAGAGGAAGTCGACGAAGAATGCCTGGATCATTGCGTATTAGACAAGAATCTGAATTAAGAGCCAGCAAAGAGAGGAGACAACGCACATAAGTACGCCATAGATTATTCATCTTGACTGATATCTGCTCGGGATTAATTGTCAAACTGACACGGTCCAGCGAAAGAGATAAGAACTGGGATAATCTGAATCAGCCTTGTCTCGGCCTCGCAGCGGTGATCCAGCGCCTCGCCAGCTCAGCAGCGCCTCTTCAGAAGACTATAATAAGCAGCACGGTATTCTGTCGCTTCCAGTTTTTATATCTGAAAAATAAGAGGATACAAACAGCAACAAGGCGGTGAGCGCATGTTTACAAGCAGAGTTGTCTTTCACATGCAAAGCGCTCGCTTACGCGCGGGGTGTAAACCCCTCAATACTCTATATAAAGTAACTAGGTGTTTTACTCTTCAAAGGACAGCTGCACGTGACCTCGATCAGATCGCATCGAGCAGGACTGAGAAGCAACATCAGAGAAGGCCGAGAGCAGGATGAACGGCCAGACTGCGAGGAACCTGGCCGGTCGACGGAAGCATGACGACGAGCTCGAGGTGGTTGACTGGTCCGCGACAGCTCCGGGACGAGATGTTGTGCGGAAATCAGAGCATTATCACGACTTGGCCGCGGCACTGCTCGAGAAGGGTTTGAATGAGAGCGCGTATGCTGCTGCTTCAAAGGTATGTTGTTTGTCGAGCTGATTCTGGGTGCTGTGCTGAAAGTATGTATGTAGGCAATTGATCTTTATATCCTTCAATCGCCAGAGATTTCACCTGCTTTCCTAGGCACATGCCTGCGCCAGCGATACATGGCCGCGAGGAATCTTGGTGTCATGACGTTTGCTGTGCAGAACGCAATTGAGGCGATATTCGTTGAGCCGTCGCTAGGATTGGTAACTATCGCTCTCGGCTTTTGATTTGTTTGAATACGCGGGGTCTGACGCAGACCTGACAGAGATACATCGATGCGGGCAATCTCTTTCAAGCACAGCAGGATTACGCTGGAGCGCTGTACATTTACTCTCGAGCACTTCGACATATTGAAAAGCAGGATCCGTATTACTACACAATTGTTCTGTTTAAAGAAGCATGCAAGTCGCAGCTAGAAGCGGACAAGCAAGCCGACGACAAAACCACAAATCACAAAACGTCAACAGAAGCTCGGTCAGTACGAGTTGCAGTCGATCCAGCCCAAAAACTGCCACAGGAGATTTTATTGAAAATAATGGAATATTTATCTCTGCCGGAGCGGTTTCACTTAATGAGAGTCAACCGTGCATGGTATCGGGCCACACAAAATTACATACGAGAAGATATAACCAACCTCGATCTCGAAGACTTTGAGTGGCCGCTGACGATGACCGAGCTCAGGTTGATTTTGGACAAGTCGAGAAAGTCGATAGAGGAAATATCGCTTGGTCTGATTAGCAGTGGCGAGGTCGATATCTGTACGCAGCTGATCTTGTATGGGAAATACAAGGTCGGGGACAAAATCATCGAGCCAGAATCCGAGTTTTCTGGATACAAACTGGACTCCCTTCGATCGCTAAAGTTCAATACGGTGAGCTCGGTCTTTGACCGGCTAATGGACTACCATTTCGTGTTCAAACAGTCGATCTTTGGTCAACTAGAGGAGCTGAGGATCAGGATTGAAAATGCTCCTACGGTGCTTAAATACTTTGGGTTTAGCGAGTTCCCCCGCCTGCGTGTCCTGGAATGCTACACCGGACAAGATATAGTCGGATCGTCAACAAACGAAGTCGCATTCCTCGACAGCCTAGACGAAGCAGGCGGAGATCGGGACCGGTACAATCAGCAGCCGCAGCTAAAAGTTTTAAGACTAGGCTTGCCGTTCAAAATCAGCAAGGTGAATGAGTTCCCATACTACCGGTCTCGAGCCAGTGTTGCAATCTCGCCTCAAAGTCTCCAGCGACTACTACGGCTAGTTCCCGAGCTAGAAGAGTTTAGCTGCAGGATGGTAAACACGAGAAGAGTGACAGACCGAATGATGAATGTGCGCGGAGCGGGCTTGCGCCTTAATCTGCGGGAAATGACGCCAAAGCTGAAAACACTTGACCTCAGCTATTCAGAACTGCGGGCGATGCCGCTCGTGCCTGCCACATGTGAAGTGATTAGGTTGGACTACTGCGAAAAGATGGGTCTACGTGCCTGCGAGACTTTTAGAGGAGTGCGGTATTACACCGACGTGCTCGACAGCGAAGGCGACGGTTATTTTCTCGCAAACATGCCGGACGAGTATTTAAATCTATGCAAGGTCAGCCTGGTCCACAGCGCTGTCGAGACCGAGAAGTTGTTTGACGGTTTAGTGCGGTGCGATACCGAGCGCCTGACGCACTTGAACCTGCATGGCTGCGACCAGATCGATTTCTCACAAAGCTTGCCTGCCAAATCTGATTTCTGCAAGAACTACAAGCGGTATGGGTTTTTCGACGATCCGTCGCGTTCCCCGCTTGCTCAGCTTGTGGTTCATATATTCCCTAATCTCGAGGAACTGTATGTAGGGGGTATAAGTTCAGTGGACGACGCTACTTTGGACGCGTTCACGATGCTTGAGAACCTGCGTTTGCTTGAGATTACAGACACGAATACTACACTCCGAGGAATTACGCATGTGCTCTTGAAAGAGAATACACCAACAACTACCGGCGATTTGCAAAAGTCGCTAGCGCTCCGGCAGTTTGATAAATTCAGGACTCGGCTGGCTAGTATGCCTATCGAGCTGTTTCCGCTTTCACGGGTGATTATTTCAGAAGCTGTGGTTGCGGATTGGTTTATAGATGCGTTTGTGGAGGTCGGGGTTGTGATTGAGGTTGCAAGCAATCTTTTTGAGGGGTATCATAGCTCGAAGTAGGTGTAATATAGATTTCATTCACAAGCAAAATAATCCAAAAAACAATAAATCATAGAGCATTACACAAGAATTTAGAAAACAACTTATATAACAGTGATTCGATTCCCTGCTGCTGCTGCGGTTGCTGTTGTTGTTGCTGGTACTGGGGTCCTTGGGGTATGCTGTAAGGCTGCTGAGTCTGGTTTTGAGACTGCATAGGATGTCCTAATTAAGAAACACCGCACCCGCCGATAGCATAATTGTTTAGTCTTCAAATGCAAAAAAAGAAGAAAGCTTAGCTATGATCAAGAGAAGAGTAGAAGAGGGGAAGCTTACCGTTATATCCCTCCCAGGTGATTTTTCCCAGCTCGACGACGCCGGTATGTTGGTCAGTCCAGGAGACTAGGAGTTCGCCGCCGTTGGATTCCGGGAACGCCCAGGGATGCACGTTGACGCAGTAATTGAACCCGGACTGGGGTTTATAAAGCTGGTAGAGCAAAGCGTCGGAAGTCCAAGGTCCTTCAGGCCGTTTGGCATGGCGCACGATGATTTTGTTGTCAGCCCACATGGTGCATCCGATGAGAATGAAGCAGTTGTAGTATTTTGACCAAAAGACGGTTCCGGACTGGAGTTTCCAGAAGAGATCTTTGAGGTTCTTTTGCTCTTTGGACCAGGTGTTGTCTTTAGTCCAGAACTCGTATTTCGAACGGTCGGTAGGGCAGTCGTTGGGCACACGGGAGACAAAGATCTGACCGCCTTTTTCGCCGTAGAGGTAGATGTAGTCGTGGTCGATCAAAGTCTCAAAGGAACCCCATGTGATTGTGTTCTGTATCAACGTCAGTAATCAATCGATTAATATAAAAGGCGAAAGAGGAGACTTACATGGGGAAACAAGGGCTCGTTCATGCAGCGAGTGACGACGGGCATGCCATGTTCGTCGGTGGATACACGACCGATCTGAACGCCGTATCCGACGTTGTCGGAGAGGTTAGTCGATTGAGTACGTCCTTTGGTAAAGAAGACCCATCCTCTGATGTCAAGTTAGCAAGAAGAAACACACTGCCAAATCAAAAATGGACGCACTGTCCAGGGGAAGTCTCGACTATGCTCGAGAACGACCACAGAAAGTATCTCTGCTTGCCACCTCCCTGATGCTCCTTGTTGAATCGCCACTCTTCGTCTGTGAACGGGATAAACTGAGCCGGCTTTCCGTCGCTCTTGCAGATCCAATACTTGCTCTTTGTCGGTTCGCGCTCGTTGCCCATCGCGGCGGTGGAGGTGAGAAGGCCAATCATCTGGCCTTTGTCGTTGAGCGGGAAGGTGTCGCCAAACAGCCAGATCGGCTTACGGTTGAAGACAGAGGAGCATCCGATGTCTCGGGTGTAATTGTGTCCGTTGACTGCAGAAGTGTGAGTATCAGTGAAGAGAGGAAGATCTGATCGACGACTGACCATCTTTCAAGGTGCCGATTCGCTCGAATTTCTTGAGTTTAGGAGGAGGAGAGGGCATTGCAGTATCTGTTATTCAGTAGTATAAAATGTATATATAAGAACGGACTATATGGGAATATGAAGAAGAAGCAGTTATTTGGCAATCACCTCGAAGAAGTGAAACGAAGCGGTTCGGTCGGAGCATCCCTGCGCCTCGCTGCACGGCTACGTCATTCTGACACCTCGCTCGCACCAACGCCGCACCACTGATCACTAAGTCATTACATAATACCCTAAAACCCTACAGAAACGCGGACTATAATCCGAGGCTCGGCTCGGGCCGACCCCAGTTCGAATGCGGCTTAGTGCGAGTTACCTAATCCGGTTTAGCTGCGGCGCACATCAAAATAAATTATTGCTGCGGCTGCGGCGCACAACATCTCGCGTGCTTTCGACTTTTTGCTTATCGGAAAAGCGCCGGCTTTTTGCGATTTGTTTTATTTTTCTTCTTACAACCGCTGTCTACAATAAGAAGAGAGGAGAGGGCAGATGGAAAGAGTTTGCAACAGGATATAGTAGATGCAATATGTCTGTTACTTCTGCTGAGTCTGCCGGTGTGCAGCAAGAAAAGCTGGCTGTTGATAATAACTCCGCGATAACCCCGACGGAGAAGAAGACGAAGGAGGAGGAGGAGTGCAATAAGGCCTCCCGAGCGAGCTCAGACGAGGCCGTTGACGTCGACGGCAGCGGCGATGCAGATGCGAATGCAGCAGCAGAAGACCTCGAAAAACAGAAACTGAAAGAGAAAATACACGGCCCGTCGTTCATCTCAGACCTCGAACACGGAGTCGTCGGCTGGGACTCTGAAGATGACCCTGCGAACCCCAAAAACTGGTCAAATCGACGAAAGCTGATGGTCATGAGCTTCGTGATAATCACAGGCCTCATGGTCCCTACTGTCTCGACCCTCTTCGCGCCCGGTCAGGCGCTCATGGCCGCAGAGTTCGGCCTCACAAACTCCGTCGTCAAGCAATTCACCGTCTCGTCCTATGTCCTCGGCTTTGGCTGGGGCCCACTCATCCACGCGCCAATGTCGGAGATGTACGGCCGCAAGTACGTCGTTGCGATATCAAACCTCCTCCTCTCGATCCTCAACATCGGCTGCTCGGAAGCCACCTCGGTCGCAATGTTTCTCATCTTCCGCGCGTTGTCCGGTATCCTTGGCTGCGCGGGAATGGTCGTCGGCGCCGGCATTATCTCAGACATGTTCAGAGTCGAAGAGACGGGAAGAGCTACAGCGCTCTACCTCCTCGGCCCAATCATGGGTCCCGTCTGTGGTCCCATTCTCGGCGGCTTCATCTCGCAGCGCGCAGGCTGGCGCTGGTGTTTCCGCGTCATCGAGATCTTTGCCGGTATAATGTCTCTCTGTTTCTTCTTTGCCGTTCCCGAGACCAACGCAACCGTCCTCCTCCGTCTCAAGGCCGCCAGACTACGGCGCGCCGGTGGAAGCCCTGACCTGATTTCGATCATTGACTCGCGCATTCCGCCCATGAAACCGCGCGCAAAGTTCACGGCAAATATATCGCGCGCGTTCAAACTGATGCTGTTTGCGCCTATTGTTGTTGCCTTCTCTCTCTACATGACAGTCGCGTACTCATATCTCTACGTCTTTTTCACAACCCTCACCGAAGTCCTGACCGAGCAATACGGCTTCTCGATCGAGATGGCCGGCCTTGCCTATCTCTCTGTTGGCGCCGGCACATTCACCTCCGTCATGGTCGTCGGGTCCACAAACGATAGAATGGTCGCCTACCTCACCACACGTAACAACGGCGTGCGGAAACCTGAAATGCGTCTCGGCCCCATGATCATCGGCAGTATCCTCATCCCTGCATCAATGTTCTGGTACGGCTGGGGCGTGCAGACTCATATCCACTGGTTCCCTTTAATCCTCTCGCTTTTCCCAATGGGCTCAGGCCTACTCGCCTCCCTCCTGCCGATCCAGGCATACCTGATCGAGCTCTACGCCCCCTTGGGCGCAGCTCATACCTGATCGAGCTCTACGCCCCCTTGGGCGCAGCTGCCTCAGCGACCGCGGCCCTGAATCTCTTGAGATCGACAGCAGCGGCTCTGATCCCGCTCTGCGTGCCGAGCATGATCGCCACTCTGGACTACGGCTGGGGATACTCGTTGCTGGGATTTCTGGCGATTTTGTTTTGTACCGTCACTAGTATTTTGTTTGTAAAGTGGGGAGAAAATCTGCGCGAGCGGTTTCCCCCGAGGATTTAGTATACTGCATGGAAGGTTATTGCATTGTTAATGATATATCTTATATAATATGAGTAATATGAAGAAATGAGCAAAAGTAGAAATATAGAAAGATATCTGAGTGTTATCGAAGCCGAGCGGCTGCTGCGGCTGCGCAACTTTATCGCCGCTATCAACACTTTTCTGCTCATCGCTGCTCATCCCAACTCTTCTCTTCTTCTTCCTTTACTTCAGCAACAGCAACTCGCAGAAAGAAGAACAGAAGAACAGAAGAACAGAGAATGATGGACCTCTGGCACACCCTCGTCTCCATCCTCTTCATCCTCGCCCCCGTCTTCCTCTACCACAATGTCGCCCTCCGCTCAACCTCCGCCGAACCCCCACTGATCAAAGGCCGACTGCCCTTCATCGGCGTCGCGCTCAACTTTGTCTCGGATCCGCAGCCGCTGCTCGAGAAAATGCGCGCAAAACTCGGCTGGATATACACCCTCTACCTCGGTGGACGGCGCATGACGATTGTGTCGGACCCTGTCCTCGGTATCAGGCAGGTCTACTCCCAGGGCAGGATATTCGACGCCGGCGAGTTCTTTCGATACCTCAACATCAAGCTTTTTAACTACACCGAGCGCATAAACAGCAACTCGGAGTTTCAAGAAGCTCTCGTCCGTCACGTCATCACGTACCTCTCCTCTCCGGCAAACATCGACGCCATCGCCAAGGACCTGCAAGCCGAGTACCGTGTCCTCGTCGACGAGAACTCCCCCTTCTGCAACGACGACTACACTCTGCAAAACGGCACCACCGTCGATCTCTACGGCTTTGCCCGCAAGACAATGTACGTCTCCGCCGCCTACGCCGTCTTTGGCAAATCCTTCCCCGCAGACTCGCTCTACCGCAACTACATCAACTTTGAAGATTCCCTCCTGCGCTTCATCAAGGGGTATCCCTACGTCTTCAACCGCTCCGGCCAGGACGCTCGGAAAGCGGTGCTCGCCGACCTCGGCGACTTCTTCATTGACCAGGAGAAAGCCTCGCGCTCGTCGCCGTTCATCACCGGGATCTCGGCGCTGTTTGACAAGTTTGGGTATATGACCCGCGAGGATCTGTCGGGGTACTTCCTCTCGATTGTGTTTGCGAGCAAGTCAAACAGCATCCCGATCGCGTTCTGGTACCTCGCCTTCATCGTGCACGATCCCGAGTTCAAAGCCGAGATCATCGAGCTGATCAAGAAAAACTACGTCAAGGAAACCAAAGACTTTGACTGGAAAGCCCTGTACTCCGACCCGCTCCTCAACTCGGCTTTCAAAGAAACAACCCGTCTAGCATCAAACATCACCTCCGGCCGCGCAATCACCCGCGACGCAATGATCAAAGTCGCAGACTCAAAAGACCGCACAAAGTCAAAAGAGTACTACCTCCGCAAAGGCGACAGCGTCCTCATCCTCTCCAGTCTCACGCACTGGGACCCCGACGCGTTCCCTGACCCAATGGCATGGCACGCGCGCCGCTTTCTCCCCGATTCCTCTTCCTCCAGTAATCCTCTCGTGCCGCACGAGCACGCGGACAAGGACACCAAAGAGCCGCAGTGGAGAGCGTATATTCCTTGGGGCGGCGGCGGGCACATGTGTCCTGGCCGGCACCTGGCGATCGTGGAGGCGGTCACGCAGCTCGTTTACATGCTGTGGTATTTCGATATTGAGCCGGTGTCGAAAACTGTGCCGAAGATGAAGGTGGGTGAGAACTACGGCGGTGGTGTGTTGAAGCCTGCGTCGGCCTACACTGTCAAGATCAGAAGGAGATCCGAGCCGTTAGTTTCATAGATGCATTGTACACATTACTACGTATAGACAAGTATAGACAAGAACAGATCTCATTTCATAATCTCAATCTATCCCTCTTCTACCATTACTTTCACGGATGTATTTGTACATATCACAGATTACAAACAAGAACGAATCAACGCATCCCACTTCTCAACCGCAACCTTATCCCTCTTCTTAAACTCCTCCTCCTCCACAACCTCCCACTCGCCCATCCCCTTCTTATCCCCCAAGATCCCAATCTTGCCCACCTCCCACGGCTCCTCCCCGTTCGCAAACTCGATCCACTTCTTTGCAAAATTCACCGCCGACTTCTTCTCAAACTCCCGCTCGGACGCGGAAGCCGCAACAGAAGGTAGGCTTGCGATCCGATCGTTGACGTTTTGGAAGAGATAGAGGAGATCGACAAAGTGGTGGGAGTTCTGCTCGAACGGCGGTTCCGGGAAGGGGTTTTTCTTGGCGAAGCGGTAGTAGTAGGTCGGGATGTCGCGTTTCTTGATTGCGTACTTGTCGTAGTTTACAAGAAAGTACGCTTGCGAATCAAAGAGCAGAGCGCCGATCAAAGCGCTAATCTCAGAGCGCACAGTCAAGAGGTCGGAGGAAGTAGCAATCGCAGAAAGACCAAAGGCTTCAAGGACGGAGGAGGTCTTGGTTGCTGCGGAGGGGCCGTAGAAGATCGAGATGAGTTTTGTCGCTGCTTCGGCGGGAGTGCAGGTTGCTGCAACGCGATCGAAAAAGCCACCGAATAGACCGCCCTGGAAGATGTTAGCTATGCTCACTATAACTGTCAATGACAAGAAAGATACCTCGTCGCCGGTGTTACCAGCCAGAATCTCATCAACCCATTCACACTCATACATCATCCTACAGGTATCACCCGCACGCAGCGCGTCCGTAAACATCACGCCGTCAACTACAGGTTGCAATCTGAACGGGGGACTTTTAAACTCCATCAACTTGTCCACCTCTGCGTTGAGCAGCACGTCGATCTCTGATCCATCAGAAGAAACAAAAGCACAAAGCTTGTCGTAGGTATCCTGCTCGACATCGTGGGTGTTGACAGGGATAGTAGTCGCGATGCCAGACTGCAGAATCGCACGCTTGAACAAACCCGCCGGCAACTGCTTCGCAATCATCAAATACGACACCACGCTCGCGCCCGCGCTTTCTCCAAACGCAGTGATGTTCTTGTCGTCCCCGCTAAAACCAGGAATAAAAGAGTGGATCCATTCAAACGCGTGGACGGCGTCCCAGAGTCCGTAGTTGAACGGGTTCTCGTTGTGGGAGGCGGAGTAGGCTTGCAGTTGGGTGGAGGAGAGGAAGCCAAAGATGTCGAGACGGTACTGGATCGCGACAGCAACGACCGGTTTACCTTCTGCAATTGATAGATCGACAATTCTCGCGCAGTCTACGGTAAATGTCAGTCAACAATTCCTATGATCTTGAAAAGAGATAGAGTGGTAGTAGTAAATACCTTCAAGTCCGCAGCAGGCACCACCACCAGTCTTGAGTCCACCGCCATGAACCCACGCCAGCACCGGCACTTTTGCTTCATCCCCACTCTCAAGCAATGAAGTAGGTACCGAAATCGTCAAGTTCAGGCACTTGAACTCGTCAAACTCGTGCTCTTCGGGTGGCAGTTTTCCGCCAAACGCAACGCCGTCTATGAACGGGCCGTCGTAGTGTTGCGGCGATGCGGGGCTACCATACAATTCCCATTAGTATCATTACAAATAGTATGAAAGAGAAGGAAAGAAAAGAGAACACACCCCCATCCACTGAAATCACGACCGGTCTTGTCATCGAATCCATCTCGAACGACAGACTGTCGGAACCGCCCGGGCACGCTCGCGAACGGCACGCCTCTGAACTGCGTGACGCGGCCGCCGAGGATCTTGACGCCGGTGAGCTCACCGAGTAACGGATGAGTGTATTTGATTGTGCCTGTCATTTGTATTCAATTGAGGTGAATTGGGGCAATTGAGGGCAATTACTGAGAGTTGGTGGGGAAGAGGAGGGGAGGAGGAGGCTGCGGCTTATCCTTATCTGCTGAGGCAGATAACCTGTTGTTTATTATCATCGCAATCAAACACTTAACTTCTCAAACTACAGCAACACTACGACCTCTGTTCGACTTTAAGAGGTTTTTCAGGCGCAGGCGCAATGATCATGTCACCCGGAATCAATGTCACGGCAGGATTGACCTCCAATCCAAACCCAGGCTTGTCCAGCACAGACACATCGAGCACTCCAGTGGTGGGCACCGGCTCGTTCAAGAACAGACCGCCAAAGACAGGCAGGACCGAGGTTGCGTCCGGAGAGTTGGCAAGGTACTCTTGGAACGGCGTGTTGAGCTGCGAGGCGACGAAATGGTACGAGTAAGGTCCGCTGGCGTGCGGGACGACGGGGATATCATAAGCAGCCGCCTGGTTTGCGACTTTGACGAGCTCGGTCATGCCGCCGAGCCACATAACATCCGGCTGGATGATGTCGACGCAGCGGTTCTCAATCAGCTTGCGGAACCCGTACTTTGTGTACTCATGCTCGCCGGTGGTCCATTTCATCCACGGACACGCCGCCTTGAGCTGCACGAAGCCGTCAAAGTCGTCGGGGTGCAGGACCTCCTCTAGCCAGTTGATGTTTAGGTCTCTGAGCGCGTTTGCGAGTTCGATCGCATAAGGCACGTTCAGAGCCATGTAGCAGTCAATCATGATTGGAAAGTCCGGGCCGACGGACTCGCGGTACTTTCTCAGCGCCTCGACGTTCTTGCGCAGGCCCTCGTGTCCCTCGGCCGGGCCGTACGGGAGCGGAACTTTGCCTCCCCAGAAGCCCATCTTCTTTGCGCAGTCGGGCCTGATTCCGGTGCAGTAAAAGTTGATTTTTTTCTTGGTGGCCCCGCCAATCATCTTGTAGACGGGCTCGTTGCGGATCTTGCCGAGCAAGTCCCAAAGCGCGAGATCGATGACGGAGATGCACGCGACCGTGACGCCCTTGCGGCCGTAAAACATGCTTCCGCGGAACATCTTGTCCCAGATCTCGTTGTAGTCGCGAGGATCTGCACCGAGCAGGAACCTCTCGAAATGGTGCTTGACAAGCCAGCAGGCAGGTGGGCCGCCAAAGCCGGTTGCGAAACCCTTTGTGCCGTCGGAGGCCTCGATCTCGATGCAGAACGAGCCGAGGACGTTGATGCCCCAGGAGACGCGGGAGCTGCGGTACTCTTCGTAGCCAGACATGGGGTTTGCGATTGGCGAGTCTATGAGCCTTGGTGGTGTTAGTGTGGAGTTGTATGCAAACTGTGCTAGTTGCTTACCAGTGGCCACGGTCGACGTCGTGGTAGTCGCCGCCTATTCCGCGGCCGTCGATGAGAAACGGCCGGACAGCGACGATTGTGGGAAATTGTTTTGTCGTCATTGTGAGCGGTGAAGAGTAGGTTGAGAAGAAGGAGGAGGGGGAGGAGCAGAATATAAGCAGAACAGAGGCCGATGGCGGGGAAGGCTCGGCAGATCAATTGACCGTCGATCGACGCGAGGCTGCATCGGCGATGAAGCGGAAGAAGAAGTCAGGAAAACATGGTGATAAACAGGAAAATATGGAGAGAAAACAGGGAGAAGAAATCAGGAAGAAGGAAACAAGGCGAAGCAATTAAAAGCAGAAACAAGTAAACAATAAGAGGAAGAAGAGTCAAAACATAAGTAAGCGCTGACTAATAACTTTGAACCCCGCAATTTTGCACGTGTTTTGTCTTTAAATCTTATTCCTCATCTCTTCTACATCTTTCTGATCTGTTTTTGATCTTTTTTTTGTTTCTGGTTTTGTTTGTTTATCTGATACTCGAAAGAGCAGTTCTAACAGCATAAGACAAGATAATGGACCGCCATGACCGCAAGCGTAGAATGGTTTCTGTCGAGGAGCCTGCTTCGGACGATCCGGCCTCTCGCCTTTCACTATCGTATCAGCCCTCGTCTCCTTCCTTTCTTCAATGGTGCTTTACTAACCTCTTTCTAGCTGCAATGCTTGCAAAGACCGAAAAGTAAAGTGCAACAGAACGCATCCCGTTTGCGGACTATGTCAGAGAAACGGTCGGTTGTCCTCTTCCTCCTTCTGAATGTCTCCGCAATTACTGACCGTCTCAGGCCTCGAATGTCTCTACGTCGAGAAACGCAAACCAGGACTCAAACCGGGGTTCAGCAAAGACCTAGTTGAGCGTGTTGATAAACTTGAGGAGGCCTTTGTTTCGAATCTAGAGATCCTGCGCGAGGTTAGGAAGATCGAGTCGGTAGTCGCCGAGTCAGCTGCGAACCTCCGCAATCTTGAAGCTGCTATCGCCCCGTCTTTCGTGCAGCCAGAGGTGCTGCCTACTCAGCACCAGCAGCAGCAGCAGCAACAGAAGCAGAATGACCTGCCTCCCTACGACGTCCTCCTCAGACTCGTCAAACTATACATCGACAACATAAACTCCTGGTTTTGCATCTTTGATCCCCACGAGATACTCTCTCGCGTGTTTGACAGCTCCGGTCTGCTCAACTCTGACGATATTATCATCCCGGCAATTGTCGCCGCGACCTTACGCTTCCTACCTGCAGACGAAATGTGTGACGCCGACAAAGACCACTTCCACACTGCCGCCTCGCAAAAGATCATGCTGCAGGCCCTCGAAATCCCAACTCTCGAGTCCTTAGAAGCAATGGTTATCCTTGCTGTTGATGTGGTTGGAACTTCAAATGGTCCGAAATGCTGGCCTATCCTGGCAATGATCTGCTCGATTGCGCTCAAACTAGGCCTCAATCGCGACCGCCCGGCGCCTCTTTCGTCCGGCACGCTTACTCCCCAGAATGGTGCCCAGGAGGGGATCAACACAGCTGGAGTGCCAATTATTCCTGAGAGTGCAGATGCGATAGTAGAAGAGCGGCGACGGCGGCTGTTTTGGGGGATTTATCTTTTAGACCGGTACTCTGCTATTGGAAGCTCGTTTATGTTTGATATACCGTCGTCTGAAGTCCAGCGACGACTGCCGTTCCTGTCCTACAGTCCACAACAGAGCAGCAATTTATATTCTTCAGAATTTCCATGGCTATCAAATAGCCACCCACCCAAATCCAACGCGAGCACCTCATCTACCTCCGCCAACCCCTCAAGCACCACCGACATCCCTTCGCCGTCATCCTCCTCGACCCCAGTCTACCTCGAACCCTTCGCCTACCAACTCGACCTTCTTGGTATCCTCTCTGCGATTCACGAATTCCTCCGTCGGCAGGTGAATATCAACTCAAAAACCGACAGCGAGCGGTGGCAGATCCAGTACCGGAAGTTTGTTCTTTTGCTGGATGAGTGGAGACTTCGTCTGCCGTCTGAGTTTGCGACTACGGAGAAGGTTATTGAGAGGTTTAGGAGTGATGAGGAGGATAAGCTTGATCCGATTTGGATCCATCTTCATTCTCTTTACCATACGTAAGTTTCTGTTTGTTTCTATTTATCTCTTATATGCTAACTGGCAGTACAGCACTGTTATCCGCATCAACTCATCAGCAGGCTACCCTTACCGACAATCCGCCAACTTCCAAGCCAACTCCGAAGCCCGCGCCCGCTCTCTTGCCTCTGTATCCCAGATCGTGAGTCTAGCAGAATACCTCTCGACGAAGCCATCGCGGTTCTACAAAAGCATAGGACCGCACTACGCATTCACACTCTGGGTTGCCGCGCGACTATCGATTGTGCACAGTTTTGTGACGAAGAAGATGTTGTCGGACGATATCGCGACGCTGGTGAAGACGTTGGCGGGGATTGGCGAGTATTGGCAGGTTGCGAAACGGTACTCTGATTTATTGCTGTTTGTGATTGAGGAGGGGTGGTTGAATAAGATGAGGGGGCAGTCGTCGGTAAAGTCAGAAAAGAGTCAGAAGGCGGAGGGGGAAGAAGAGGAGGAGGATGAGAAGGAGAAAGCGCGGATGGAGAGCGCAAAGATTCTGTCAGACATGCGTCGGAATGCTTCTGATCTCGATTTCTTACTCTCGAGCAGAACTAAAAATTCTAGCTCGAAGAAGAATTCGGCGAATATTCTGTTTTATTATGGCGGTGTGAATTCAGAGACTCCAGCCAGAATGCCATCTCCTCCGCCTGCGCCTACGTCAGAGACAGAAACAACCTCAGAGCTACCTGACCTCGGATTAGAAGACGTATTTGCAACCTCTCTCGACTCTTTCTCCGAATTCAGCCCGACGCATCAACTCGACATGGCAAATATCTTTGAATGGTTTAATTGGCCTAAATCGTCTGATGCAGTGCTTGCGGAAGGAAATGCGGACGGAAATAGTGAGGGGCAGAATGGGGATTTGGGAGCGTTGGTGGCGGCGGCGGGGTTGGGTGGGGAGTTTGCATGGAGTAGGTGATGTCTATGATTATGTATAAGAGACGGATGCATTTGAATTGAGCTGTTGTGGAAATGCCCTACAAATATAAATTCCAAAAGGAGTAATTCGGTCGAGCGACAGCCTTTCGACATGTAGTAGGTTCCTGTAATTTCACAGTATAAACCAGCTTCTCTCTATTATGCCGTTTTTCTTGTACATTTTCATTAAAATTGAACTATTATTTTCTTTGAATTATACTACGGTCAGATCTGAGATGTAATACAGGTTTAAGTTTCCTAGTCTACTAGTAACCAGCTCGTCGGCTACATAATTGCTAAACCAGCAACGATTTTACTCTAGTATTATTCCTCTAGTATTATTCTTGAATATTTATCTTCCATCTGATCTAAAAAGAAAGAAGCAAAAAAAAAAGCAACTTCAAAAAAAACAACTTCAAAAAAAACAACTTCAAAAAAAACAACTTAAAAAAAAACAACTTCAAAAAAAACAACTTCAAAAAAAACAAAAACAAAAAGCTGCCTCCAACCGGATTTGAACCAGTGATCTCAGCATTACAAGTGCTGCGCCTTACCGCTTGGCCATAGAGGCGTAAGCTAACATCAAAAAAATGGGTCTGGTTCAATATAAACCTGTGCAATAATTGACGTAAGGTGTTATTAATAATAACTATTTTTTTTATAATTTGTGGGATGATGTGTGATCCTAATTGTGAAAAGTGAGGTGGATGTGTTATAATGAGGTTATAAATAAATAGTGTAAAGAATAATTGTTGAGGAAGGGGTAGAAAAGTGTAGAAAGAAGAGCACTAAACACCGACGCCGAGCAGCTGCAAAGAAGAGAGATCGGAGTCCGTCTGAGCGTCGGTGTCGGTCGGCGGCGGGAGATTCGGTAAATCGCGGAGTTTTGTGTTTAAAGTTAAAAAGTGAGAAGCGGAAAGAGAAAAGAGAAAACACAGGAAAACACAGGAAAACTGGAGAAAAACCCGGGCTCGGCTCCGGTTTCGCCGACGGGTTTGTTTGTTTTGATATAGGTTTATCTCTGTTGACTATATCTGCTGTTCTATTCTATTTGCCGTTGTTATTACTATTGTTGTTATTATTATCATCTACTGTTGTGGTTGTGTATACTACAGAATCTCGACACCGGATGGATGGACAGTGGACAGTCGGTGGACAATCCGCTATGCTTCTGCAACCGGAAGTCTTATCACCTGCGCAGCCACAGCCGGCGGAGGGCGCTGCCATCGCCTTGTTAGCAACAACCTCCTCAACAGGTGACTAACCGCAGAGTCAGCACTGGAGACGAATACGACGTGATGTTGTGGTGATTGTCTGCGCTAAGCAACTGTTGTGCCCTACTAAACAGTCTGACCAGCGCTCATCTTCATCTTCATCTTCTGCTTCAGATATCTTCTTCTATTCCTCATAACAACACCACCTGAGCTCCTTCCAAGATTCAAGGAAACTGACGCAAGGCGATCATGACGTAATCTTGTCGCGGGGCTACCAGAGTTACCGCCGAGTGCGGGTTTTTCTGGCTCCATAATTGCCGCCGAGGTCGTCGTACTCGAATATCAGAGAAGAGATGGTTTCTCAATGCAATGCATATATCTGTTTTATTTTATGATATCTACTGTAGATAATACTATACTAATACTAATACTAATGCTAATACAATAACACACTATCAACAGCACCCCCCAACACTTAACCCAGCGATAGATAAGACCGGCGCAAGGGGCTCAGCCGAGCGGCGCGCTGAGAAAGAGCCGAGCGGCTTCCGTGGCGAAACGCCGAGCCGCCGACGCCGCCTTTGGCCTTTTGAGAAACTATAATAACCACAACAACTGCCTCTTCTGCGCTGAAGTTTTCCTCTTGCTCTCCCGTCAATTACCTCCCTGCATTGTCTGTCCTCCTCCTCCTCCTCCACTCACCTCACTTCACCCACATCACACCCAATGGCCGACATCGAAAAAGGCTCGTCGAGCTCCGACCCGTCTGCCTCGGACGACCTCACCGACCTCGCCCCCGTTATCTCCCCCGAGCTGCGCAAAGAATACGAAGACGCCGGCGTGCCGCTCTCGGTCTCGCCCTCACAGCCTGAAGATCCCGAGGACCCTGTCCTGCTCGAGCGCGTCCGCACCGCAATGTCCATCGCGTCCGAAACCGTCGGAACCCCAAAGGCTCTCGAGCAGACAAAGTCGGGCAAGCCCCTGCCGGCTTTTGGCGGCGGTAAGCCCTACCCGCCGCTCGTCGGCAACCGCGAGGCCTACGTCGTCGAGTTTGACGGGCCCGACGACCCGACCCATCCACAGAATTTCCCGTTCCTGAAGAAGGCAAAGATCATGAGTGTCCTTGGTTTCTCGACCTTCACCGCTGCCTGGGGTTCGTCGATTTTCTCGTCCGCGACCGCAGAGATTGCTGAGAAGTTCCATGTGTCGAACGTGGTCGCCTTGCTCGGCATGTCGCTCTACGTCCTCGGATTCGCCTCTGGCCCGCTCGTCTGGGCTCCCTTCTCTGAGCTGTCTGGCCGCCGAAAGCCAATTATCGTTGGTATGCTCGGATTCTCAATCTTCAACCTGGCTGTCGCGCGCGCGTACGATCTGCAGACCGTGCTCATCTGCCGTTTCTTTGCCGGTTTCTTTGGTGCCTCGTGCTTGACCGTCGTCCCCGCCGCGTTCTCGGATATCTTTGGTAACCGATGGCGTGGTACTGCCATGGTTATCTTCTCTGCTGCTGTTTTCTGCGGTCCGCTGATGGCTCCTGTTGTCGGTGGATTCATCGCTGCTTCGTATTTGAAGTGGCGTTGGACTGAATACCTCACCATGATCATGGGCTGGGCTTCGTTTATCATCATCGTGCTGTTCATCGACGAGACTTATGCGCCTGCGGTATTGATCGAGAAGGCCTCGCTTATCCGTCGCGCGACCGGCAACTGGTCGATCCACGCGCGCCAGGAGCAGGTCGAGCTCAACTTCCGCGAGCTGATCGAGAAGAACTTTACCCGTCCTGTGCGCATGCTCTACTCCGAGCCTATTCTGCTGCTCATCACTATTTACACCGCGTTTGTGTATGGTATTCTCTACCTGCTGCTGGAGTGCTACCCCATTATCTTTATCGAAGGATACGGCATGTCTTCCACCGTCGGTATGCTTCCTTACATGGGTATGATTGTCGGCCAGCTGCTTGGCTGCGGAGTCGTCTTACTCTTTGAACCCCGTGTCTTGCGCGCGATTGCCGCCAACGGCAATCGACCTGTCCCCGAGGCCCGTCTCGAGCCGACGATGATCGGCGGCTTCCTCTTCCCGATCGGCATGTTCTGGCTGACCTGGTGCGGAGCCTATCACGAGCACGTCCACTGGATGGCTCCCACCGCTGCCGGTGTGTTTATCGGCTCCGGCATCATCCTCATCTTCTTGACCTGCATCACCTACCTGGTCGAATCCTACCTGATGTTCGCCGCCTCCGCGGTCGCCGCCAACACCGTCCTGCGCTCCGGATTCGGAGCCGGTTTCCCGCTGTTTGCGACCGCGATGTTCCATAACCTGGGTACCCAGTGGGCCGGAACTCTGCTCGGCTGTCTTGGTCTTCTGCTTGCGCCTGTGCCGATTCTGTTTTACAAGTACGGCAAGAGACTGCGCAAGGCGTCCAAGTACGCTCCCAACATCTAAGTTCTTTTTTTTTTTTACACTCTTCCATCGTTTAATATGTAATTTCTCTCATCCTTTCATTCTCTCTTTTAATATCAGTGTGTGTGTGTGTGTTTGTTTATACAATCGTCGAGATGAAGAAAGCGATGGCTCTTATGACGAAGGAAGGACCCTGGATACAGTTTGCTTTTGTTTGAAATGTTTCTGTTTTACACTAGTCTCTAGTCTCTGGTCATTAGTCTTTGGTGACTGGGGATTGGTCTAGGTCTAGTCATTGGGATCGGACAATCGTGTTGGTATTCTCATTATATTTAGTTTATAGAGGAGGATACTGATGTTTAATAAATCATCAAGAATACTAAAATCATCTTCATCATCGAGTGAAGTAAAAAGTAAACAAAAATGAAAACAGCCAAGCCTGGTCGTCATGGCAAAAAAGCTTAGCAAGAAGCTTAACCTTCATGAACCCCGAGCAGCGAAAAGAAAGAAAGAAAAGGAAAGACCGACGACGAGGTGGTCGCAGCGTTTACTTTACTTTATTCTCAGATTTACAGTGCAGCAGCGACGGAGACAACAAAGGCTGCGGATATAACTCAGAACAGAAAAGTTTGAGAAGTTTTCAGGTGCACGGTGGTTTTACTGTGGCGGTGAAATATGATTAAAATTGAAGGTGCGCCGTGCAAGGCGTTCAGTCAGTTTGAAGAGAGCTGTGGGAAGGTAAGGCGTTGGCGGTGGCTTGTGAGGTGAGGTGAGGTGAGTTTGGTGGATTTTGGGGTGGGTGGATCTGTGGGTGTCTTGATTGTCTTGATTGTTTTGAGATGCGTGTAGGTCGGGTAGGTGGATGAGTGATGGATCTTGAGTGAAGTGAGGATGAAGCGACGATGATTTATTTGAACATCTCGAGGTAAGCAACGCAAATGGATAATCAGGAGAAATATAGAGGATCTTTATTGATATTTTATCTGTTTGATTGAGGGGTCTGGTGGTGGGCGCGGGAGAAAGAGACTTGAGTGCGGTCGAGGCAACAATATTCTTGCTTCTTGATATCAACAACAACAAACCTCTTTATACTAATCTCTCATCTATTTCACCATCTGCTATCTCTTCTATCCTCTACAAGTATTTATAAGTAACAAACCACGAGAAAACCAAGACAGCAATCTCAGTCTATTTACTTTCCTCCCAATCGAGGAACTCAATAACACGTCTTTGTCTGACCTCTCCTTCTCTTTCTGTTTCCCAGACCACGACTGTTTGTATCCTTGACTTTTAATTATTTTTTCACAGAATTTAGAGTGACGCCGCTATTTGGTCTGATCTGAAGAACTGACTCTTTCCCGAGAGAGAGAGGGCGGAAATATTAGGGAAGGAAGGATGATTTCTGTGTAGCATGCGCTGCGAGAGGAGCGGATATTGCTAGTGATCAACCTTCTCAGAGGCGAGCATACCGCAGTTTTCATCCTCGACACTCCCCGGAGACTTTCGGAGACTTTCGGAGACTTTTACAGGCGCGCAAGTATTCTTACACGACTCAGAGAGTGAAGTCCCTGCAGATCGCGCGTGGGCAACCGGACTGCCGACTATCAACTGCCAACTGCCATATACCGTTTCCAGCCCAATCTCTCTGCGTGGCCGGTCTTAATCTTCCTCCTAGCGGATTGAAGATCAGCGCAGTCGTGATATTTGTTTCTAGCAGGCCGGCGTATCAGATTTAAATCGTCTCTGGTCTCGATACATATGCGCCATCGCGGAAAAGTCTCAGTCTCGATGCGACTGTCTTCCTCCTATCAGATTGAAGATCGGCGCGGTGATAAGATTCTTTTCCCACCGGGCAGCATACCGGATTAAAAGCGTCTGGGCTCGATACATATACGCCATCGCGGAAAAGTCTGAGTCTCGATGCGACTGTTGTGGAAAGCAAACACACCCCGACAGCCTCGAATACTAAAGTAATCATCATCACTGTTGTCTAATCAAACTCAGAAGACCACATAGCTATTATAATAGTATTCAACTCTTGTAGAGGATACCTTATGCTTTCTTTTCATCCTGGCATCTCTTTCTTTCTTTCTTTCTTTCTGTGTCTTGTTGCCTGTACTGTCGCCGTCGCTGTTTTGCCGTCAATTGTATCTGGTGAGCGACAGCTTTTGCTGCTCATTACTTATCTTATTGTAGAAGAACTGAAAAAGCTCTCCTTCATTCATCAATGCCATTCACATAATCTATTCACTTCAAGTAACTTCATACATTAGTAATTCCTTAGTCACGCGGAACTCCGGCTCCAACGTCATCGGTCCTCCAAACCACGATCTTGCCAGAAAACTTCCCCATTCTCATTCCTCATCTGCACACAGACAGACAGAAGCAGCAAGAAAGATGACAAACCCATTCCTCCTCCCGGCCATAATTCTCCTCGCGATTGTTTTCGTGCTGCTACTACCCGTCCTCAACGGCATCGGATCCTACAAACTGACGCCATCCGCCTCTTCAAAAACTCCCGCCGGCGCCCGCAAAAAGCACTTTACAACCTCCGACTCCGACGACGACGACGCCGATGACGACGACACAAGCTCTGCTGTGACATCCGGACGGAGTAGTAGCGGGTCTAGCGCCGGGCGGTTGAAATTCAAGCTTGCGAACGGCAAGGCAAGGAAGATTAAACGGGCGTTAAACTCGCGAGCGGAGAGGGATGAGGAGGAGAGTGATGTTGATGACGACGTTTTGCTTGATGATCAGGCGTCGCGGCTGCGGAAGGTGCGGACGACTAAGTCTAGGCCGGTCGCTGCTGCTCAGCCTGGGCAGTACGCAAACTACGAGGTCTAGAGTATGTAGCAGTACCAAACTACGAGGAAGAGTATGTAAATAGCAGTTGTATTATAGACATGTTAATAAACAAAACAATTATACATTTGATATCGAAAGCCGGACCGCTGGAAACGAAAACACTACACTAAATACACCGAAAGAGAGTATACAAAAATAAAAAAAAACCCATCCGATCCATCCTACCCCTCTCTGAAATTACATATTACAAGAAGCAAAAAGAAACCTACAACGAAGTAATAATCTCGTCCTGCTTCCGCCGAATCGCCTCTCCCAACGTCGTCACCATCACCACCGGACTGCTCGGGGTTCGAAGAGAGCTATCCTCGATCGTGCTGTCGACGACGGACTTTGTGCTCTTGCTCGAGTCGACGGTCGGACTTGACGGGCTGGAAGAGAGACCGGGTGAGCAGTCGCTGTTGATCACGTCCACGAACGAGTAGAAGCTCAGTCGGTGCTGCACGGTGGGGCTGCTGTTGTCATTACTATTAATCATGTTCTCTTCGTTGCTGTCGTTAGTGGTGTAGTTGTTCGGGGTGCTGTAGTTTTTGACGGACGCAGTCGGCGAGACAGGCTGCATCGAGAGCGCGATCGAGCCCATGGAGGTCAACGATGCATTCGAGTTGCTCCGGTGCAGACTACTCCGCGAGACCGAGACAACCTCGACCTGGTCAGGATCAGTCTGCTCGTTCGTGAGCACTTCGCACGACGCCGTCAGCACCGGCGGGATCAGGTTCGAGCTGTGGTGATGGGTCGGAATCGCGCCGCAGGACGAGCCGGCGCTGGTCGAGGCCGCGTCTTGCTGCACTTGTCGTTCAAAGATCATCGACGAGGCAGGCGAGATCTCGCTGCCGCTGCCGGCGGTTCGCGAGGACATCGATGTCGCGACGTCAGATGAAGGTGCTGCGGCGGCTGCTGCTTTGGCACCAGCGGCGGGTGGCGCATCGACATATGAAGAAGAAGAAGAGGACGACTGAGCAGAAGACTCGAGCGACGATCTCGAGGACGAGGCCGACTCCTCCTTTGCAGAGCTCGGGAGCGGCATACTCTGAGCACGCGTCGACAGCGTCTCACGAACACCGGGGGTTCGTTGGATTTGCCCCCGCTGCGGTTGATGCGAGGCGGTAGAGTTGTTTGATTTAAACGACCCCGACGAGACAGGCGAGGGCGAGTTCTTTGGTCGGCCGACGGCGGGCGGTGGCAGCTGGACAGGACCGACTAAGACCGACTTTGTCGGGCGCAGCTCGGGAGCAAAGTAGCGAGGCTTGGGCTGCGGCAAGGGCTGGCGCGCAAAACCGTTGTTTGTATTGCTGTCGCGCTGGTAGGAGCGCAGAGAAGGCGTAGCAAACTGATGAGCAAAGTGCAGGGACTGCGAGGAAGGTATTTGAGCGGACGAGGACGAGATCTCAGAGTTATGACGTCTTTGTTGATAATCGCTGGGGTGGTGATCGTCGGCGGTGGTCGCTGGCTGGGTTAGGTCTGGAGCCACTCTCGAGCTCGAAGCGGACGCGGAGGCAGACGAGGACGCGGACGAGGAAGACGTCGACGAGGACGGGCCCGCGAGCGAGGTCGTCGACGGCTGGCGACTGAGGACTCTGCCGACGGAGGGCTTGCGGAGCTCGTCGATCGAGACCGCGGACGCGAGCAGCTCGCCGAGGGAGAGGTTGCCGTGCTGCAGGGTGAAGGTCGAGGACATGCGTTTCAGGGACATGAAGCGGCGCGGGTTGGCGGCGTCCTGAGGCTGCGCGCGCTGGGGTCGGGGCTGGCTGAGGGGATCTGCAGGGTTGTAGGACTCGATGACTTGTCGGGCGGACTCGGCCACGAACTTGCTGGAGGTTGGGTATGAGCCGGATGGGGGGGTGTAGGCAGACAGCCAGGCGTCCGAGTCTAGAGCGGAGGACTCTTCGGGAGAGAGCGTGTCGTCGTCTGCGAGCGTTAGCAGAAGAAAGAAAAGGTGGAGGAGGAGGAGGAGAAGAATAAGAATAGACTCACCACCATAGTTAAAGGCAGAGGTGCCAAACATAGCAATAGCGGCTTCACGGCCGGCGGACGGCGGCGCACGTTTGCGACGAAAAAGCTGAGGCGCCATTGCGGAGAAAGACCAAAAAGAAGAAAGAATAAACGAAAGTAGGAATTCAAGAAACGAATGAATGGAAAAGCAAGCAAAGCACTGGTCGGAACGAGGGTCGAGCGAGATGTGTGGGGTTCAGGCGACTGTGATAGCAAAAGCGGTTTGTTTTTGTATCAATGCAGCACGCAGCATGGACTTTCACACGAAGCGGCTGTGACGGACCTGAGATTTCTGTCTGAATAGCAGACAGAGAAGAATAAAAGAAAATAAAGAACGGAGAAGAGGAAGAGGAAGAGGAGAGGAGAGGAAAGAGAAGTTCGAAAAGAATTCTCAGTGTCTATGTGTCTTGTTTGTTCACACCCACCAAGTCTTTGTTATCAGGAAGCTGCTGTTGATGTCGTTCAGCAGCGTATTTGCACACACAAACAAGCAGATACAAACAACAAATACAAAACCAATAACTTATCGCAGAATAAACACACTAAACCAGCTATTCGAAACAACGAATCCACGCGATGAAAAGGCACAGAACAAACGAGCAGCCAAATGCGAGCCCGAAACAGCGACTTTGACGAAAGAGGAAGGGCTCGGCCACTCGCCACACCCGCCACACAGTCGCACCGCCACATCTCCTAACTCTCCTTTCCGTTTCAGGCCTAGTCACAGCTGATCCCTGTATCATTTATAAATAGATTTATGTAAGAGATTAGTAATAATGTGTTATGTAATGGATTACTACTACTCTTACTGCTTCTCTACAAACTGCTCTCAAAGTCGATGTACTTCTGGATCTCAACCGCCTGCTGCTTCACCGCATCCTCACTCTTCCGCTGCATCGGCCGACGGACGTGTCCGCCGTATCCAAAGAACTGCTGCAGCGCACACTTGGTGCCCTCCGGTCCGAGGTTCGTCAGCACATAGTCGCTGTCCGACAGCTTCTGCTGCGCCGCGAACGCTTCCTCGTACTTGCCCGCCTTGAACAGCTCATACACCCGCACCACCGTCTTGGGCGTGATATTCCCCGGTCCGGAAATAACCCCCGAGCCACCGACTGCGAGCGCCTGCGTCAGGAAATCAGCCATACCCGCAATGCAAAAGTATCCGTCTCCGCTCGCGACGTCGGCCAGCGTCGACGTCTTGCTCAACGGACCGATCGACTTGACCGCGCCCGCGACCCGCGCGAGCTTGCCCGAGTTGCCGCACGTGAACTTGGTGCCGATGATGTTGGGGTGCGCAGACAGCTTGATCAGCAGCTCGGACGGGATATCGATCCCGGCCGTCACGCCGGGGTAGTTGTAGATGACGATTGGCAGCGGCGACTCGTCCGCCACGCCGGTGAAGAAGTCGGTGATGTAGGTCTCGTCTACAAACCCGCGGTAGTATGACGAGCACACCATCAGAATTGCGTCCGCGCCGGCTTCCTTTGCGTCTTTTGTCAACGCAACAGCGCCCTTGACGGACTGCTCAGTCACGCCCGCAACAACAGGGATATCAGTAAACCCAGCGTCATCGAGCGCCTTGCGTGTGGTTGAGTTCACGAGCGACCGCTCTTTGGGCGAGAGCAGTACTCCCTCGCCATACGATCCAAGCGTGACCATGGCCTTGATACCAGCCTTTGCCAGCCGAACAGTATGCTTTGCAATCGTCGCGGTGTCGACCTCGTCGTTCTCGGTGAAGAACGTCACCGTCGGCACCCAAATACCCGAAACCAATTGTCTGACCATTTTTGTAAGAAAAAAGAAGAAGATAAGAAGATCGTGGAGGAGAATAGAGAAAAAGTGAGGAATCGGGGCATTTAAGCTGGAGTGGAGTGGAGTAGAATGTGGGGGTAGTTGAACTGTGGGGGAGGGGCAGCTTATGTCAGCGTGGGGGCTATTATTTTCTGTGCTCTGAGAACAGTAGTTGACTTACATGTTTAGAATATAAGAAGAATATGGATAACTAATGATTATAATGATTATGTACTAGATAAACAATATTTACTTTTACTTCTTGCTAAAGAAACCAGCATATGCAGCCCGCTCCTTCCTCTTCTTCTCCGCAATCCGATGCTTTGCATTCTCCAACTCCTTCACAATCGCCTTATCGCCCGGCGCAAGCTTCAACGCCTCACTCAAGCTCTCGACCGCGTCCTCCTCATTCTTGCTTCTCAAATGACCAACTCCACGACGGTAGTACGCCTTCGCCTTGTCTGCGTCGGTGATTCCCTCGACCAGCAGCGCGTTGCTGGCCGACTTGACCGCGTCGTATGGCTGCTCGAGGCGGAGCTGGATAAGCGCCATGTTGAGCAGGACGCTGATCTTGAGCTTGTCGAATAGCGGAGCAGTGGCTTCTTTGTCATCGGGCGAGAAGTAGTTGAGGTATCGGAGGGCCTTTGCGTGCTTTTCGAGCGAGAGAGCGTACTGCTGCTCTTTAAACAGCTTCGTACCAATCTCCTTGATCTGCGTAGCAAGCTGCAGCAGCTGCTCGGTCGTTCGCTTGTCACCCTTAATCTCCTCCTCGTCCTCGGGATAATCCTCGAGCGTGTCGCCAGACCCATCCTGGCTCGCACTCTTAGCCTCCATGGCTTCTTCGTAGGTCAACTGACCACAATCCGAAATCACGCACGGAACAAGCGGTTTATCGCCCGAGTCGACAGCCTGCGATTCGAGCATGCGCACAATTGACTTGCCCACCAATACCTGGCCAAAGACAACGTGCTTGCCGTCGAGATGGGGGGTCTTGACGGTCGTGATGAAGAATTGCGAGCCGTTGGTGTTTGGTCCTGCGTTGGCCATTGAGAGGAGGAATGGAGATGTGTGTCTGTCTTGTTAGCCGATCTGCATATAGTCATCAAGATATAGAGGAGGACATACTTCAACTCAAAGTCCTCGTCGTCAAATCGATCGCCGTAGATCGACTCGCCTCCGGTGCCATTGCCAGCAGTGAAATCACCGCCCTGGATCATAAACTTCTTGATGATCCGATGGAATCCCGAGCCTTTATAATACAATGGCTTGCCAGCTTCGCCGATGCCTTTCTCGCCCGTGCAGAGCGCTCTGAAGTTCTCCACGGTTTTGGGGACGACTGATCTGTTAGCTGTATTTACTAATGTAAATAAGAGAATTGTGGGTAAATACCATCATTATACTAGATCATAGTCACTGTTAGAAATAGCCATCACTAATTATCACAACATCATACATACAAGTTCAAAGACAATCCGACCGGCAGGCTTGTCACCCACCGACACATCAAAGTAGGTGTAAGATCTCGATTTAACGATTTCTGGATCACGAGAAACAGCAGCCATCTTATACTGTGTGTATGTATAGTAGATAAGTGGGTATAGAGTAAATCTGGAGGTGAGGATGGAGCGTTGATTCAATAAATAAACGCGGTCGTCGAGCGCAGACGAAAGTTCCTGAAAATTCGACGCTAAAACCCTTTTTTTTTATTTTTTTTTAATTTCCTTAGCATTTTTTATTTTTATTTTTTATTTTGTTTTGTTCTCACTATTTTCACTATTCTCATACATTCACTCTTCTCTCAACAGCTTCTTATTCTCGATATTCTACTTCAATTACTCTAACACCACCTCATCTACATCTCACTAGTCTCTAACCTCTCTCTTAACTACAATAAGCACCATAAACTTCACTCTTATACCAGCACACCCAGTCCTTCTACCGAGACCCCCCAACCCCTCTCCATCTTCCTCTGCTGATCACTTCCGCGATAATATCAATCCCTTTCTAAACCCCTCCCAATCCCCTCTACCTCTCCGACGCCATCGCCGCCTGTGCGCCTGCGCGGTGTATGCGCCGCTGTTCTCCTGTTCGCTCGGTCGCACACCCGGAAAAACGATTTCGCGAGCGGAAGCCTAAAACGGAACAACCCTCATCCACCTGCTCCTCCCTGCTCCACACCCTGCTCCCCCTTCCTCCCCCTCAGACCCCGGTCACGCCCTGATCGCCGCCTGCTGCTCTTCGTCGTCTTTCAACCCTCAAACTACTCTTGTTTGTCCTCTTCCTGCGTCTCTGCCCGTCCTCGGCCCGCGTTTTGAGCCACCTTCGCCCAGCCCATCGCCGGTGGCGCGCGGCCTCGCGTCTCCTGATCTGTGACAGTTTTCGTGCTGTTTTAGAAAACCCTAAACGCCTCATCCCCACTATTCTCCCACAAATCCCCCCCAACCAGGCCCGTTCCGTCATCGGCTCTCCGCACCGCTTCCCAGCCAGGGAAAAAAAAACACTCATCCGTCGACCTTCTTCCTCGCCATCACCATCCCTGCTCTCTCCCTCCCCATCCCTCCTCCCGGCCCTGAACATCCCGCATCGTGCGCAATCACCAGCTGCCTCCACCCAGCCTGGCTTCCCACGCCACCACAATGGACGACTCCGTCTTGGACGAGGCTTGCTCGGCCGCCACCCGGAGACGAGGCTCCATACCCCGGGTCGCCCGTCGCGCTTCGATCAACATCGCCTCCCTCTCCTCCGCTCACCCGCCTGTGTTTGGCGCTGAGCTTGGCTCGGCTTCGCAGGACTACTCCGGCCATCTCGCAGACGACCTCATCCGCAACCAGGACCACTACTATCGGCATAGAGCAGACGTCAGGATCCCTGCCCTGCATGATCGCGAACTATCAAAAGGAACAGACAGACACAGACGGCCAACTCACGCCGTCATCGCCGCGTCTTCTTCATCTTCTGCAACCTCCATCGCCGCTCTTTCGCCCCAGCCACTCAGCCCGAGACGGCTACAGCCCTCGCAAAAGCATCAACAAGACAACCAAGAGCAAGACAATCATCCCCGTCTACAAAACCTCGACTCGCAAAAATCTTCATCTCAGCAAAACAAGAAACGGATCCCACCAAAGCGACTCAACATGCGGCCTTCTGGAAACGCTGCAGACCAGTACGACGACGATGACCACGCCGAATACTCGTCCGAGGACGAGGAAGTCAAATACGATCTCACCTTTTCTGCCGAATGGAGTCATCTTCTTGCAATCATGAAGAAAATGAAAGGCGTCATTCGAGGTTGGGCGAAATGGAAGACCCAAAGTGCTCGCGGGAGGTAAATACTTCTGTTTATTCTTTTCTCCAACATCTCACTAACATCTCATCTCATCTATTTAGTGGCTACTGCTACACCGAAGAATTCTCCGGCGCCCTACTCTTCGAACAAAAAGAATCTGTCGCCATCCTCATCAACGACCTTCGCGGCTGCACAGTCTCTCTCTCCCCCGTCTCCTCAACCGCAATCCAAGTCATCTCCGCTCGCGACCCTTCCAGCTTCGCCATCATCGAACTCGATTCCGCAGAGGAGTTCAACAAGTGGCTCGCCGTTCTGATCTCGTGGTCGCCCTTACGAGCCGCCGGCGTTTCCAGTCGTCTACTGCGATTTCGATATCCACAGCTCGACCTGTCCGTCAGAAGCGGCGATAAGCAGCAACCCAGCACCGCCCAAAAATCGTCGGCAAAGCCCGCACCCGCACCCGCACCCGCCCAGACCCCTATAGACGACGACCACAAAACGCCACCTGAGATTAAGGATCAGCAGCCAGTCGTGAGGACGATCAAAGTCGGGCAATTGGAGCTGTGGGATCCGCAATGGCGGCAACCTCCTCCTCCGCCACCTGCATCATCCGCTGCTCAAAAGCGCACAAAACAATCCTCAGCTTCCTCCAGCTCCACCACCACCACATCCGCTCCCTCCTCTGCTATGTCCTCATCAAACAAACTATGGGTCAAGGCTTCCTGCCTGTTGAAGACGAACGGCGACTTTCAGATCTTTCCCGAACTCCCTCTCTCATCCAGACCGCGACAACAATCTCCCGCGATCGCCGACACAAAATCCTCTTCTTCTGCATCCTCATCAAAAGCTCAAATCAACTCAAACTCACACTCACAATCCTCGGCCGCTTCTCTCTCCTCATCTTCCTCGTCCTCCGGTTCGGCTACCCCCAGCTTCACCCCTTCGACTCCATATACCGGCACAACTTCAAGATCGTTCTTGAACAACACTAGCTCGCACTATACCCTGCAGCTCTCCACAATCAGACGGTCGGCGATTCAAAAAGCCGATCCTTCGCTCACTGGACGGCAAAACTGCATTGTCATCTTCCTGAAAACGACCGTCAGCAAATCAAACCCAACCCCCGCAGTCGACCCCTCTCAACAGTCGCAGGGTCAACAACCACAGTCACCAACCTCGCAGCAGCACGCAAACCCAAGTCTGGCTTTCAGTGTTCATCATCATCACAACTATCATCGCCATCAGTCTCCAGCAGTCACATCGCCGCCCGAGAACCAGCCTAACCAGGTCGCTCCCACTCCCGGTGTACAGACTCCTGGCACAACCGTCCTCGTCACCCCTGTCTACTTCTTTTTCGAGTCGCGCACTCTCATGGAGGTTTGGTTTGTGCTTTTCCGCAGCATGAGCTTACCGGAACTGTACGGACCCGATACCGGAAGAGTCTCGGGGTCCTTCAGACAAATCAGAACTTTGAACATTAGAATCATTGACGGAAAGATTCTGTGGCCGCGTGGTCCTGGGTTGAGCGTTGACTCTACATTCATGCCCAAAGCTATCGACTCGTACGTCGACATCGAGCTTAACGACAAGGTCAGAGCGAGAACAAGGGTTAAATATGGCACTGCCAAACCTTTCTGGCGTGAAGATTTCTCATTTCCGTATGTTTTCCTCTATTAATCTCAACTTCTCTATACTAACAAACAAGCAGTGACCTCCCATTTCTGGTGAATTCAGTAAAGTTGAAACTTCGAAGCCGAAATCGGAAAAACCCGGATTTACTCTCTGATGCTACAATCGGCGAAGTCAAGCTTCTCATGTCCGACGTCCAGCAAGACTCCGATCTCGAGCGCTGGATCCCGGTCTTCAACCCCGCCCGCGGCTATACCGGTAAAACAGGCGAACTCTGCGTCAAAATGCAGATCTCCGAGTACACCATCCTAGCCGGCCGCGAATACGATCGTCTGCTCGAGCTTCTGCTCGATTTCTCCAACAGACTCACGCTCACGATCGCAGACATGACTGGTGATATGAAGCAACTATCCACAATTTTGCTCGATATCTTTCAATCCAGCGGACAGGCTACCGAGTGGTTGATTTCTCTTGCTGAAGAAGAGATCTGGGAGCGAGGAAACTATACCGGTCCTAGCAGGCAGACGCCTCCGCCTACAAAGCCTGCGCCGACTTCAGATGTCATCTCCACACGTCCCGCAGTTCCTCTGTCAGACGCAAATGCTGAAACCGTCTTCTCGACCGTCGGAATGTCGCGAGTGTCCTCCCAGGAGCGCGATACTAATAGCTCTAGTGGCGCGAGTACTCTCTCCCCGGGTACTCTCTCCCCGCCCGAAAGCTCCCGATCACGAGCAGATCTCCTCAGAGACGTGTCTCCTTCCCGCAACGAGCCAATGGCTCCCCGCACCGCCGCCATCGCAGACGCAAACCTGCTTTTCCGCGGAAACTCGCTCTTGACAAAATCGCTCGACGCTCACATGCGCCGCATCGGCCAAGACTATCTGATCGAGACCCTCGGCAGCACGCTGCAGAAAATTGTCGACGACGACGTCTTCATCGAAGTCGATCCTCAGAAAATCGAGCCTCAGCACCAACGTCAATCTGGAAACAACACTGCTTCGCTAGAAGAGAACTGGGCACGGCTGGAAGCTTATCTTGTCGCGATCTGGACAAAGATCAGAGAGTCGAAGTCGAAATGCCCGCCGGCGCTGCGACGCATATTTCACAACATCCGTCTTCACATTGAAGAGAAATACGGCGAGTTCCTGTCCGCAGCTTCGTACACCGGTGTCTCGGGTTTCCTCTTTCTCCGGTTTTTCTGTCCGGCTGTACTCAACCCGCATTTGTTTGGGCTAGTCAGAGACCATCCTGGTCCGCGGTCTCAGCGCACGCTGGTCTTGATTGCCAAAGGTCTTCAAGGATTAGCCAACCGCACGACGTTTGGCGCAAAGGAGCCATGGATGGCGCCGATGAACGCATTTCTCCAGCAGCGCATCGAAGAGTTCAAGGAGTTCATCGTCGACGTGTCTACCTGGCGAACACGGGTCTACCCCGCCGCGAATGCAGACCATCACGTCGTCTCATCGCCCGACGCAGACGGCGGGAACGACTACCTCGATGACAACGAGATCGAAGCCACTCAGCGCAGTTTGTTTATGGTACCATATCAGATTCCAAACACAGTCCTGTCTCGACTGCCGACCGCGTTCAGGGACGGTGTGCCGAGTTTGCCGTATCTGATTGATAGACCTGCGACGCTTGCTGCCCTGGTGGAGCTTTGGCTTCAATGGTACGATGCAAAGGTTAGTGCCAAAGCCGCGCAGCGAGCTGCGGCTGCCGCGAATGCGAAGCGAAACGACTCGTCCGATGACTATGGTGATGAGATTGATGATCGGAAGGCTGCGGAGAGAAGATCCCGTGACAAGGATCGCGCTTCTTTGATCGAGAGCTTGCCGGATACCTATACAGACGAGTCAGACGTCGCAGTGTCAGAGGACGAAGGAGACGGAGACGGAGGCGTCGGCTTCTCATCGTCGTCTTCTTCTGTACTCTCTTCCGACAGCGAAGAGGAAGAGGAAGGCCCTGGGTTCTTCAGCGACGACGACGCACTTGCAGATCTTGTCGACGAGGATGAGGAAGACGACAAAGCTTCTCATAAGCACCACCACCGCCGCCATCATACCCGCCCAGGCTTGCGTCGCCGCAGAGTGTTTCATGACGGAGAGGATACGCCGTCGGGGATTTTGTTCACCGGTGCGCTGGTTGAGTTTCACCATGAGTGTATCAGAATCCGCGAGGAGATCCGGAGACTGCGGAACAAGACCACGATTCCTGAGATGCCGTCCGATGTGCCGGAAGAGACTTGGGACTACTACGTCGCGAACTTTCTAAACATCAAGGACTTTAAGTTTTCGAAACGTGGGAATATCTTGAAAAGTCTCTTGATGACTACGGCCAGTGGATCTGTCAAGACATCTGGTGACAGCTCGAGCGGACGCAGTTCAGGGTTAGAGCCTTCTTCGACCGCGAGCACGGATTCGCACTGGTTTGGCGAGCAGACTTCTCCTCCCCTTCACCGATCGACGGAGAGAACGGAGGACGACTATAGCTACTTTTCATACCCTGCTGCTTCCGAGCCCGCGCCGTCTGCAGCTACTACACAGATGACGTCTATCCACGCGACCTTGTCCCCGGTCGAGATCCCGAACCAGAAGCGGCACTCCTCGATCTCCCGCACTTCCTCAACGTTCAATCGGCACTCGCGCGACCTTTCCGTGATCGACTCGGCATCGCGCAGTATCGACTCTACAATCTCAGCCGGTAGTTCTTCCACCAACGCGACGCTAAACATCGGCGGCGTTTCGTTAGGTACAACCTCGACCGCGACAACCGACTCTGTCTCATCTGAAGTCTCGCTGAGAGAAATCTCTTCAAGTGTGTCGAGAGGGTTTGGCACGCTGTCAAAGAAGAGCAAATCGATCAAGCTGCAATCTTGGAGAAAGTTTTTAGGTGGTGGTAGTTCGACGTCAAACAGTGGACATTGAGATATCTTTCTTCTTATATTTTCAATTTCTTTTCGTGGCCGTGGGTGATAAAAATGGTGGATGTTTGTACGATTATGCGGTTTCATTTTTTGGTCTCCAGTGTATTATACTCATATTAATTTTCGTTTTCTTTTTTCTGTTTGACTGCTCTACGGTTGTTACATATTTACATTCAACTCGTTACGAGAGCCGGTGTTTAGTTTCTTCAAACGTGTACTTTACGTGTGTTACTAAAGTCTGTACGATATCAATAATTTCCTTCACTCATACATTACACTATAAACGGGCGAATTTATTTGAAGTATGGTTGTTCCAGCTTGAAGATATGCGCCAGGATTAGACTGTATTGTCTTGGGTATGGTCGTCTATGACTTCGATGTAGATTGTGGATAACTAGTTCAAGTTTAACTGTATAATATATTGATAGACGATAATCGAAAACAAAAAACGGTTTTTTACAAAACAGAAACAATCTAGACATCAACCATAGCAATCGACGCTTTTTCAGGATCCATCATCTGGTGCACATTAGGCAGCTGAGCATCAAACATCCCAAGCTCTCTCCATATCCGATTCAACCTCTCAGCATCTGCCTTGCCCTCACCAGAGTCATCCTTGAACAACTCGTCCATTTCCTCTAGCGTGCGTCCTTTTGTCTCGGGGACGATGAAGTAAATGTATACAGAACCGATGACGCAGATTATACCAAAGAAAATGTAAGTGCCGTAGCGCATGTTGTCGAGCATATCTGAAGTCGCCATACCGACGGCGAAGTTGTTGAGCCAGTTGGATGACGCACCGATTGAGATACCCTTTGCACGAACGCCGAGAGGGAAAATCTCTGCAATGACAATCCATGCCGCGGGACCCCAGGAGTATCCGAAATGGACGACAAAGAACCAGACAAAGACAACAGCAACCCAACCCGCAGCCTTATGAGATCCCCACGAGTCCTCATACGCACCAGAAATACCAGCGACGATGAAGTGGCAGACCGCCATACCGAGAGCACCGCAGATGAGAACAGGTTTGCGACCGAGGTTGTCGATGAAAAGCACGGCGGGGATGGTCGCCAGAAACATAACCACTCCACACACACCAGACGCCAGAAGTGAGCTGGAGTTACCAGTCAGACCGAGGTCCTGGAAGATGAACGGGGCGTAGTAGAGAATGGCGTTGATACCCGTCCATTGCTGGAAAAGCATGACGAGGATAGAGACCGAAGTTCGTTTGAACAGAGCCTTGTTGGTGAACAACCGGGCATAGGCATGGTAGCCGAGCATGAAGCTAGACTTTGCAGATTTGTCCTGGTATTCAGGGAAGAGCATCTCCGAAGTCTCATCGTCAAACATCTGCTGCGCCTTGATTTCCAAGTACTCGAGAACAACAATCTCGTGCTCAACATCCGCATGACGAATCCGCGCAATGGTCTGCAGACATTCCTCGTCGCGGCCTTTAGACATCAGCCAGCGAGGAGACTGAGGCATGAAGTTCATGCCGACTCCGAGGATAAGCGCCGGCAAGATCTGGATGCAGATAGGGATGAGCCACGCGGCCTTTGACTGAGAGTCGCCTGTGCCGCCGATGAAGTTTGTTCCGTAGCCGATCCAGTAAGCGACCATGATGCCGAAAGTGATTGAAAGCTGTTGCAAAGCGACCAAAGCACCACGGATCTCAGCAGGAGCCAGCTCAGCGTTGTAAAGCGGGACAACCATCGAGAGTGAACCGACACCCAAGCCAGTGACGAACCGGCCGCCGAGGATATACGACGGCTCCTTCGCACAAGCTTGAACGATAACACCGACCACAAAGACAAAGACAGCAACATCAACGCAGAGCTTTCTTCCGAGTCTATCGGCGATATAACCGTTGGAGAGGGCACCAACCCAGGCGCCGAGCTCGAGGATTGAGGTGAGCAGACCACGTGCCGTCGGGTTGCTGATCGAATCAGGATGGACGGTCTTTGCGAACGAGCTCATGTTGAGAATCTGTCCAAACATTCCCTGGTTGTAGCCGTACACGAGACCACCAAATGAGGCAAAGACGGCGATTGCGAAAATCTGGCCATTGGCGAGGATACCTTTGACTCCTTTAGGTCCCGCCAAACGTTGTCGACGATCTGAGATAGCATTGGGGACGGGGGCACCGCCAGCAGTAGGAGCCATGATGAATGATGATTATCGAGATAGTGCAGAGTTGTGGGGAAAAGAGAGAAGGCAGCATGGCTGCAGCTAATATATGTCGCGGCCCTAGAATGCTGAAGGCCTGGGGAACGCATGACTACGCAGCTACGCAGCCATCTGATGCGTGGGGCGGGGCCCCGCACAACCCCGGAGAGGGTTTGTGGTACGAGCTTTGCCGGTGGATGCTTAGCCGGCGGATGCAGATTTAGCCGCTCAGATGACTGAACAATAGAACCCTACGGATACTCGGAACGGCGCCACCGGCTTCCGACTGCAAATCACTGATCGCCAGAACAGCTTATATCTGCTTGGCATGATGTTCTTTTTATTATCTATAAAGTCCATGGGAGATAGCGAGGAGTCTCTTTGTCAAAGGACAGAGCCTTAGTCAAAGCGCGCAACCAGGGATCATGTGTCTGGCCGTTCCGATAACTCTCCGAAACAAAGTCCGACAAGCATAGGGTTTGCCCATCGGATAATCCAACGGCTCGCGGACTAGGCCTCTTTCTGGCCCACCCCGCATCCGTCAATGAGGTAAAAATATCATTCATCTAGAAAACACGCAGTGTTCTGCCCCGCGAACTACATTTAAGCGGTGCCGGGTTGAATTTAACCAGAGTTTGAATGCTCCCATTCTCTCCTCCACATGCGATAATCACTTAAGGCAGGATGCATCATGCCACCTGACCCTTTCTATCAACCAGCTTGAAGGTGATGCCAGAAGGCTTACTCATCCGTGAGCATCCACCATGCTGCGAGCTTCCGATTGTTTGCAGCATCATCCTCTTCATCCGTCGTCACCTGCCAACTGCCATCCGATCCCGGATGTCCCAGTATCCCGACTTTGTCCTGCTCCCACGGCACTTTTCCGTTGCCATACTCTATCCATTTCAAGCCCATGTTCTTTGCTGTGCTCGCTTCAAACTCAACGTCAACTCCCTCCAGTTTTGAAATCCGCTCATTCGCGTTCTGAAACAAATGTATGACATCGACATAGTGATGTGACTGATTGTGGTAGGGCTCTTGCGGGAACGGGTTGGTTTTATCAAAGTGATAATAGTAAGCCGGAACGTCCCGCTTCTTCTCCCCATATCTTTCCCACCGTGCCAGCTTGTAGGTATGCGAATGGAAACACACAGCTCCAACAAAGTCACACATCTTCTTCCGCTTCTCTTCCGAGTGCGGCATCGGAGCGACCACCAGTGTTTTCGCGTACTCGATGATCCCAGACGCAATCGTCGCAAACTTGCTCACCGGTAAATCTGCGTAGTGGTCTAGATTATAGTGGCGCAACAGCTCGGCTAATTTCGCAGCGACCTTGGGGCCAAACATTCGCTCGAGTTGCAGCGAAAAGATGTAGTTTGGGTTCGGCACCCTGGCCAGGATCGAATCATACAGTTTCAGGAAAACACTGCCCTATAGATACACACCAAAAGTTAGTTCGGTAAAAATCAAAGCCGCAACAGGTTTCCTACCTCATATGCGCAATCACCAAGCATGATAGACTCAAGCCAGGAGCACTGGTATGTCCGCTTGCACACATCATCCAATGTATAACTTTGGCCAAACAGCTTCCCATCCAAGAACGGGTGCAGCAGCATGAATGCAAGATTCGTATCAACAATCGCCTGCACCGGCACTTTCCTCAGAGCTGCCACTCGGTCCCCATTCCAGCTTTTCACGGGATACACGATTCGTGAAACGTGTGTCTTGTATAATGTCTCGAACGCGGCTTGCTCCTCCTCCAATTTATGAACCGGCATCACGCTTGCATCTCCACTTTGCAGAATAGCCCGTTTGAACAGTGCATTCTCCTTCTCCTCTTGCGCCCAGCTACTGATTATCAGATACGAGATAATGATAGCGCCTGCGCTCTCGCCAAATGCCGTAACGTTGTCCTTGTCGCTGTTGAATCCCGGAAGAAACTTCTGAAGCCACTGGAATCCATGAATAACATCCCATATTCCAAAGTTTCCCGCGGGTTCACCGTTTCGCTCAGCCTCTTCAACTAGTTCTTGAGAAATCAGAAATCCGAGCGCACCGACTCTATAGTTGACGGCCGCCATTATCGTCGGTTGATCTGCATCCACAGACATCGCCACAAGTTTGCTCGCATCTAGTCAACAGTCAGCCAGTGCTTTACCACCCATATACAAACAGACATAGTGTAAAGTTACCTTCCAAGCCATAATTAGCTCCTCCGCCAAATTTCAGCGCGCCGCCGTGGACCCATCCCATTGCCGGCACACCCTTCTTCTTCCCCTCAAGCACACAGGTCGGCACAGTCAGAGTCAAGTTCAGACATTTGAACTCGTCATATTGCGAGGCCACAGGTGGCAGCCGACTACCACCGTACGCCAAACCATCGACGAAGACTGCATTATAAGCCTGTGGACAACTGTAGCCGTATTTCGTGAAATCTCTCTCGTCATCCGCAAATTCGACTTTCAATTTCGACTGTCTAAACCGCTCGCTCACAGTTGCATATTGTATCGCCCTGAACTGAACAGTTTTGCCATCTGGGCTCTGAACACCGGTCAGCTGGCCTAAAAGAGGGTGATCAAACGTATATCTTGGAGTGACCGCATAGTCTAGCTGAGGTGTATCTGTACTTGGCACGGCCAGGTCAGGCGTGGTAATAGAGCCTCCAAATTCCATGACAATAAAAGAATCTATCTGTCGTTTGAAATATCGCCAGAGAGTCTGATCAGGAGCGTCCTGTCATTCCTCTATTTTAAGGAATCTGAGTCGGCACATGCCAGCACCGAAGTGGATTAGAGCCGCATGTACATAATCAGGGACCGAGGCATGACAAAGCAATTAGCTGTCCGTCTTCGGGACCAGCGATAATGGATCAATAGCAATTTGCTGAGTCCGTTGAATCTGTCTATTGCAAGGACATGTGTTTTAATTGACATATTAGATAACAGAGTCTGAATTGCCTCCTAAACTACAATACTACACTACAATTGAGTGTTCAATGAGCTAGATGTCAACTCACGATCTACGCACTCGCAAGCACAGAGATTCTCATGCGATTAACATTGTATTATCGTATAGATTGAATATGGATTAGCAACTCGAACCAACTCTTGATGCTTATTCGGCAATAGTAGCGACAACAAAGCCCTTGGCCATAGCCGCAGAAAGAGTAACTCCGTATGCGCCGATCGCAAACAAAGTACCAAGGTTAACCAGCGTGGAGATTCCATGGATCATTCCAAACTTCTTGTTGAGCGCCTTCATCTCATCACTGACCTCCGCGTCGTAGTACTTCTTTCCCTCCTTGGTCTCCTGCGCCTTGCGCTCGTTCATAAGCTTCACGGTCTGCGGGCCAACTGAGATAAGATTGACGAGAGCAGTCACCGCAGTGAACGCCAGAATAGTCAAGGACTTCTTGTCATCCAGAATAGGGAAAGGAGCGGTCAGGGCGAGAAAAGCGGGAATAATGGCCTGCATAGCAAAGTAGGGAGGGAAGATCTTGCGCTGCAAGGCGGCGAAGTGTTGACGCGGCAGGGCGCGGAAGGCCGTGATACCGACGAAGAATGACTGATAGACGGTCGATCCAAATCTATGTAATAAAGCGAAGCACATGTCAGCTTGAGTCCTGAAGTTCGAACTGACAATCGTCGAATTGCGAGTCACTGAACAATCCTCCGCTGAAATCCTCGGGGTAACTCACAGGATCGAGTATGCAAAGACATGGTACGGCGCACCAGTTGCCAGGGTAGATAGAGCAGACGACATGTTTATTCTGTACAGATGAGAATCAAAGAGACTGTTCTGAAAACCGCGTAAGAACAAGAGAACTGTGAACGTTGGCTGATTCTTGAACGAGTCGGGATAAGCTGATTATCAGTAGTCGAGATCGGTCCATCGATCTCCTGACTTTCTGAGGGGTTTGTACTTCGGATCATCATTAAGCTACTGGCGAGGATTTATGCGATATAATTATTAAAAATCAAACTAAAGCTGATGAAGTCGCAAGAAGCTGGTATACAAAACTCAAATATCATGGACTGGTCTGCTTGTACTTTGCAGGCAGCTTCTTGAGCGCCTCCTCGCGATCCTCCATGATGACGACACCCATACCGCCCATCAGATGTGTGTTGAGATGGCAGTGCAACATCCAGGCTCCCGGATTATCAGCGACGAACCGCAAAACCATGTGTCCGCCAACCTGGATACTGTATCCGTCGCGGTAAACGGAATTTTCAAGGTTGAGGTTTGCATAGCCATCAGCGACCGCCTCGGCAACCGTGGCGTACGGGAAGTTCTCAGAGTCCGATTCCGAGACCAGGTAGAAGTTGTGGCCGTGGAGATGGATTGGGTGAGCAATAAGTTTGGTATTGTCGAGGATGATGTCAATAAGATCACCCGTCTTGATACCGGGATCAATAATAACACTGCTGTTGGGGAGATTGTCTGCCCACAGAACTGGTTCATCGATCTCCATGTTTTGAGACATCATGGCACCATCTTCGGTAAGGGAAAAGAACACCGCGCCAGTTCTGTTGGAGATGAGATGGATTGTATGATCGGCAGCTCCAGACGGGGGCTTCACCGACTTATCGAACGGAAAAGCAATGGAAGCATTGAACTGAGAAAAGTCTCCGACGAGGTTACCACCAATATCCTGATAGACGGTAACGTTCTCACTTGGTCTGAACGGCTGGCCGACGTCGGGAACGTACGACAAAAACGCAAGTCCCTCGATGACCTGCGCGAGCTCATAAGAAGCGAAACGCATGCCGTAAATGCCATATTCCTTGTTCGTCTCAACCAAGATAAGGAATCGGTGGCCAACACCGACGTAGATCTGCTCTACCAACTGAGGCTCGACATAGATACCCTCGACCATAACAACCCAAAACGGATGCGAGTCGATTGAGAAATGAACACCCATTTCTCCACCCATGTTTGTGAGATCGAAGAGCATGTAAGACGAGCCGTTCACGTAGATGACCTCACGATCGGTAGACGAAGGAGTGCACTGCAACGAATTTCCAGGAGCCTCGAGAGCCTGCTGGTCAGCACCGGCGAATCCGTTAATGAGAGTGATGTTGGTACAGCCCTGAGAGTCAAAGTTGGGAATGTATCCAGCAGCAGCGTAAACACCCTGCTGACGCCAGGCACCAGCAGCGAGAATCTCATCCTCGTTCTCGCAGACAATACGACCCTTGCCATTGATGAGAAAACTCTGGATGCAAGGCGGATCGATCCCAAAGGTGAACTCACGCGCGAGAATGGCGTCCGAGGTCCACTTGTACCAATCAGCAACAGTAAGTTGAGTGGGGTTGCTATCCTTCTCGAGAATCTCAGCGAGCGCTGCGGGATCGCTGACGATTGTTGAATAAGGCTTGGGACGAGACTCGTTGGGGTTGATGTAGATTGCACCATAGACACCGTCCTGGTATCGAGCGCGGATGTGCGCATGGTACCAGAAGTTGCCGTACTGACCTTCCGTGGTGAAGTTGTAGTGGAACGAAGAACCGGGAGGGATAGGATACTGAGAGATACCAGCAGCACCATCGAGCCATGGAGTGTCCTTCTGGTGGATACCGTGCCAGTGAATTGTCATGGAAACGGGGAGACTGTTGTAGACCATGACGCTCAGGGAATCGCCTTCATCGCACGTGAGAAGGGGACCAGGGCTTGAGCCATTGACGAGGAAGACCTCACGGAACACACCGTCCGGGGACGCATAGGTAGATGTGAGATTGAGGGTGTATTCGACAACCTTTGCAGCGGCCACTGACGCAAGGACGAGCGCCAAAACGAGGGACTTGAAAGAGGTCAACATGGTTGATAATGAGCGAGGAGCGACAGACAATGCAACATGGGGGCACGAGACAGACACTTATATGACGCTCTGCGGCGGCCTCGGTTAGGAGTCAAAGCATCATGAAGCATTATTACGTATATGGACCGCCGTGTAAGACATTGGTATTAGCACTGGAGCATAGACTGAACGGAGATGGTGCACCACATAATTGAGGGGGGAAAGAATGTACGGCAAAACGGTACCTGCTTAAATCAGTGGGGGGACGGAGCGCTCGTACCAAACGGCTGGCTGGCATCAACTGAATGCCTGATGCGGATGTGCGGCCAAGAAAAGACAGATAATGATCAAGAAGGATGTGAGAGTCAAGAGACTCAAGGTGAGCGTGGATGGTCAAGACATTAGACTCTTGCTCTCGTCGTAGTATTGGATGTACCCTACACGGACCACCCCAGCGTTGTCGAGTGAAATATACCTTCGGTAGCAGCGTCGCGAGCCTCCTGCTCTTTGCGCGCGGATGAGCCAACAAACAAAGTAGAGAAGAACATTTTCTGTTTATCAAAGTCGATATATTATGACTGATGGAGGATCGCAGATCATTGACGTGAGTGCGTAAGATGATGATGGGTGAACTAGACTAGTCCGGCTAGGGCTGAACCGTGATGAACAAAAAGTACACTTAGTCCTGGCTATGCCGCATGTAAACAAGTCATGTCTAAAATGGGAATCAGGGAATACCGAATTTGCAACTTCAGAAAACGCAGAAAAACGCAACAGGACGAAATATTGAGAGACTGTCAGCCGCCCAATTACATTAAAGTTCGCTCGCTTTCGCTCAAATAACTCCGCTTATAAACGACCCTTGACTACCACAAGAGTCGTAATATAGTTACACAGTGAAACAGTGTAGCGAGAAATCAATCAATTCCAGACTTTGAGAATCTCGGAAGTCCCTTCACGCTATGTCCTATCCAATGACCACTTAGTCCTCCGTTTAGACGAGCGGCGCGGTTGGTGTCCGCCTCTCGATTCAATATCACGTACTGACAGAATTCAAGACAGTTTTTAGCAACATAAAAAACTTAGAAGCTCGTGGTCTACAGGAGCTAGCCGCGGGTCTGTTCAGACGAATCGGTTTGAGTTTAGAGCCTTTCCCTCCCGGTCCGGCCTGGCAAAATTTCAAGGACGAAACCTACGCCGCCTACAACAAAAACAGGAACGCCAAGAAAGTTTTGCCGGTTAGACGAGCGAGGAAGCGGTTGCTCGGATTACCGTTAGTTCGTAGACGAAGTAGCTGAAGAGTCTATGCCTAATTATATCCTCTTTGTAGTGTATGTGCTCTGCACTGCACTCGTGATGAGTAATTGATTATTATTGTTTATTGTTATTGATTATGTTATTGATTATTAAGGGGTTTTCAGGATGTGTTGAGAAGCGTTACATTTACCTTTCATACTTCTACTTTGTTATCTTTAGTTTGTCTTTAGCCACTTCTTGTCTTGTGAGCTCACATTTGTCCAGCGCCCCCTTATAATAGGGACGCTCCTTCTGTTTGTTTATTCTCTAGTCTTTACGCTCAATACATACTTTTCCCTAGTTGATATTTGGTCTTATTACTTAAGATTGGAATCCGCAAATATTACACTCTTCTAAAACTCATTTGGATTACAGCTTCCACGTACCTTTTGCCTGGGCTGCTATATTGGGAAAAGCAATGTTTTTGTTTTTGTTAGGTTTGTTTACATGGCGTTAGACAAATGACGTGCAGCACTGCACACTCCACGATCGGTCTGCGGTTTTAATCGGCTGCAACACACATGTGCATGCAGCCAGCGGATAGGCCCGACTAAGATTACTGCGGCTGCAAGAATTTTATTCTGGATGCGCGGCATGTCCTTCGGTGCCGTACGTCTGGGCAGAGCAGATAGTTGTTGCGAGCTAGTGCTGTCAGATACCGAAGCCATAGCGGTATCGGAAATGTAGGATGTATGCAGCAGCGCATGACACAATCTTCAGCAAGCTCTTCGCTCCGACTTCTCAAAGCATTGATAATAGTCCCCACGAGTAAAAAGCACCGGGATCATGCATTCAGTATATGAACAGAAAGGTGGCTACTGAATGTCATCATCATATCCATCGTACTCATGCAAACTGTAGGGCTTTCTGCCAGTTTATTGTATATGGCAGTCTGCTGCAGGCTCCCGCAATTATCTTTTGACTTCCAAATCCCGCCTCTCAACTGACTTCCCTGGCTCTCTACGACTGTCGTTCCTTCTTTCCACCAAATTTTAGTTATCACGACACTGTTAAACTCTTGTGTGCTCCGCCCCATAACCCTCTAGCAGCAGCTGCAGGTCCGGGACTCTGCGTCTTTTGGCGTTCAACTACAGCGAGGGGAGGCAGGAAGAAGATAGAAAACCTTGTCTATCCGAACTGTAGACATCAAAATCCTTTCGGGATGTTATTACCCCGAGCCTTGTATTCCAGCAGAACATGTGAAAGCGTGCTCTGAGGGAGGCCGTCCGCCAACGAATGATCGACCTTCTATTTGGATGACCACAAGATGATGATTCCAAATCCCGTCACGTGACGCACACACCGGTTTACGCACTTGATGCCAGATCTAGAGCGGCTCAAATGTCAATCTCGAGATCTGAATTGGCGTTCTTATCGATAACTTCGGTCGGTTCGCGCCAGCAAGAAAGCAATTCGCAATGCTCTCGTTTGAAACAGTCGTGTGCATTGCAACTATATTTGTTGCAGGAGGTCTGGTGTATCATATTTTGCTCGGACCTACCGGCACTGCGCCATTTGTCAAAGGCCCGATACCAGGCCTTGGAGTCGCGCTCTCGTTCGTACAGAGCCCTACGCGCTTTCTTGAGAACCAGCGGAAGAAATTGGGATGGATATTTGAGATTTATATTGCAGGTCAGCGCATGACCTTGCTCTCCGACCCGATATCGGCGAATAAGCAAGCTTGGATGAGCAAAAGCCTCTCTCTTATCCACTTTATCTTGTACGTCGACCGTTCCCTCTTCGCCTACTCGAAGCGCATCGTCGACGATGTCCCATTCCTACGCAAGGCCGCCAAGCAACTAGTCGCTCTTCTCACCAGTCGCGTCGAGATGAAAGACACCGTCGACCTCATCCGCCAGGAATATCTGCAGCTTATCGAAGACGGCTCCAAGTTTGCCGAAGATACCGAGTCAGGCAAAGAAATCGATCTTTATGAAGAATGCAGATACAACATGTTTTACGCCTCCTCCGTCGGTTTGTTTGGCACCGCTTTTCCCGTCGACTCAATCTACAAACCCTATATGATCTTCGAGGACAGCATCATGAAATTCCTAAAGTCATATCCAAAATTTCTCAACCGCGAGGGCTTCGCTGGACGCCAAAAAGTTCTTGACGAGCTAGGCAGCTATTTCACCGACCCTGTCCGAGTGCGCAACTCTGCCCCCTTTGTGCAGAAGATGTACCAGCTTTTCCAGGAAACAGAATATACCGATGCTGAAGATTATGCCGGTTATTTTTTCTCGATTATCTTTGCCGCAAAATCTAACTCCGTCCCCGGAGCTTTTTGGCTCCTAGCCGAAATCATCAGCCATCCGGAACTGAAGGCTCAAGTTGAGCTGATCATCGCCGAAAACTACAACCCCGAGACCAAGTCCTTCGACTGGGACGCCCTCATGAGCAATCCTGTTCTTGACTCCTGCTTCAAAGAAACCCTGAGAATCAACGCCAACATCGTCTCTGGCCGACTTGCCATGGAAGACACGACACTGCGAGTTGCCTCATCGACCGATGCGAGCCCGAAGCCTTATCAGATCAAGAAAGGAACACAGCTGTTGATATTCCAGAACCAGATGCACTGGGATGCTGACGTCTATCCTGACCCGATGGAATGGAAGGGCGATAGATTCCTAGACGAAAACAAAGAGAAATTGATCATGCACACGGACAAATGGAAATCTTACGCTCCATGGGGTGGAGGAGCACACATGGTAAGCTTCCTGCCTTTGTTTGCAAATGAAAATACTTCTGCTAACAGCTTATAGTGCCCCGGAAGATTTCTTGCTCAAGTTGAGGCGTATGCCCAGTTAGTATACACGCTCTTTCTTTACGATATCGAGCCACTCGAAGATATACCAAAGCCTATAATTGGCGATCGATATGGCGGTGGTCTTCTGAAGCCCGAGCGTGGATACAGAGTAAAGATAATACGTCGGAAGAATCCGTTGAGTGCTCTCGCTTGAATAGGACTACAGTCTCATATGAGGCCTCATACCTTGGCATATACTACAGTTTGTTGGTTTTGAGAACGAGGGTCTCTACAAATCAGAAACGTTTTAGAAGTACATTATGATAGAAGTACATTACCACTTGTCGCTTATTATTACCATTTACTCGCAAAATTAGTAATTAAGATTAGCTCTGGTATGCAGATTGCCGCTTAGCCGGTAAGAAAATATCTCCGGGCATTATTTCTCTTCAGCATTCTCCACAAAAGCAACGTCCATCTTCATCTGAGTCTGAGCGTCGGTCAAGTCTCGAATCTCGACCTCAACCTTTTCACCAAACCTGGTATTGATTTCTTCCAGCGTCAAGCCCTTGGTCTAGAGAGATGAATGTTAGCACTTGATTTTTCTATACAGCAAAATCTATTGAGACATACCTCAGGGAAGTAAAAGAAGACGATCGGGAAGAAGAAGACATTGCACCCAATGAAAACTAAATTGAACTTCCAGTTGATATGGTCGAGGGCAATTGGAGCCGTTTGACTGAATATCAGAGTAACGGCGTTTGCGAAGAAAAGTGCGACAGCCATTCCATTTGCTCGAATTTTTGTAGGAAGGACTTCGGAGGCGAATGCGTAAGGCGAAGAAGCAAAGGTTGCACCGAAAAAGTAAATGTAGATCATGACGAAAGCAATACCGGCATTACCCCAATCTAAGACAGTCAGCAATGTTTGGGTTCATCAAGATATTGATAGATTTCTTACCAGTCGATCCAGTCTGGCTGTATCGCGCCGAGCAAGCCGAGAAGACTCCCAGCCAAACCGACAGGATGAATAGGCCGGTCAAAAACAAGATCCGTCTTCCCACACGATCGATGAGCAGCAGGTTGGTTGAGCCACCGCAGGTATTGCATATTCCAAAGATTCCGGCCATCAATAGCTGCTTGCGAGTCGTATACCCAAGTCCAGCGTACAACACAGTCTGCCAGACGCGTAGGGATTAGCAGAATTCAAACGACAGACTTATTTAGTGATATCACAGGAGACTTACCTGATAAATCTGGATAGTTTGGGCGCCGTTTGTCTGAACTGAAGTCATCGCAGCCACTGCTAGCGCTAGACGTCTCAACTCTGATCTGTTTGTAAACATATGACTCCACTTGGCATTTTCCTTTTCAATTCTTTCGACCGCCAATTGGGCAGAAATCTGCAGATATTCTTTCTCCCAAAACATTGGGTCCTCATGGTCGTCATGGAGACGTTTGAGAACCTCTTGGGCTTCCAATTGTCTGTCTTTAGAGATCACTAAAGAGAGAGAGTAGTTTAGTAGTTGGAACGACAATGATATAGCACGAACTGATGAAAAACTTACACCAGCGCGGAGAAAAGGGAATAAAGAAGCATCCGAAAATCAAACCCAGAGCGGGCAAACATTGTAGAGCAATTGGGAATCTCCTATAGGCCAAGTTAGAACGACATCAGGCAGAGACCTAACAGTGACGGACTCACCAAGCAAAGCCCTGATTAGAAGAGAAGTTGCAGCCATATCCAACCCATGATGCCAGAGTTCCCGCGATGTTCAGAGTGACGATCTGGAATGCCACCATTGTTCCACGAAGATGAGGCGGAGCGATCTCAGATTGATAGACGCTGACGGTGGTGAGCATAATTCCAGAAGCCATGCCGGCAATGACACGCCCAACGAAGAACTGGGCAATCTGATACGAGCAAGCCTGGAGAATACCACCGATAAGGCCGATTACGCCGCCAATCTGAATGGTGCGCTTGCGACCAAATCGATCAGCAAGGGCAGAGACAAACGCAAGCCCGACGATCAGACCTGCAAAGTAGACTGACCCGATAGCACTGAGTTGATGGAAAGACATGGATTAGAAAGTGTAGTGGAGATATGATGGCATGAGACGTACCCTTGTACTTTCGACGACGGATTGAATTGATTGTTGAAGCCTTCTTGAGCAAAGCTTTTGCTCAACGTTAGAACCTGTATATGATAAACGCGTAATAGCAATGCATAGTGTACTTACGTTCCAGCAATTACAGCAGCGTCATAGCCGTACAAGATAGAGCCGGAGCCTGCGATGATTGCGCATCGCCAATTGTAGAGTCTGCCCATGATTGAAGAGGTGCGTAGGGTAGAACAGCGACAGCGTGGATCAAGAGGCAGAACTAGCAGAGCCAGTCGCGGTCACAGGGACCGATGAATATATATTCAGATCATAGCGGACCCAGGGAAGACGTAACAGCGCCCGAGCGTGAGACGACGGGCGGGGACAGAATTAGATGACAGACAGCGTGACATCTTCCCCGCTTTTTGGACGAGCGAGACGTGCGGGGTTTTTGAACGAGAACAGGTTAGAGCGCGTGCAGTCGACGATGCAAAGGGAATTCGCGAGAGAAACACGGAGGGTTTTGGAGAGCGCGGTGCTGATGGGGTTCTTAATGACTAATAAATGACACCCGCAATATTATCGCCAACCGCAATCGCAGCGCTATCAGATATGTTATTGTTGAAAATATATAAGATCCGAGTGACTTGATATGCCTAATTCAGAGACGTCAGCAGTTACAGCTGCCCTTTATCGTTATCAATCACGGATGGACGATTAGACTTGGCCTCCAGAGCGAGCCAGAGGTAAATTATCCTCCGCTTCAACTTCGGTACTCCCACCAGGTTACGTCATATGTTATGAAGTCGTCTGGCAATCCGCAATCCGGATCATAATAATCCGTTGTTTCCTACCCCGCACTGGCTTAAGTAAGAGACATTGTGCAGATTAAGGGAAAGCCTAATTGAAACATCCAAAGAAGAGAAAGAATGGGCGTGGGCTATTTGACCATAGCGACCTTAGAAGTTCTCGATATCATATCTTGGAAGACCGGTGCTCAGCTTCGACAGCGCATCAACAAGAAGTAGAATACTGTGGTCAGCCCGTTCGATATCTTCCCGCTGCCCGAGACATGATATAACCGATCGTTCTCTTCTCTGGAAGCTTACTTCCATTTGTTGCTCCTTGGTCATCGCCAGCATTATAACTGTTGTGCTCGCTTGCAATGCTCTCAGGGGTTTGTGTGACTCTCTCCTGGCTCAATTCAAACCTCCACCCGTTCCTATCATCAAGCTCAGCTCTCAGCAGTATAAGGTACAAGACCGCCATCATTCGAACAAGGCACCGTTTAAAGGCCTTCGATTGCTTCATCCCTCAATCTCTCTTCTCTTCCAACCTCACCTCTCAACACTTCCTCACCTCAGCAGCTACCTCCCCCGTGTCCCTATCGCAAACAGTGGCTTTCAGCAAGAAAACACGCTCTCTCGTGCATCGCAACATGCTGCTGCGAGCTCCAAGCACGATGGCCGACCCATTTCTACGCACTCGCACTCGCTCTCCTCTTCGCAAAGCACCTCAATGACTGCGATTGCGACGCACACTACGACAGCGAAGCACAATGGAAAGAGCACATCAAAGCTGGGCAACGGATGGATCGCAGGATCGAGTCCGGGTTTCTATTTCAAACTGCCTATGATCGTGCTTTCTAGAAACGATTTAAATTTGCTGGCTGTCATGGCTTCGCTATGAAGCAGCCAACCTATGTATACCGGTCCTTTTATCTCTTGTTCCTTCTCTCAAGCTTCACTGACTTTCCCTTGTTCATCTAGCTGTCCCCCCGCAGCATATCCCAGCCTGGAACGAACCAGAAGAGTCCTATACGTCGACTACCGCTCAGGCCAACTCCCCGACAGCTTATGAGAAAAGTGGTCTACCTCGACTGTATATCTATCCTGCCATTGTTCACAATACCGTTGCTGAAGTCATCTCATTGAACTACATGCTGGTGTCTGTCTAAAGAAGGAACGCTACTGTCTGTCTGCACCCTCTTCCCGCTGTACAGGCGTCACTGAATGTTAAATCCTTGGCCTCTGCAAGTTACCAGCTCGGAATACCCTCCATCCTTCTCTGTGGATCAGCATTATCTTTATACCCGCTAAAAACCAAACAGAGGTACCGACTCGCGCAGAGCTGGAGGCGAATCATAATTTCCCGGGCTCTGTCGCTTGATTCTCGCGTGTGTAATGGCTCGTGTCGTACTCAATCAATTGATTACTTCTTTCAGTCTCTAGATTTTTGGTTTTGCTATTCGTTTTGTCTTTTTCGAATTTTTAATATATCGGGAGTCAGTGGGGATCATCTCTTATGCCATTCGATTGCTGGTGGCTCCCTTCTTCACCTTATCTATATATCCTGTAGCCGTCTTTGTAGATCGCTGTATAATACCGCAGCATCAGCATTTAATCGACGCTAACCTTTGCTCTCATAAAGGTCCATCAATACTCAATGACAGTCTGAGAAGAGCTGCATATCATAAAGTTTGTCAGTGCTTCATTGTGTAGTAGTAGTTTGCTGCTCTGGAGCGTCATAAAATAATTCACACAAGTGGTGTCCCAAGTGCTCAGCTCAAGATGCGACATTAGCAAGTTGACATCGGCGTAATGGTTTCCTAATATCGAGGTTTATTATAAGTCATTTATTCATAAGTACCGGTCCAAGTCTCCAGAAGTGCCCAAAGAAGTGCCCAAAGTCGCCAAAAGTTGAAGCAGTGGTGGGACTGGGATTGCTACAAAGCAAACCCTAATTATCTGAGACCATGTTCTCACTTCCCAGCAACTCTCTCTTGTTCAAGAACAGCTCGAACAGCGCGAGAGTACCGTCGCATCAATAATATATCGTGCATGATGATTTGATTCAAACAACGAATCTAGCCTGTATGGATATATTGTTACCGGCTTTACGAATACAAGAGACTGGAAAGGAGAGGCCGGCGGCAAGGAGAATGACTATTTTGCTAGTTTCCGGTCAACAAGGCTTCGACTTGCACAGCAATCACGGCCTTCCTTCCGTACCTGACGAAGCCACTATTTGCTCTTTATTTTTAGCTACCATGTGCGGCCTCCTGCCTTGTTTGCTTGCTATGCCTGGCTATAAAATGTACGTCCCGTGCCCTTCTTTCCTTTCCTACCCTCTCCCCCGTTCATAATACCTTTCCCTTTTTTTCAGCATCTCGTTCCCAACCTTCGGCTCTCCCAATGACCATGGCTTTTTCCGATCTTTACATTCAACAAGCTGCCTTGGGTCTTTTCTCTTCTTCCACTTTTTTCGATCCTGTGCCGCCCACGGAAAGTCCACCAGCGTACGAACCTGTTCAAGGACGCGAAGTCATAGACCACTCGAACCCCTGGATCCGTTCGTTCGTTCGGCGGATTCCGCTCCCTCCCGGCTCACACAGCACATTGGAGTCTTTTGAACTCCACCTCCCACTGGTCTTGAACGATTTTTTGAACCGTCAAAGATCTCTCACCCGACAGGCCTTGGAACGCATGGTCAACACGCCCTATCCCGAGCGGCTTTTGAGTAAAGAGGGCTGGCGCTTAACTCATGAAAACATGTCCACGGTCACCTTCTCGTCTCTGTCAACAAATACCAGCGGTTCTTGCCCTTCGTTCGAATCCGTCCCCTTCACTGCAGTGGCAGATGGTCGACTCAGCCTTCGCCAATTGGACTCTGCTTTGACGACCTTGATGCGCGACTACGAGCGTGTCAATCATCTCAGTCGCTGGTACTCCATCTATCTCACGATTGACCCCGACCACAGACAGATCAGACAAGAATGGGTCGACGCCGCTCTCCTACATCATCAATTATCTCTGCTTGGAAACACGCTCATGCGCGAAGATTGCGAGCGTTTCTTGGGCAGCCTTTCTAGAGTCGATCAAGTCGGCAACGGCTACAAGCTCAGTGTTATCGTCACCCCTTCATTGAACAAGTCATACTTTGAGGATGAGCTCGTCTGCCCTGAATATGCTGAGAGCGTTCCGGAACATGGATACCGAAGAACCCATGCCCACGGCGGCTTCACTGTGTTTTCGGATGCATTGGAGCGCTCCTTATCCCCCAACGATCATTACAATATGTTCCGGGTGTGCAGAGTGATAGTCTGGTTCAAAATTTTAACGCCAAGTCAGCGCAAAATGTTCCAGATGCTGTACGATGAGATGAGAGCTGTTTTTTACATTGTGCACCCAGAGCACGCGCCTCCGTCTTATGACCCGGAACATCAACAGACCCCAGTTGAGAATAACGAACAATTAGGCGCTGGCGGATCTCCTTTGTCTGTGAGCAGTCAGGTTAATCCAGCCAAGCGCGTCGCCGACACGGATGCAGATGCAGACCTGCGCCCAGTGAAACGACGACGATGCTTGTCTGGTAGCGAAGGAGACCACAGACGCTGCCCCTTTAGTTAATTCGATTCTGCGGACGTTACAAGTAGTGATCACGGGGATGGTTTTGGAGGATAACATCACATGGACAATCGCAACGAGTGTCATCTCTAGCTCTTGCCGACTCGTCTGATCCTTTTAGTTTCCTGCGCGCTCGTCTATCTGTTTTTTCTGTCTGTGTGTCTGTCGTTCTGTCGGCCTGTCTCAAGCATCTGCTGTCGGCATTGTATTATGGGGCGTTCTTGATTTTTGTATAGTCATTGTTTTGTATCAAATATATTATCATCATTATTATTATTATACCTTATAGTAAACACTGCTCCAACAATCTCATGAGAACTGGGACTTACTACGTTCTCGAGATCTAGTAGGAAGAGCAGTTGATAGAGATGTTCATTGAAAGCAGCAGCAGACACATGGCGCATCAAAGGAGTAGAAGCATGCGACCAGCAGATTGTCGTGGACGCTCTGATCTCGGCTTTGACAAGTGCTAATCAGCGCTCTCGGAGAGTTTGGCGCAGCTTGACGCATCTACCAGGGGTGTTGCTGAGAAGTGCGCAGCTAAATGTCGATAGGGTGTACGGTCGAAGGAGGGGTGAAGAAGTGTCAGTAAGGCGGGATTGGAAGCGTAGGCATAAAGGCGAGTGTAGGGAGAGGTAGCGTCGGGTAGGTGTTGGATGAGTGTAGGCAGGCGAGCATCGTAAGCGTCGGGTAAGCGCAAGGGCGGAGGACAAGAAATGGATTCGAAAGCTCGACGACCAAAGAATAGCAGAAGAACGTAGTTTAACGCTCCTTAAGGGCGTGGGCAAGTGACCTTCAACTTGGCGCGCTCTGTGGGACTCAGCCGGAAGTTTGAGATTTCGTTTGATCCTGGAATAGAAGGCGTAGACGTATGGGAACCGACGCATGGGAGGAGAAAAGACCGAAGTGTAAACGCGAGGGTATGAAGAGACAGTATCAGCGTCAACATCGACGAAGCGTAAGGGTGAAGGACGAAAGAAAGAAACGGAAACTTCGATCAGCTCGACGCACTTACGAACACTGGCTCGGGAGGGAGGTTGGCACTCAGTAGGTGGGAACGACAAGAAGCGAGCAGTTAAGTAGCGAGCTTAGAAGACTCGGTTGAGGAGCGTGACGCTGGACGCGCCTGGCACGTCCAAAAAGACTTGACCAGACAAGAGCTAGGAAGCGTGAGTTGGACGGACCTGGAAGCATGGGAATAGGATCAAGAGTGAGAAGAGAAAGCGTACTAACAGCACGCAACAGAGCAGAGCAGAGCCAGCGTTGGGTAAGCTGAAGTACAGAAGACAA